TAGATACTAAGACTCGAATGAACATCTCTAATTCTGTGGTTGGGCTGGTTGATAAATAGGGTTGCAATATGACTTGTTATGATATTAGGCCGGTGCAGATCAGAAAGCAAGCCGCACCATCGAAATTAGCTCCGAGGTGTCTATACAGACAATCAATTTGATTTACAATCAACTTGGCTCCATGTTGTATATATAGCCTCATATTTCCCTCAAAAACTAATAAGACGATTCATACCCCTAAACAATAAAGATCTATTCTATTTAGTCAAATTGCTCATCCGAGCAGTCTTCTCCACGTGGCAGACTAAAGGTGTTAGTGCATTCGAGTCATTCACGGCACCGATTGGCCCATTATTTTTTGGCATATATCATTAGTATCCATAGCATCCAACGATAGCATTGATATCGACGACCACAGGCTCCCGGGAGTCAGGGTGAGATATTAGCCATTATTTCACTCAGGCCTTGTGCGTCTATAGGCATTCATGGCTCTGATTAGCTTATATCTCTTTGCAGCGGTACCCAATTTCACATATCCACTTAGTTCCCGGGAATTCTACGTGGGTATTGCTGACGGGCTATCCAATTATGGTAGGTGTAATGGCAGGTTCAGGTTCCCAGGAGCCCATAGCCGAGTTTGGACCAATCAATTCCACTGAGGCTTCGTGGCACATGTGGATCATTCGTGGCACCGATTGGCTAATTATTCCTCCATAAATATCACTCTATTAATGGTAGCCAATGATCGCATCAATAATTACGACCCACAGGCCCCTGAGAACCATCCCAATTATCAACCAATCATTTCATTGAAGAATTATGCGCAAGTGGGCCTTTGGTGACACTAATTGGCTGATGTTTCCTTGTAGTAGTACAGTAACCATCTTCTCGTGTTCACTTAGTTCCTAGGAGATCGATGTAAGTATTGCGATACGCAAAGACGAGGTCGATAGCAGGAAGAGTTGTTCTGCGAAAATATAATCGATCTAGTGGATCACTCACGATATAAGGAGCTCTTTCCCGAGATTTGGGCTGAGCGAATCAGTCCCACGCTGCACCATAGCTTGTATCTGCTTGATATTGTGTAGGCGTAATGGATTTTCTCTGATATACGAGTTAGGCAATGAAGAATCCTGCGGTCTGGCTGATAGGGATCTAGGGTCGCAATATGGCATGGTGTTTGCCTGTCTTTGATGAGGTGTTCGTTGCGTGGAGTAACGGGCATCACTGGTGAGTGAAATGAGAGACATGACCTCGTCACCTCGCCCGTCGCAATAAAGTGCGGACTGACGGTGGTGAATGGTGATAACTGTCATCAATTATTTTCTGCGGCATCGTCACGACTGTTTACACGAGCGAACAGCCAGAAATTGTTTTGCATGTTCCGGATCACCAGACGCAAAATGCAATGCCTCTGAGAGCTGCTTCGAACCAGTAATGAAATGTTGAGCCAGTTATCATTGAAGAGTAGTTTGAGCTTTAGCCCTCACAATTCACAATGATGATCTCATTGACGCAGACCGAATGCCTGGCTGAATTGCTATAAATACCCGGCCCCTCGCCAGCAGAACATTTGTTCGCAAGCATTCCTTAGTGACTCTGGGTGAAAGAATACCGGACGTGATTCGTCTCCGCGGCTACTCTCTGGTATCGATTGACCTCCAAACCATGCAATGAAATGAGTTGACCTCTTACATCGCAATAGCCTAATCTTTCTCAATAATTAAGTCTTCGAATAGTGAGTGTAGCTGCCCAGTCATTTGAAATTATGCTAACGCGGAAGATGCTCAATATTAGCCCCGCCTCCGCTATTCTGCTGAGCACCCATTGAAGAACCTTTCGGGGTCCTGAATGGTCCAAGCTGCGAGCACAGTGAGTTACAAGTTGCCTTAATGAACTGCCTGCCTACTGATGATTGATGATAAATAGATGCCATCCTCCATACAGTCCCCTGTAACGGACAGCAATAAGTGATCACGTAAGTTTGAATAATGCAGCAATTTAAAAGGCAGATATCAGGTGCTGAAGATCCTCTATATAGGATGGCGAACTTTCTATCGCGAGTCGCTCAATGTCTTGTAAGTCACGCTTGTGCTTTGGCCCTGCCCATTCCCAATGCCAGCTATTGCATCTCAATTTCCGCACGATTGCTAATCCGTTCGTGGCTCTCTGTCCCTCAGCAAAGATCGCTGATGATTATTTTTCGTCATAGGGCGAGCTTCAATCTTACACTCGACCTGCCAGAGCTATGTTCCCCTCGTCTTTGAAACTAAATCAACTTCCACAGCCTGATTGGCCAAGCCACTGAATCTCACTACGCTTGCGTCTTTGTTGTTTCTGAAGACGCGGTTGACAAAGCCACTTCGCCTGGCGCGTTTAGCGGGCCCAATTCATAAAGGCTCGATGCCCTCCAGTTGGCCATATGGTAGAGTACCAACCTACTATCACCTCTTCCAGATTCAACCTGTCCGATCAAATGTTAACTGTCACTACATTAGAAATATTTCGTATCCCGACAGGCATGGCCAAGTCCCATACTAGGCCGACTGAGTGATCGCAGCATCCGACAACAACAAAGGGAAGTGTAGCATCGACAACCACCGAGAAATACCACAGATTCCCCGAGAATAGCATCAACCAGTAATGAATCAAGCTTTTAGCCACAGTCTGAAGGATATCTTCGTGAAGCCCTTGTTGCAGCTGAGCAAGTGACGAGGCAGACCGCAGCGCTCGATCTACCCCAAATCTCTCGCCACGAGAGCAGTCGTTTCGGGTCAGTTCCTAGTCTACCCGGGACAAACACCACGATTCTCTCTTTCAACGGGACTTTGTCCTGGCATATTTGGGAATTTATCTGCTATCTGAACAGCAAGGACGAAACAGATATGTATTGGCAGATATTGCCAACATTCATTTGCAGCGATACCAAGTGATCCTGGGCCATCGTCCACCCATAATCGAGCTGAGCCCGCTATACCTTTGGTTGGCCTTCGCTGATACCAGACTACATTAACGGCAAGTCTCTACAACCCTCAGTCACCAAAAGTCTTGCTGATATAGAGAAGCAGTGAGACGCAGCACTGCTTCGGCCGTTCCCACAAGTCTGATCGGGATAGTGTATTGTGGCTGGTATTGGGATTCTCATGTAGGCCGCGAGCACGGTCAGTGGCGAACACCCACCTTGCGCCATTTGCTGACAATTGGTGCTAGATCGAGTATATCCAACTGTTTTGCCTGTGGCCAATGCAGACGGCGTTTCAAAGCTTCCCCCATGGGCTACATCATGAGTAAAGAGAAGGAGTACGTTCTCAAAGTTGGAAGATGGAATAACCAACTGACCTTTTTGCCAAACCGCCGATATGAAGATAACTTTTCCCTCCCAAACGTGGCCACAAGCTAATCGAATGCTCCAAAGGTGAAATGTGGCAATCTTTATGGAGGACAGGAATCGATCGGAAGATCAAAGTGTCAAATCACGCATCATGACCGAGTTCGCTGGAAAGTCGCTGCCGATAGAAGGTTGTATGGGAGTGAATTATAGGGCCAACGGGTGCGAACCAAGGGAGTCACTGTCATACTTATGGAAACGTCAGATGCTTCAGGCACTGGACAAAGCAAGAGATAAGCTCAAGGACTATTACTCAGCGACCGATACTCCAGGGCTTATCAACATATATACCAATGGAACTATCTTAGCGCCGCAGTATAAGCTTGAGTTCTTTCAGACCCCTGAATGGCAAGATAAGGACTTTGCAGGTGAATATAAAGCAGCACTCGAGCAGCAAATTCTTGCCTATGAAGTTCAACTCCATGATACTTGCTCACAATCTGAAGGGCCTTCTTACCCACAGCCTGTTCAAGAGATTGAAATATTGCTTGATAGTTATAGAGCTCGACCCGCAGTACCACTCTCAGAGCTCCATCAGTATCTGAAGGGGGGTAAGTATTCTCCCAAAACACAGTTTCAATACATACCTCTCTAACTATTCATTCAATAGGTACTATACTCACTTCCCCACTTGATTTCTGGAGGGACCATGAGCAGCAGTTCCCAGTGCTTGCAGCAATTGCTCGAGACATGCTTTCTGTCCCCGCTACTGGTGCAGGTGTAGAGCGCTTATTCAATTCTGCCCGCTATATCTGTCATTATCGCCGCGGCTCTCTCCATGCAACGACTATTCAGGATCTCATGCTGCTAATGTGTGCTAATCGATTTGATGTTGAGGAGGAGCAACTTGCTTTTATACGAGAATATACAACAGAGTACGAGATAGATATTCAACAGGAGGATACCACAAAGCATATACTACAGGAGATTATAGAGATTAGTGAGGGGGAGGAGGAGGAGGAGGAGGAGGAGGAGGAAGGAGGGAGGAGGAGGAGGAGGAGGAGAAGACTCCTCTACAGCATCATACAAAGCGAAAAAGAGATAATTATGAGGCTGAAGAGGAGACATCAGATGAGGCAGGAGGCTCTGCGGAAGAAGAGCCTCTACTACCTAAGCAATCTAATACTCAGCGTGCTTCAGGGAGGGCCCGGATACCTTCGATACGGCTACAGGGATATACTACTTAATATAATCTATAATTTCATTCACATCTCTGCTCTTACTGTATCTGATTCAATATAAAAATCACTACTGTATCACAGAATCACTTTATTATCGAAACCACAGCATTACAGCCAAGATCTCGCTTAATCTTCATATTTTATGCAATGCATGTTAGCCCTAGAAAAAGCCCTATCTTTGGGCCGGCCCATGGGCCATGTACAGGTCTAGAACATATCATCTAAAGAATAGCATGGCCGTGGTTGCTCATGTATATAAAGTAGGCTCAATGTAGCCTCGATTACACCTCACCTCACTGGTTTCTGTCAAGGTTTCCTTGAGAGCGGATATCTTCAAGCTACTGGCTACCTCTGAGTCCTTTCATAACAATTTAGTAAGTTATGACTATGGGCCCAGAATACTGGCTGATCTCATACAATCTGTGGGCCTATTAGGCACAATTGATCTTCATCTCCGAGTGCTGTTTCTCTCCGACACATTTGAGGATCACCTGTATCATCCGATCTGGATTAAGAGGCTTTGAGAGATAGCCGTTCATTCCCGCCGCGATGCATCTCTCGCGGTCGCCAAACATCGCATGGGCAGTGAGAGCAACAATCGGCGTGCGTGACAGATTGTTCGAATGTTCATGCTCCCGAATTTTAGCGGTGGATTCAAATCCACCCATGACTGGCATTTGAATGTCCATCAAGATCACATCGAATTTCCCTTTTTTGGCTTGCACAAAGGCATCCAGACCATTATCGACAACAGCAACGTGGTGATTATGCTTCTCAAGGATTTTAAGAGCTACCTTTTGGTTGACCTCGTTGTCCTCGGCCAGCAGGATTGACAAAGAATATGTCTGTCCTGTGGTGATACGCGACGGTCGGCTCTAGAATGCAGGAAGTATGCCATTTCCAAGATCGATCAAGTGGCAGGGCGTTGTCACATATGAGGTGATGCTTAAATCCAGTGCTGCCTTCATGCTTACCGACATAGCAGGTCCTATTTGAACGGCAGGAACTGACTTGAAGTTGTCCAAGGCTCTTAAACCAACCAATGTCTCCATAGTCTCAAACAGGACAACTTCGGATTGGGAAGCTGTTTTCGCTCCAGATGGGTCAGCGTTTCCTTGTTCCAGTACTTGTATGGTGGGGCTCATAACGGGATGAAGCTCGAGTTCTGTTAACATGTGACATATTTGTTCTAAAAGATCATGGTCATAGCCCTCTGTAAGAAGAAGGACTCTGTGGCCCCGGTAGGGCATCAACCGCTGGGACATAGCCTCGCAAGACAACATCCCTCGCTTAACGGTGCATGTGAAATGAAAGGTGCTACCGGAACCCACAGCTGATGTGACCCATATATCGCCACCCATGAGGTTCGCTAGTCTCTTTGATATTGACAGGCCAAGGCCTGTGCCACCAAATCTCCTGGTTGTTGAACCATCGGCTTGCTGAAACTTGTCAAAAACCAAGTCGAGCTTGCTATCGTCAATGCCAATTCCGGTATCTGAAACAGTGAACTCAAGGTTACATTCATCAGGATCACATCGTCTTAATATCTGTTGTTTCACAGTAAGTTGGATCTCTCCATGCTCGGTGAATTTGATAGCGTTCCCGACTAGGTTGAGAATTATCTGTCGGAGACGGAAAGAGTCCCCAACAATGAAGTCAGGCACCGAGTTGTCAACACTGTATGAGAGGCTTAGGGCCTTTTCATTGGCTTCGACTCCAAGGGCCTTCAAGGCGTTAAAGACGATATTGCCAAGGTTGAAAGGAATATCTTCAATAACCACGTGGTTTGCTTCAATCTTTGAAATATCGAGAATGTCATCGATGATCGTGAGCAAGCTATTCCCAAGGCCGTGGACAACATTTAACATCTCTCTTGCACCTGGCAGAAGATTGTCCATGTCAAGAGTCAACTGCGTCATGCCAATAATACCATTCATTGGTGTTCGGATTTCATGGCTCATATTAGCAAGGAATTCTGATTTGCTTCTATTAGCGAGTTCAGCTGCTTCTCTCGCCGCCGTGTTGCGCTGGATACTGTCGCGTAGACTTGAGACCATCTTATTGATCTTTTGTTTGAGCTCATCCATCTCCCCAGATGCGCTGACTGTAATCAATTTGCTGAAATCTCCATCTGTGGCTGCGTTTGTGATTTCCCCGAACGCACGAACCTGGGACGTCAAATTGTCGGCCATGGTGTTGACATCTTCGGTGATCTCTTTCCATCGACCGCCCATGCCAGCAATATTAGCCTGTCCTCCCATTCGTCCCTTAACGCCAACATCACGTGCGACCCGCTTGAGTTCTTGAGCGAACTGGTCCAGTTGATGTACCATATCATTGACTGTTTCTTTCAATGTCAAAATCTCCCCCCCGGGCATGGACCACTATCTTCTTACTTAAATCACCTCTAGCAATGCCCTGGGTAACTTCTGAGATCGCTCGGACTTGGAAGGTCAGGTTCTGAGCCATTGTATTCACGTTGTCTGTCAATGTCTTCCACTCGCCCTCGACATTAGCGACAACAGCCTGACCGCCTAGTGTTCCATCAATTCCGACTTCGCGTGCAACTTTGCTGACCTCAAACGCAAATTGGTTCAGACGATCCACCATGTCGTTTATCGTGTGCTTAAGGTCCGCAATTTCGCCTTTGACATTGGCGGTCACCTTTTTCGTAAGATCACCCCTGGCGACAGCAGTGGTAACATCTGCTATTTCCCGCACCTGGGTCGTGAGGTTCATTGCCATCCTGTTGACATTCTCTGTCAAGTTTTTCCAGACTCCTTCAACATCGTGAACTGTGGCCTGACCCCCGAGAACACCGTCTGTTCCAACCTCTTTCGCTATCTTCGTGACTTCTTGTGCGAATTGTCGGAGCTGGTCGACCATTGAATTAATGATTTCTTTCAGAGCAAGAATTTCGCCTTTACATTCAGCTTGAACCTTCTGTGTAAGGTCACCAGTTGCGACTGCAGTTGTTACCGTGGCGATGTCCCGAACTTGTGTTGTTAAGTTATTCGCCATGGCATTGACATTAACAGCAAGTTCACTCCATATTCCTTGGATGCCATATATCTGTGCTTGTCCACCGAGGACGCCTTCAGATCCAACATCTCGCGCCACACGATTGACCTCCATGGCGAATGTACGGAGCTGGTCCACCATAGTGTTGATGGTCTGCTGAAGATTGAAGATCTCACCCCTAGCAGGCCGTTCAACCTTTTGACTAAGGTCACCATGAGCGACAGCTGTCGTAACAAGGGCAATCTCCCGGACTTTGTTTGTGAGGTTAGATGCCATGGTATTCACATTATCAGTGAGCTCCTTCCAGACGCCATGCACCCCGACGATTTGGGCTTGGCCGCCCAGGATACCGTCTGTTCCTACCTCCCGTGCCACTCGGGAGACTTCACTCGCGAATATCTGCAACTGGTCCATCATTGTGTTGATCGTGACTTTGAAAGTCGTAATGTCAGGATCCATCTCGAGTGGATGGATCTGGACTCTTGTGGTAAGATCTCCGTCCGCGACTTGAGTAATGATTCACCCGATTTCCCTGAGTGCCTTTTGGAAAGCTTCATTCATCAGCTGGCGTTTTCGCACCTCCTGCTCCATACTCTGGAGGTGATACACATGACGGATCAGTGATGCAAGCTGGTGCTCCAGTGCCGTCCTTGACTTGCTTTGTTGTCCAGGCAGCCTCCATGATCCATTACTCGGTGGGGTCTTAGAAAGGTCAGCTCGAAGGCATGAACAAGCCTGGAGTCTCGACTTACCAATGTTTGATTGCCTTCGACAAGTGCTTGGATAACGGCGGCTACCGTGGAAAGAGCTTCATCTTCAGAGGATATCATCGTTGTGGTGACCTGGCCGCGAATTTTCGATGAAACTAAACACAGTTTTGGTTGTATATGGCAGAAGTCAACCTCACTGCAAAGAGGATAAATTAACTTAAGAGACTGAACTGGGTGTTGATGACTTCCAACTAGCAAATACCACGTCCTCACGTAATATAGGACTAAAAAGGATCCTTTTGAAGGGATGACTTGGGTCTTCTAAGATGCATTCAACTTGATACGCTCAGATGGGCCCTCCACCTTTTCCGTAGCATGACCTGTCGCGGATACCTAATGGTATTCCTTAATAATTTCTCGTATTGATACTTTTTGCGCCTCTCTGGGGTGGCGCTCACCAGTGCGGTGGGACTGCAGCGCCCCTGCCGACCCAGACCGTATAGATTCAGAGAATTGCGGGAGCAGTCAGGCCTAGAAGCACGCCACACTGGCTACTAGGCAAACTTTGCCGATCCACTACCTTACCTGCCGAAGCTTTATTTACTTCCGAGATAGATCTTCCATCTTCTGTCAACCACTTGCACTCCGGAGGATTGGCCACTATTGAAGAGGAGATTGTACAGTCAAATGGATGGAGGATTTCATTTACCCTGAGCCCTCTCAATGTCGGAGTTCAAAACTGAGGCACAAGTGTGATGCCCCTTTTATATCTAGGCGCAGATCTTATAGACCTAGTGGATGCCTCGATACTACCTCGCACAGCAGCTGCCTTGTGCTACTCCTATACAAGTTTCTGGGATCCAACTTCTGAGAGGTCAGGGTAAATAAACTGGTGACGTGCGCTCCGCACGCTGTGGGCCCTGAAACGAAAGAGGGAGAAAGTGAGCGACTGGTCATGCGGAGTTGAGTGTATGGAAGCCGAACTTAAGCCACCATGTACATGTAACCGGCCCCACATTTAATTTCTACTTTATTGGTGACATCACACAGTCAAGAGGGGCAAGAAAAGTATAGTTTGGCAGTAAGGGGTCACCTGTCACTGCGGGTTTAGACTGTAGCGTCAGATAGAGCCCAGATGACCCCGGGCTAGACTAGGATGGTGGAGGGGACGGTGGGGGAAGCAGTAGAGACAACGAAGCAAGCGAGCCTGCCTAAAACTGGTAGTTGGGAAAGTAGCAGCAGTAGTAGCAGCAGTAGTAGTAGTAGTAGTAGGTATCATTTACACCGGCCCTTCGCCGAAGTTGATTATAAATTTCATCCACTGGGCTAAGAACGGATTCGTTTTTGGTCTAGTGTTCAAATCAACTACCGAAGCGATTGTTGAGATAGGTAGTTGTAGTGTTCTTGTTGAGGTTACTATCAAAAGTGGGAATCCCATCTATTTAAATGTCCATCGCTGGTCCCATCATAAGCTTTGACCACCGCGATACTTAACAGGAAGAACGGCGGATAGTCAATCCATACAAAAGAGTAGCCGCGGAGATGAATCAAGCTCGACATTCTTTGATCCTGAATCACAAAAGAATGCTTGCGAACGACTGTTCAGCTGGCGAAGGACCGTTTATTTATAGCTATTCAGTCGGGCGTTTAGTCTGCATTAATGAGATCATCATTGTGAATTGTGAGGGCTTCAACGCAAACTACCGTCCAATGATAAATGGCTCAACATTTCAACATTGGTTTAATGCAGTTCTCAGAGAGATTAAAATTTTCGCCTGGTGATCTAGAACATGAAACTCATTTTCTGGCTGTTGGCATCATGCAAAAAGTCGTGAGGATTCCGCAGAAAAGAAACGACGACGGCTATCAACATTCGCAACCGTCAGTCCGCCCTTTATCGCGACCGGTGAGGCGATGAGGTCGTGCCATCTTATCTCAACGGTGATGAGCCCGTCACTCCACGCAGCGGATACCTCATCAAAGATAGGCAGAGACCCTAGATATCAACCAGCCAAACCGCAGGATTCGGCATTGCCTTCCTTACATATCGGCGAAAATGCGTCACATCTACACGATATCAAACAGATCTAAGCTATTGTACGGCACGAGACCGATTCGCACAGCCCCATTTCATGACAGAGTCACTTGTATACACAGTGTGTCAGTTACATGTTAGGTCAATTCAGTCTTTACAGAAAAAACCTCTGCGATCAGCCGAGTCTTTGCCAAGACATTAAACGAAGTGGGTGCGGGAGGGTACTACGACTGGGAACTATAAGCCAATTAGTGCCATCAATGGCCCACATGCACCCAAGTGGTCTTTAAAATGATTGGTTGATATCTCGCTTTGGCTCTCACGAGCCTCTGGGCCGTCGATTAGAATGTGTCAGCGTATGCTGTGGTAACTTACCACTAGCAAGCGATTGATTACCCAGGAACCCGCATTTCTTTGTGTTTTGTATGGTAAATTGGTTTAGCCCGCAACCTCGGTGTAGTAACCACCGAGTATTTGCACATACATGGGGTATTTCAACCTGCCCTCGATCGCATGTCTATCTTTCTAATCAATCCTTTTTATCCTAAAATTGATTCCGCTTGATCTCATTCGCCCTGAATGCATACTAGTCCATACACTTTTAGCTTGTTCTGATATAAACCATGAACCAACTCTGCAGATGTGTATTTAACATATACTCTGCCTGCCACTCATTTTATCTACAATCAATCAATTCAATCTGTCAATCCTACTGATTGGTGCCCCTTCCACTAGAATCCCCACTCCTTGCAATACTAGCCATTACTGATTTGGCATGCTCGATCACCTGTTCTCCACACCCTATGGTCGTATGTACCGGTAATACCTAAAAAGGGGAATATATCGGATGGATGAACACATTTCCTACAAATTATGATGAGAATGTGTTGCGCCTTCTCTCGAACGAAAAATGATGGATCTTTAGGATATCATAATGGATGTGCCTCCGGCGTTCACTCATGCTGGATTATAGTATATGCCGCAGTCGCGAATTCCGACCTGGAAGATTCAACCTGAAATTTCCTTTCCGCAGCACTTGATCCATAATATATAACTGATCCATGCTAGCTACCACCACCGTGACCTGGGAAGGTTAGAACGTGGTCTTTTCAGACGACAACGAACGATGACAAAACTTACCTAAAATCCAGCAATCATACTTTCAAGTGCCCATGTGTCATATACACCTAGGTACTGGATCTTGATCACCCTGAAAATCGACTTCGCTTTCTCAATTTCGGCCCAAACCAATACAAAGCGAAAATTCCAAAAACACAGGGCACCGTCAACGACCCAACCAAGCTACTTCCCTTTGCGACTCCAAGATTTCGGTACAAAGGCCCAGACCATAAGATCGCAGCAAATGCCAAAGTGGACCGCGCAAAGTCATTCATGGCGAACAGACTCGCGGAGTGGCTGGGGTATGCAACGGCCATGTAACCAAACATACACTGTAGGATCGTAATAACGCCCATCATAATAAGCATGAACCCAACAGTAGGCACGGTCCAATGGGTATCGACCCGAGAGCTCCACGCAAAAAGATACATCCCCGCTGGGACAAATATAGAGATGAATAACGCAGGGATTAATCTTCGTTCTGGAGGGGGGATGTTGCCATTGCGAATGGGATTGGCAATGTAATGGTGAATAAAGAAGCAGTATAATGGCATCACGAGAAGGACGGCGATTATTGCTGCTAGAAATACTTGGCCCATGTGCGCAGAGTCCATTTGGTATATGCCTTGGTAAACGAGTGGGAATACTTCAAAGAATGAGTAGAAGATAGCGTATACCAAGGCTGTGTATAAGGTTGTAAATAGAATTGCGGGATCCAGAGCATTGATCTTCCAAGGCATAATTAGTGCACCATGGATGATGGACTTGGTTGAATATCTTCTGCCGTCAACCTCTGATGGTGATTTGAAAGTTGGATTTCCGGTCAAGGCTCGTAGACGTGTCGCCCGTTTGTGCAAAATAGTAGCGGCAGACGTTTCGGGAAGAAAAAGCTGTGAATTGAGTGAGTTGAGCGGGGATTGATATGTCAAATTATTCCAAAACTATGGCAGTAGTGAGACAACATACCATAATGACCAGACATGGAGCTGCACCCCAGAGAATCTCCCACATTGACCATTTCCATCCATTTGCCATAATGCTGAATCCGGCTATACATGGTGCCACGGCAGGTGCCGCCACTGCACAGATACCCCAGATCCACAGGCAAAAAGGAAGGTTGACCAGATCCGTGATATCCGCCAAAGAAGCAGCCCCTGTTGCTAGACATGGCGAACCGAAGAATCCCTGAAGAAAACGCAGAGCAAGAAACCCAGGAACATTATTGACAGCAACAGCAATTCCGCTAACGAGAAGGAAAAATGCCAGGGATATCACATATGGTAGATTGCGACCAACAGCTGGGATCTCTGATAATGGACTGAACAGCAAGGCACCAATTCCATACCCAAGAAGAACAAGCGCCAGACCAAGTGAGGCTACTGTGGTAGATACCCCGTAGATATCTATAAAATCTGGCTCGGCGACCGAGAAGATTGAAGAAGCCATGTAAACAATGAAAGTATAGAAATTAATCTGAATGTAAACCATGATCTTGATCCATAATGGCCAAAAATGTGGGTTGTCCTCGTCTCGGGCGTCATACCAGGAGGCCAAGATGGTACTTCCACTCTGGAATGTGCTCTTAAAATGTGAATGTTCTGCGTTGCTCAATCTTTCTTGGTTATTACAGTGGGCTGAGGTTGGTGTGTCGGAGCTAACGACCATGACCAGATTTGGAGGAAGTTGAAAACCAGGTTTCTCTTCTGAAAAACGACACACTCGACCTTTGGATATCCAGCGGACTAATCCACCGAATGCGGTACTGGGCAGAATCTTTGACATGGAAGACATGAGAAATGTGCGCTTGTTATAGCAGGGGAAACACCTGGGCTGCGCTTTAGATAAGATATATCAAAAATCTGCTGTTGGCGTGGGGCACCCCTTGTGTTAGGCAGTAAGAAATCGGCCAGAGGAAGATTCCCTGAGAAACCTGATTTCTTTTCATCACCAAAAAACGGTCATTCTTACCGCCGTGTTGCTGGCTTGCCCAGCTGATCATGGGCGATCACGGACGATCACTAGCTGGCAATCGGCGCTAGTTGAATGATCTGGCTTTAGCGCTGCATGATAAATGAAGAATGCATCTGTAAGGAAACGAGTCCTGGTGCGTTATGATATTTCCCGGTATGTAAGATCGTAAGGGTTTTGAGGTTGGCCTGCGGAGGTAAAATTCCCTTTTCAACAGCAAGAACAGCTTTAATCATGCCCAGGACTCCGGCACCCGCCTCCAAATGTCCAATATTCGGTTTTATACTGCCGATAAAACACGGATTGGAAGGATCTAATCCATACACAGAACTCATCGCTGAAACTTCCGTTGGGTCACCTAGTGGTGTCGAGGTTGCATGAGCTTCAACATACTGAATGCTGCTAGCTTCCAAGTTGCTGACACGCAGTGCATTCTTTGCAACCAAAGCCTGTGACGCAGCATTTGGGGCCATAATTCCATTTGTTTTGCCATCATGAGCCACAGCCGTTCCCTTGATAATGCCAAGAATGCAGTCGCCATCTCGTATAGCCTGGGCATGGTCTTTCAGAACCACAGCTCCTACTCCCTCTCCACGGCCGTAGCCCACAGCTTCATCATCAAAGGAGCGACAGCGACCATCGGGTGCTAATGCGCCGGCTCTTTGTAGGACCGTAGTGAGGCCAGGTCCGTAAAGTGCATTCACCCCACCAACGATAGCCATGCTTGACTCCCTTGCCCGAATGGCCGAGACACCATGATGGACAGCGACAAGAGAAGATGCACAGGCGGCATCAACTGCAACGCTAGGTCCCATCAAGTCGAGATGGTATGAGATACGATTCGGGACTCCACAATAAGCTGTCCCAATTCCCATCCAGGCATCGACATTCGGGAGGTCTTCTAAGAGGAGCTTGGAATAATCGTCTGAGTTAACCCCCCAGAAGACGGAGGTACTGCTTCCTCTCAGGGACTTTGCAGTAATTCCGGCATCCTGCAATGCCTCCCAAGCAACCTCAAGTGAGATACGCTGCTGTGGATCCATTTGTCTAGCCTCATTCGGAGATATACCAAAGAACTGAGGGTCAAAATCGTCTAGATTCTCGACAAAATATCCCGCAGTGGTCGCTTTGTTCAAAATTGGTTTGTTTCGAAGGTCTCGGTTGTAATATGGCTCCCATCGAGCAGGAGGAATGTCGCTGGCTCCGTCCTTCTTGGCAAGTAAGAACTTCCAAAGTTGCTCGGGACTCTCAACACCCCCGGCAACACGACAGGCCATTCCTACCACTGCCACTCCATCATATGCATCCTTTTATCAGGGTTATCTGTTTGCTCCGTAGGCAACATGATTTACCATATTACTCACAGGCACGCTGCTATTTTCCGTATAACTTGAGTCATTTGCGGTTGAGCTTGACGGAGATACAGGCGTAGATGACATATTGACTCCAATCGGTTTCAATGGCTTGAGATAAAATTGGTCGAGGAAATTTGAATTGTAGAAATTTTAAAACTGGAATGAGCAATTATGAGATCCAAAAACAAGCTCGTGATCAATGGGTAGAAGCAGATGACATCCATATTTGTAGATCCAAGAAATTGTTGGAACCCTCCTCGGCACTTCCGAGTCGGACCACTACCAGTAATAGGTAAGTACTAGTAATAGTAATAGTTAGTACCAAGTTCTACTAGTAGTAGTAGGGGATGCACCTCGAAGCATTTCCAGCCTTTCCCTGTCATGAAAAACTTCTGCGAAACACTCGGTGCATCGGATAAAACCGATTAATCGCTCATTTCTTTTGATGACAACACATGAATTGCTAACAATTAGTTATTTTTGCTCGTAGATCGACACAGGCCATTGGTACCGCTTTCTTTCAAATCAATGCATATCTCCACTGGTCTACAACCGGACACCGCTTGTTCAGAGTTTCAGGGAAATTTCCTGGCTATTCCTGGCGAGCCTACAATATTATCAACATTTCGGGCGATGGTTGCAAGATCGTGCAGATCTTCTTTCCACCAGGTCTCCCGAAATCAGGATTCCAATCTCGTCATGGCTGTGGGAAACTGAGGGTAGATTGTGCATATGCATACTGCTCTTCATCCATAATTGTGGGACGTCACATAGGATCCTCCGATCCGGATGCCTGGGACTATGACTTCCAACCCCGCCTAAAGTAGACGTTATGATTCTGCGAGTCCTTGAGTACTGAGACTTGAGAAAATTATGCTAAGATATTAGTCAAATTCCAGTGCACTCAACGCTGGCTATATTTCACTTGTTCGGTGTGCAGACATGAAACCGTAATTTTCAGTGAAGGCTGTTACTGAAATTTCCCGCAGCCGTATTGAACACCTGTCATACTGTATAATACTAGTATGTATCGAAATGACATAGTGCTGCATCATTGATTTAATTTGTTTATTCGTTGTCTCTCTTTTCTTTTCGTTGAAAATCTTAAATTTTGGGGCTGGTGAGACTTGGAAGTGTTTTGTCATCTCCGAGCCACGCCAAGCGAGAGCGAAAGGAAAAACAACGGCAAGGGGTTGGTCGAGCTTAGGAGGTGTGCATTGAGTTAAGCCCCCACCTGGACAAAAATAGTAAATTCATTACACAGTGAACTTTTCGGAAGTGCCCATTCCGCTGCAGAATCCGAACTGCATAGATTGGGTGCACAGCAAGTTTCCTGCACTTCACAACCATTCTCTTCGTATTCTCAGTGGCTTTTTTTATTTCAAATTTGACTTTCTTGTTTTTATTTATTTATTTATTTATTTATGTGTCTTCAAATATAATCTAATATATCGTTCTTTTTTTCTTCCTTCCTCGCATCACTCGTTCAAGGATGGATGACCAAGAATCTTCCAAAGAAAGTGCCTTTCCCTGCCATTTATCTGGTTGTTCTCGATCGTTCAAACACAAAGAGCATTTGAATCGACACCAAGCTAGTCACAAAAGCCCTCCACTCTATATCTGCCCGGCATGTTCTCGTGCCTTTATTCGGAGGTAGTAGACATATACCGAGATTGTTGAACGTCCCGAAAGCATGCTAATGTGGCCGTAGCGACACTCTCAGCCGACACATGACACTTCACCAAAAGTCCTCCAAGAGAAACAGAAGGGTACCAATAGCATGTCAAACCTGTCGGAGTCGAAAGACCAAATGCGATGCTGGAGATCCTTGTTTGACTTGTTATCACTTGCAAATTCCCTGTATGCGGATGGGATCCAGTTCTCAGGAGACTCAGAAAAACATATCTAAGCTAGACTATGGATTTCAGACCCCCAATGTGGGAGCGACGCAGACAATAGAGACAGAGCATTACGAAGAAATGAGGCATGGCATTTCGCTTTCCTATTACGACTGGTCCATCAACGCTTCCAACTGTCAGGGCCAGGTGTCGTTGCGTTATCCATTGGAGCTACTGAACAACTTCTTAAGCATCGCGCCATCCTCATATATGCTTGATGTGAATTTTGATAACAGATTCTTTCATGGCTTGCTTGACACAGCTGGTGCTGACAATGTCCTATACGACTGCCCCTCAGGCATCGCAGCGCAGGCCACCCATCCACCTACCCTGGGTTTCATCTAAAGTTTGCATATTATTAAAGTGACAATCGGCTAAGTTTAAGATGATACATCAGTTTATCAAAGGAGAAGAGGGCAGATATTTCAGTGATGGCGGGTGTAGCAACCACTATAGCAAACAAGGAAAGCGTATAGCTAGTATTAAGTTTACTATTACTCATTGGACCTTCTAGGAAAAATCAGGAGTCTACGTGCAGTAAATCTAAGGTTTTCTATTTGCAATTTATGGATGTGGTAATCAGAGAGCCAAATAGATATTTGGAGAATCTTTGCGATATTCATTCAAGTTTCTTGCTGCAAGTTCTTGCCTTCAAACCCTTAGTACAGGAGGACAGTAGCAGTCTACATCAGATTGACTTGAAAGGTATTATGAGTACTACTAGTTGTAAATTTGCGTAATTGAGAATGGCAAATAATATAATCTCATCATGGATGACAAAACCTGGCACCTCAACTTCCACTCATCTACTATCAGTAAGCCTGTGCAAATTTTAATCATGATCCTTGGTATAAATTTCACGCTCATTTGCGAGATTCATAAAAGTCTATAGTTTTGCAGATGAGGTGAAACCTCCATCTGCCATCCAAGCACTTCCTGTAACATAGCTGGCCATGGGACTACAAAGATATAGGGCAATATCCGCAATCTCCTCTGGTTCTGCAATCCGTCCTAAAGGAACTGCATATGGCAGTCGTTGATGTACCTGAGCGAGCTCATCGTTGTTATTTATCATCGGAGTGTTAATCCATGAAGGACAAATCGCATTGACTCGAATTCCGTCCGAGGCGAAGTCGACGGCTATTATTACATTAGACTTGTCATTTGATATCAAAATTCGGTATGGTCTGGACAATAGATACCTGCAGATCGTGTCAATCCCAGCATAGCATGTTTTGATGTAGTGTATTGGGCAGTCCCAGGGGCTGATAAAAAGGAATGGATAGATCCAATGTTGACGATGGATCCCTTGCCACCGTCTCTCGGTTTATTTCGGTGTGTGAGCGTAATTCGTGACTGGGCCTTCATTGCTTTACCCACAGCTTGCATGCAATGCAGAATGCCGTAAACATTTACACGGTTGACCCGCTCCCATTCCTCTAGAGATATATCCTCAAGTGAAATTGCAGTGTTCATCGATACCTGGAGAAAATGATTAGCGCGGAATTATCACAGATAGCATACATCTCGGGAGCCCACCCCTGCACAGTTTACATTGTAATCGATCCTTTCGAACATGCAAAGAGTTTGAGAAATCATGTCTCGAACTTGGGTCGGATCTGCCACGTCCACAGAAATGGCAAGGGTCCGATACGAAGAGTTTGTGGCTACCTGAACACTTTTCTTGGCATTTTCCTGAGCTTGAGCAAGATCAAGATCGGCGAAGACAACGCCAGCCACACCTTGAGCTGCAAAGGCTAAAGCACATTCCTGTCCAATGCCGCTAGCTGGAAAACTTAGCTAATTCCAACAAGATGACTGATGACATACTTACCTGCGCCTGTAACCAAGGCGATTCCATTTAAAGGAATCATAACGTCGATGGAATGCTTGTTAGCGAAGATGTCGAAAGAGAACTTGGAGGACTTGAAGTGAATTTATGTAATTTTCCTGATACACTTTTATGCTAGCAGAAATTCGACCTGAGTCATGATGCATGAGCCGATGGTTTAAACTTTTCCACTTGTTTCTTTGACATTCAAGTTTTCTACTTCATGTGTTACAATTACTGTAATGACCAATACCGGATGCTGTCCTTTGGCTTTAACTAATCTCTTCTAGTTCACTGACCAGGTGATGATCCGAACCTAATAATGTGGGAAGTAGGGAATTGGGGCCTTGCAGACTGCAGCTCCAGGTGTCGGCGGCGTATAACTAATAGACCGTAGATCTTGTTATCTGTTCAGCTGGGCATATGCAGTAGCTTTAATATGTATTCTGCAAATCTCCACCAAGTTATTGCTACGTGTTTTGACATGAAATGTATGACGATAATTTTCCTTTTTTCGGGTATGAGACTTCAGATTTCTTTCAACGATGTTTCAATTTGTTTGATTATGAATTTCTACTGGAAGATATAGGCGGCATAGAAGCTCAAGAAAGATTGTCCGATACTCCGGGTATTATACGATCCAATTTAATCAGCAATTCCTTCCATACCTTCTGCTGAGCTTGTTCTCCCTCTTCACTTCTGACAAAAGCAGAAAGTGCACCACTAAATTCAGGGTCAAATAATGGAAATTAAGAAAGAGCAGGTAAGCAACTCACTCATCGATTTTGCAGTCATTCAGATATTTGCCGTGGCTCTCAAAGCCCAAAGTGGCCGCGTGGACCAACGTACGAGAACCTTGCTCCGCTGTGCGAGCTATGGAATGTTTCATAAGCCAAAGTTGCCAACCCCAGAATCCCTTTACCGCGGTGACAAGATTAGTCACACAATAGCCAGGTGTGAGTCCATTGACAACCACCCTCGGACTTGCCAAGGTGATTTCCTTTGCTAGCTGTCTCATGCAGAGGACGGAAAGAAGTTTGGATGCGTAATATCTGATATTCAATGTTAGATTCCACCCAGAGGGAAATAGAATTAAGAATTAAGATACCGATCATCTGGCCCAGAGTAGCCCTTGCTTCGCAAAGCTTCAAATGTATCAGATGCTTTCCATTCCGGCAAGTTTGTCATCACATGGCGATCGGAGGACACGATCACCAACCGTGGAGATGGCTTTCCTGTTTGAGCCGAGCCGCGTAATTTAGGGAGCAGTAAAAGCGCCAAAAGAATAGTGCTCACAACGTTGACAGTTATTGTGCTCTCATCTTCCTCGGCAATGTAAAATTCCTGCGCTATTTTCCCCGCATTGAGAATGACCACATCTATACGCGGCAAGGTGGAAAGCTGTATGGCGAATGATTGGACTGATTGATAATTTTCCATATCAAGTTCGAACACGTCGACTCGGCTGGTTTGCCCAGCAAACTGCTCTAGGTCTTTCTTAGCCGCTTCTCCCTTGGCCATATTGCGCACCCCAAGGATAATCTGGGATGCATTCAACTTCAAAAGGTGCCGAGCTGCTTCGAGACCCAGGCCGGTGTTCGCGCCGGTGATGGCGATTGTTTGACCAGTGAAATCATGGTCGGGCTGGGGAAGACCAACAAACAACTGAGAGTATAGGAATGATGGAGCAGACATGGTAAAAAGTGAGGTGGTGTGAAGTTGAATGAAACGTTTGGAATCACTGCCATTTTTGTAGCCAGGACAGGGAATTTGAAAGGTTTCGTAAGAGACACGAGGCTAGGCCTATCCAGGTCGAATCCCGACAGAGGGCAGTGGGTAGGAGCAACTTACTGTAGGCCATCCTGAGCTATTGCAATAGAGGAGGACCAAGCGGCAGGCTGTTGGAGATTTTGCACCGATCTGCAATAGTAGTGGGGCTCAGCGGCTTCTCCAATGACATAAAGCCTTGTCCAAAAGCAAGATCCTCCTGATCTGCGCTGTGCATCCGAGCCGAGTGGGATATGTAGTATGCAATGGGGTGGAGCAATTAGGGCAATCCACCTGATCTGGTAATAAAACCACGAGCATGACTAGCCAGCCCCAGTCAATTAGTGATAGAAAAACTTTTCGTCAATTTTTCAGCGAAAAGATAGCCATGTACACTGGTCTAATATGTGTAATGGTACTTGCGGCGATCGCCGCTTTTTTTTTGGTTCGACGCCAATTGCCAGGCCAGAGAGGTTTCGAGTTACCTCCAGGTGCGTACAGATCCCTCGGTGCTGTCAAACATCTGAAGCCAACATTCGTTTGTAGGCCCGCCGTCTCTTCCCATCATTGGAAATCTTCGCCAGCTTCCAAAGACGGGGGCTCATCTAAAGTATCAATCATCCCCCTAGCATAGATAAAATTCTCTTTGAGCTAACGTTTCACGATAGGTTCACTGAGTGGGCATCAATTTATGGTCCCATATTCTCACTCAAGCTGGGATCACAAACGGCTATAGTTTTGAGCTCCCCATATATGATCAAGCAGCTTGTCGACAAGCAGTCGGCTGTCTATAGCGATCGAACCAAGTCGTACATCGCTGACAATCTGGTTTTTCACAATGACCATCTTATGTTCCTTGGTCCTGATGCCAGGTGGCGAAGAGGGAGACGACTTTACCATCAATTCTTCAACGAAGCTCTTTGTGAAAAGAGTTATCATCATCTTCAGAATGCAGAAGCTACACAGCTTCTGCAAGACCTCTGCCACAGTCCAGAGCTGTTTATGAGTCATTGCAAGCGCTTCACGAATAGCGTAATCATGAGTCTTCGTGAGTATAGATTACTTTTCGGAGCCCTAAATCGCTAATACGACTCTAGTGACCGGTATTCGGACACCAACTTCAGCCGCTTCTCATATGAAAGGTCTATATACTGTACTGGACAGTATCTCTGAGATTTTCGAAATTGGCGCTACTCCACCCGTTGAATTATTTCCCTTTTTATCATGGATCCCAGAGTGCATTTTCAATAATTGGAAATCTCGCTCCGCTGCCCTTGCACGAACAATGAATTCAGTTTATGGTCCGTTGGTTGACCGTGTTATACTCCGTCGCGAGAAATCAGAACACAAACAAGGGGAGAGCTATTTGGATATGATTTTCGACCAGCAAGAAAAGTTGCAACTGACTCGGCACGAAATCGACCTGATGTTGGGAAATCTACTGGAAGGCGGGTCCGATACCGCATCCATTACAGCTATCGCTTTTATCCAAGCCATGGCCTTGTATCCGGAGGCCCAAAAAGAGGCCCAAAGGTCTATCGACGATATCATTGGTTCAGAAAGAACCCCTACGTGGGATGATTTCCCTAGATTACCATATATAGTCATGGTGGTCAAAGAAACACTGCGGTGGCGACCTGTGATGCCGACAGCCTTTCCACACGCTACAAGCAAAGGTAAGGTCTTTCTGTCAAGAGTATCACTTTCTCGTGGAGCTTCATTTCCTCCTGCTAAATATTGTCATAACAGAAAGCACAATTAATGGGATGACCATTCCAGCAGGATCCACCGTGATTATGAACGTCTGGGGGTTGCACCATGACAGCGCCGTACATGATGATCCTGATTATTTCAATCCATTGAGATACAAAGATCGCACTGAGCTTGCTCCAAAATACGCATCCTCGGCGGAATACGAGAAGCGCGACCACTATGCTTACGGGTCTGGACGTCGTATCTGCCCTGGGATTCATCTGGCGGAAAGAGGCCTCTTCTTGGCCTTTGCAAAGATTCTATGGGCATTTGATATCACACAAAAGCTAGATTCCAGTGGGATTCCAATTCCAATTGATAGCGATCCAGCTACTGGGTATACGGATGGATTTTTAAGGCGTGCGAAGCCTTATGCTGTGAGTATCAAACCTCGGTCAGAGAAAAGGCAGAGAACCATTCTCACCGAGTTTGAGTTTGCTGAGCGAGAGGTTTTCAGTAAATATGAAATATGACTTCTTGGTACTTTAGTATCAGAATTCTAATGGAGGGAAATTTGGACGTCAATAAATTGTATATTTTCTCATGATATACTTTTTCTAGGTATACCTTCATATATTCAAACCTTTCAAAGATAAATATGAGAACAGAATTTCCCCTACTTAGGCCAATATATCTGGGCGCTTACTAGGTTTACAATTCTTTGTTTATGCTGAGACTCGATATCGGGGTTATTCCGCCAAATAACCACATCCTTAATTCATAGACTTCGACTGTGAGCCAATTTAAGTCAATTGTACAGGATTACCGAGGTATCGAGGTCATCTAGCCCGACAGATCAACTACTCCGTTCTCGCGACTTTCCATTATGACTTGCTTTCTCGGTAATCTTGGATTCTTCCAGGTATACGAATGTAATTCAGACAGCAACTTGAATACTTGCTAAATCTTAATACGTAATATGAGCACTTTAATTCCGTGGCTCATGTACTCTTTCAAACTAGCGATATCTATCTTGCATTCGTTTCCAATCAGACCCACTAGCTGCACCTACTGTAAAATATGATGTGTCAAAAAGTCAACTTTTATTGGTGACCTCTCGCAGTCAAGATGGGAACAGGAACGTGTATAGTTTGGCCGTAACGGGTCACCTGTCGCGCGGTCTTATGCGTAAACGCATTAGACTGTAGCGTCAGAGAAGGCCCGTCCGCGCTCCCTTGTAGGGAGGCAATGTGTCTGTATATTGTAATGCTAGTTTCTAAATACAGAGGGGGGTGGGAGGGACAAAATCGAGCCTTGACTGCGTGAGAGGTGACGAGCTATCACCAGAGGCAAGCAACTGACTCTTGCGAGGCAGTTGTAGGAAGTGTCGAGCGGAAAGAGTGGTCAAATACCACTAAGACGCTTTTGGGTGGGATGTTCATCGTCCGCCCAATTCCCCACGTATTCGTGTGGTATTCGGTGTAGACTCGGAGTATGGTGTCGTAACACACCGAAACTAGATGATACAGACTCTCACGAGTGTTCAACCACTCTGATCTTTAATCAATCAATCATATGTTTCTATTGGACATGTTCAGTACTAGCCAGTACATCAATTCCTTATCCTGACAATAATTTTTCTAATCTCGACGAGCGAAATGACAATACAAAATTCTTTAATTACGCCGCATTGCGGGGGCTGACTGGCAAACACCAGCTCCTGCATCGCTAGTCACCGACGATCGCCGTGCCTAGACTTGTGATTGTGGGGCTCAAGAGATCGTAACGAATCGCCCGAAGCCAGTAATAGGTCATACAGTACTCCAAAGACTTGGGTCGAATCCACTTCCAGATAGTTAGGACCAATCACTGGCTCGTCTCTTGAGCCTACTTACCTTTTTTCCATTTCAAGACGAACCTGAGCCAGAAACACTCATGAAAGGAGTACGCGCCCTTTCGACCCCTACCTAAGGCAATTCTTTCTCCGGTGCTGTTTCCTTGAGGGCAATAAAATAATGAGGAAGAGAAAATTGGCAATCTGGACCCTTGTACGTGAGGCCCGTGTGGACATCATCCTTCAGTTGGTCGCAATGGTAATAAAACGCTTTTGTAGTGCTTGTTAGGACAATCCCCGGAGGGCGTCCTGATACGATAAGGATAGGAGTGAAGAATGTGAGATATGCCTGATATAGGTATGATGATATTCAGACTAATCGCTGGTCCTCCTAAGAGGATCCAGCTCCTCCCTTTAAGGGGATGCCTGTGTGCGTATGCAAGCAGGTAAGCGAGGTGATGTATCAACAAGCGGCTCCGGTGGTGGATAGGCACCTCCTCCGCATCTCCTACACCTCATTGTATGGTTGGCGTAACAGGTACAATCAACTACAGGAGTCATTCTTGTTGTGATATGAGGCTGGTGCAGATCAGGAACCAAGCCGAACCATCGGAATTAATCCCGAGATATCTATACGAAGAACCAAATTGATTTCCAATCAACTTGTTCTTCTCGTTGTATATATAGCCTCATGTATCTCTCTAAATAGTATAACTCAATTAATACCTCTGAACTACAACAATTAGAACGTACTTGCCAAATTCATTTATCAAGTAGGCCACGGTGGCAGCTATGAATCGCCGTCTGCATTGGCCACAGCCAAAGCAGTCTGCCGTTGGATATACTCCATCTAGCACCAATTGTCAGCAACTGGCGCAAGATGGGTGTTCGCCACTCACCGTGCTCGCGGCCCTGATGAGATTCCTAATACCAGCAATTCAGTATCTCGATCGGGCTCGTGGGAACGACCGAACCAGGGCTGTGTTTCACTGCCCTCCTTGTCAGCATGAAACTGGTGACTGAGTATGGTACAGTACCCAATTCAATGTATAAAAAGTGTCGTGGTGCGGCGATTTGTGTCTTGATTTTCCTGCCACGTGACCTTCGTCCGGGTTTTTCGTTTGAGTTTCTATTGGCTGAGAGTATTTCAGCTTTCCTACCACCAATTTTCAATAATAGGTAAAAAGGAAAATAGTTTCGAAATCTCGTGAATGCGAGCTTTCTATTAATACTACAGTAGAATTATTTCTATCTGGGCATTGTGGTGCTGTGATCACCTGTCACAATTTGCCTTCACCAGCATGATTATTGACAGGTCCGACCAAAAGAGGCAATTGAAGAAGCGAGTGTGCAATTGGGGCAAGGCAGGGGCCGATCAGCAGGCAACGAAATAGCTCAACCCCGGGTTACTTAGGGCCTTATGGATCAGAAAGCACTCTCCAAGAACTTTCATTTATGTACTCCTTTTGTCCCACTTAATTTATCTGCCCCCCGACCTCCCATAGGTGAGTTTGAATATCGCCTGTATTACCTGTTGGCGGTTGTGCACAACCATGGGTGCACTTCGTGAAACGGCCAGCACAAATTGTGGTACAAATGACGGGCTGTGAGTGGTGAACCAAGATACTAGTTCATCCAAGCGATACGCAGGCGTCCGGGAACCCAAGGAAGATATATACTACTGACCGCTGGGTCGGGCTAAAAGGAGAAACATCCTATCTCATGATTGTATATAGGTCGTCATTCCAAGTCAATCTGTTAGTAGCTCGAGTGTGTTCCCTACGTGATACAGGCTCCTCTTCGCATACATATGACGGTTCTCCCAATCCCATCAATCATCCCCGGTACGACGCAATAATCGTTCCAAAACCGAGCAATCTAAATATTTTTATAGGAAATTCCAAACGAAAACAAAAGCCGGAACTATGAAGATATTTATCATGCTGTTTGCGGTTACTTTCGCAACATCGGCGGTAGCAAGACCTGTGATTGAGGTCGACAATAAACTTGATTATCTACTGGAAAAGCGCCAGGTATGCAAATAAGGAGCAGAGGTCATACGCAGTAACGGTATTTTATAAAGCTGATCTAATTTGAATGGCTATAGACTGTAAGTGCTTGGTCCAAGCTTGGAAATTATAGTATGGTACAGAGCTGAACGAGATGGTATGTGAATAGTGTGTGAGTGGTTAATTCAAGCTCGGGAGACAGATTTCAAGGTACAGTACTGATTGAGATGGAATATGAATAGCCTGTAAGTGATTGATTCAATCTTGAGAGGTGGCTGGCAGATGTGATGGACATAGCCTGTGTATTTCCCTTGCGATGGAGTTACATAGCTATATGAATGCAGGTGACTGACAGAGGTGGTGAGCATAGACTGTGAGTATTTCCCTTTGTGAAAGAGCTACATAGCTATGTGGATATAGGTGGCTGACAGATGTGGTGTGCATAGTGTGTGAGTGCTTCCCCATGGATGTAGTTGCATGGCTATGTGAATACAGTTGGCTGACAGGTGTGCTTAACATAGCCTGTAAGTGTTCCCCTTGTGGTGGAGTTGCATCGCTATGTGAATATAGGTGGCTGATAGATATACTGGGCATAGGGAGTGAGTATTTCCCCTGGTGATGCAGTTACTTCGCTATGCGAATATAGGTGGCTGACAGATGTGCTGTACATAGGGAGTGAGTGTTCCCCCGTGAAGGTATTTCATCGCTATGTGAATACAGGTGGCTGACAGAGGTGGTGGGCATAGGGAGTGAGTATTTCCCCTGGTGATGGAGCTAGATAGATATGTGAATATAGGTGACTGACAGAGGTGGTGGGCATAGAGAGTGAGTATTTCCCTCCATGATGAAGCTACATAGCTATGTGAATATAGGTGGCTGACAGATGTGGTGGTGGCATAGTGTGTGAGTGTTTTCCCCTGTGATGGAGTTACATAGCAATGTAAATATAGGTGATTGACAGATGTGGTGGGCATAGTGTGTGAGTGTTTCCCCAATGTGATAGAGTAATATTGCTATGTGAATATAGGTGACTGACAGATGTGGTGTGCATAGTGTGTGAGTGTTCCCCGTGATGTAGCTGCATGGCTATATGAATGCAGGTGGCTGACAGGTGTGCTGGGCATAGACTGTGAGGGTTTCCCCTTGTGGTGGAGTTACTTCGCTATGTGAATATAAGGCGGCTGACAGATGTGGTGTGCATAGGGAGTGAGTGTTCACCCGTGAAGGAGTTGCATGGCTATGCGAATACAGGTGGCTGACAGAGGTGCTGGGCATAGGGAGTGAGTATTTACTCTTATGATGGAATTGCATCACTATGTGAATACAGGTGGCTGACAGGTGTGCTTAACATAGCCTGTGAGTGTTTCCCCTTGTGATGGAGTTACTTCGCTATGTGAATATAAGGTGGCTGACAGATGTGCTGTGCATAGGGAGTGAGTGTTCACCCATGAAAGAGTTGCATTGCTATGCGAATACAGGTGGCTGACAGAGGTGCTGGGCATAGGGAGTGAGTATTCACTCTTATAATGGAATTGCATCACTATGTGAATATAGGTGGCTGATAGATGTGGTGGACATAGGCTGTGAGTGTTCCCCGTGATGGAGTTGCATTGCTATGTGAATACAGGTGGCTGAAAGGTGTGCTTAACATAGCCTGTAAGTGTTTCCCTCTGGGGTGGAGTTGCATAGCTATGTGGATATAGGTGATTAACAAAGGTGGTGGGCATAGTGGGTGAGTGTTTCCCCCTGTGATGGAGTTGTATAGCTATCTGAATATAGGCGTCTAACATACGTGGCGTGTATAGTGTGTGAGTGATTCCCCGTGATGGAGTTGCATGGCTATGTTGATATAGATTACTGACAAAGGTGGTGGGCATAGAGAGTGAGTATATCCCCATGATGGAGTTACATTGCTATGTGGATACAGGTGACTGACAAAGGTGGTGGGCAAAGTGTGTGAGTATTCCCCCGTGATGGAGTTACATTGCTATGTGGATATAGGTGATTAACAAAGGTGGTGGGCATAGTGTGTGAGTATTTCCCGGGGATGGAGTTGCGTTGGTCATGTGGATATAGGTGGCTGACATGTGAAGATAGTAATTGGGTATCAACATGTACCTGCTAATTGCACCCTAACCCTCGTTAAAATTCAGAAGGTATGTCTACCTAAACCTGTCAATTTTATTATCATGTGCTAATCAATTATGTTGGTCCACAACCAACCCTATTTATTTCCTACTCAGTTGATCGGAGGATTAGTACGGACATGCAGTGGATGCAAGGTGGGGAACCCGCTTAATAAGCCTTGGTATGGGTTTTTTTCCCTATTTCATAGGTTTTCCCATATCTTCGTGCAAATGCAGAGGCTATAATGTCATCCATTTTACTTTTCATTAGCCAAGCACTTAAGGAAGAGTCGCTTCTTATGTGTAAGTTAGTATTGTATGGAAGTAGGTATCTTTCACGACCAAAATAGGCCGCTAGTTGTCTTTTCGTAATGGTATTGCAGCTTGCATGAAAGTCTGGTTTATTCAATGATAGGGGCAAAAAGCTATTTAACAAAGGTTACTGCTAGACTTCGGCAATGGGTCCAACTTTTGGACCCATACCCAACCCATGATTAGACTGCGGCACTAACCGCAAAGACCGCGGTTAACCTAAAACCTAACCAAAACCGCAGCGGTTTTGGTCTTCATCCCAAGACCGCAAAATTTTGCGGTTCGGTCTTGGTCTTCAAATGAAAACCGCTGCAGTTTTGCGGTTAACCGTAGTGATGTTGTAATTACAAAATTGGCCAACTCATTACGAAATATTGAAATTTCAATTTTTTTTTCTCATTTCAATTACATTTCAAGGGGCTGGTGGCTGCTGAGTCATCAAGAGCGGTAAATTCTTCCAGCCAATAGGGCTAATAACTTATGATTCTGCCCTCCTATTCTTCAAATATGCTGTAGCTCCTGGCAACAGGTGTCAGAATATATATCTGCAATACGTGTAGGATGTTCTAATCCCTTTGTAATTGCATCATCTTGGAAATGTCTAATCACCCTTTCGGAAAGGTCTCCTACTCCGAGCTCGAGCTTCAAAGGTGCTTTGAAATCGTACAAGGCGATACCAAGGTATTGATTGATTGATAGACCCATCTTGTACTCCTCTGATTTCGGCTAGGTACCTCAAGCAAAATGCCTCGGATGCTTGAAAATTCGCGCCAAAAACACGACACGTCAGAGTGAGCATGTTAATAAATGCACGAAAGCACAGGCTCTGATGGATCCTGAGACCGTCACAGGAAAGAAACAGAAGCTGCTAAGCTTTTCTGCTTCTCAGCCATCTCGAGGTATTGATCAGCTAATAGCCCAGGTCTGCTTTACTGGGGCTAGGCCCTTTAATCTCTTCGAACAGCAGGAGATGCGAGATCTTATTCATGCGTTAAGCCCAACGTACCAAATCCCTTCCCGCCAACGAATTGCCGATGATCTGCTGGATGAAGCATATAATGAACTACAGGAGGAGGTGCTGAAGGAACTACGGAGAACCGAGTTCCTGAATATCACGGTGGATGAGACCACTAATATTCGATCCCAGCGGGTGATTGTGATGACTATATCAACACCAACGAAGTCATGGTTTATCCACCTGAATGATATAGAAGATAGGACTCTTGATGCCCCTGCTATTAGTAGTTGGGTCTTGAATAGCCTTCAACATCTCCTACTCCAGCTGGATAAAATGGTTGACTGGAAGAGAATCAATTCTATCTCGACTGACACATGCGCTGTTATGAAATCGGTCTGGGAGAAGCTGGAGAACACACCAGAGCTTAGACACTGCTTTATGATTCCTTGTGACTCTCACGGGCTTCAGCTAATTATGAAGGACATTGTTGATTCTAAGGGTTCAAAGGTTCCACAGGCCGGGGAGGTCTTTAGGTTAGCGCTTGAATTAGTGGTCTTCTTCCACCACTCACCACTCGAGTACGCAAGGATGCAAGCAAAGCAGATTGAGAAGTGGGGTTATAGAAAAGCTCTTATTGCGTCGGTCATCACAAGATGGGGAACGCAATATAATATGCTATCCTCCCTTCACGACTGCCAAGAGGCTATCTGCGAATGGACACTCATAACTCCTACTACTTCGACTGCTAGGGGACGACAGATTATTCGGATAGCCAACTCTCACTTGTTCTGGTGGCAGCTAAAGGAGTTGATTAAAATCCTCAAGCCTCTGCATATTGCCCAAAAAGAATCCGAAGCTCAGAACTCGTCGATCATGGAGGTAACGCAGCGGTGGCTAGATCTTCATGAAGATCTACGAATATTGGCCTCCCAAACATCTCTTAAGGACGATTTCTTATCCTATTTGGATGGTATAGGCTGGCAAAGTCGAATACTACGTCAGCTAGAGCCTATTCACTGGGTAGCCTATCACCTGGACCCTTCTAGAGTCCCTGGGAAAGTTGACCAAAGCTCTCGAAATTATATCGAAGATGTCCTGCGGCCTCTACAGAATGACGATAAAAGCTCTTCCGCTTGGCATGAATTTCTGTCATTCAGGCAGAGAACGGGCGCTTTTTATAATGCCTCCTGCTGGAAGGCCCAGAGCCCATCTCTCTTTTGGCTTGAGGCAGTACGTTATACTATCAACGATTAAAACGAAGACCTTACTTACGATATACTTATATAGGAGGACTATGCTCCGCTTCTTGCACCCTTTGCTCGTCGTCTCTGCAATACTGTAGCGAATTCAGCGGCAGCGGAGAGAGCCTTTTCGCAAATGAACCTTCAACATACAAAAGTCCGAAATAGACTCGAGCCTCACCGCGTTGAAAAGTTACTTTTCGTGCAGATTAATAAACGACAATTCCGGGCAGAACGGCCACCCGAAGTCTCGCAAGAATCACTCCTTCAAGAAGAGGATGACGAGATAGAGAGGGTTTTGCAACGAAACCGAGTGCTAGACGATCTATCAGAGGGCTTAGGCCAACCACCAGATCAACCACCAGAGCAACCACCAGAGCAACCATCAGAGCAACCATCAGAGCAACCACCAGAGCAACCACCAGAGCAACCATCAGAGCAACCACCAGAGCAACCATCAGAGCAACCACCAGAGCAACCACTAGAGCAACCACTAGAGCAACTACCAAATCCTGAATCAAATTCAACATTAATCTCCAAAACGACTTGTTCATCAACATCTGCCCTAGTTTCAGCATTGAATTCAGCATTGACTTCAGCTTCAGAATCAACCAATCCTGCCCTCATTTCTGCGTTGAATTCAAGGCTTAACTCATTGTTGAAGCCAACTTCGGAGCCTCCTTCCAGTCCTTCAACGGAATCCACAACAAATTCAGGTTCAGCTCATCTTATGCGGACGAGGTCGAAGCGTGTATTTGAATGGCCTCAAGGAGTTCCGGATGATTGTGCGCGGCCAACTCGTCGACGGTGTGGGACAGATAACACCTAATGTCAATGTCACACCCTTCACGTTCGAAAGCTTTGATTGGTAGAATAGAAGATAATCATTACCACTTTGGGACTAGCTCTATTTCAAGATTTCAAGGCCCATTTCAAATTACATTTCAAGCGGCCAAATTTCAGAAATTACGAAATTTTGAAATTTCATTTTAACATCCCTAGTTAACCGCGGTCTTGTAAACAATACAAACATGCTAAGCCTCGTGACCTGCTGGGCAGATAGATTTTTATGCAGTTTTTTTGGTAATTTTGTTGTTTCGGTCATGTATGAGAGCTCTGACTAATTGTCAGGCGAAAAATCATCTCCAGGATATACGGAATACAGAGACTACAGAACAAAGAAACTGGATAGAAGACCAAATCAAGAAATATAATCTGACAGTATTTAAGCTACAAAGGCGCCAGTTGGAACCCCTCTGGCATTTTAGGCTTCTTGCGAATCCGCGTCGCTCGCTGTGTGCCTTCGTGTTCCATTTGATCCTCCTGCGAGCTAGTACTTCCAGAACGCGCTCGTTTTTGTGTCTCTCCTGATGGCTCCTGTCTATCTTCCTCCTCCTCCTCCTCCTCCTCCTCCTTCTCTCCTTCCTCCTCTTCATTATCGCTAATTGGATCCAATGCTGGAAGAGGGGCTATTGATCCTCTGTCTTGTTCAATCATCGCTGCCTCACCCGCTAGTACAAGCTCTTTTGTAAAGTCAATCTCTCTCTGTTCAACCTCAAATTTTACAGCACACGATTGCAGCATCAACTCCTTGATAGTATCAGCGTTAAGGCGGCCCCGTCTGTAGTGACAAATATCTCGAGCACAGTTAAAAAGACGCTCAACACCTGCGCCACTCGCAGGAATTGAAAGAATATCCCGGGCTAGTGCAGCCAGCACTGGGAACTCTTTTTGATGCTCCCTCCAGAATAAACGGGGCTGTTGTGAAATAAGGCCTAGATAAAATTAGTATCTGAGATAGACAGATACGTAATTAGACTTACCTTTTGCAAGATATCGAGCCAGTTCATCATCCTCCTCCTCTGCTGGTACTTCTGCTGCATAAAATGAAGTCTGTGAGTCACATAGCATCTCAATCTCATTAATATCACTGGAGTTCTGCCGGACATCAGAGGATGATTCTTCAGCTTGATCTGAAAATCGCCGTTTGTATCGCCAGAACTCTTTTTCAAGACACCCACGATATCTTGCACCAAAATCAATATCCCCTTGCCAATCTCTTGAGGTAAAGAATCGAAGTTTCTTTGATGGGGCAAGAATGGTAGCAATACCATAAAGATCCCCATAAAACTCCTTATCAGTTGCTTGATAATACTCAGAAAGCTTTTCCCTTGCCGCCTGTAATGCCCTCAGCATTGATTTCTTCCATGGGAGTCTCTTTCGGCGAAGCTGGTTCTCGGAGTTCTCCAGGTGATTGAAAAGCTTATTGTAAACACCAAAGATAAGATGGATTGTGGTGTCTTTTGTTTTCGAGAGAGCAGTTGTAAACTTAAAGAATGGCTCAGTGATACACAGTAAGTAGTCGATCTGACGCCATTCTTCTTTGTCAAGCTGAAAATGGAGATAGCCGTTTGCTGTACAGTATTCTCGAAAGCTCTTCTGTAGTCGTTTTGCTCGGCCGAGCATCAGAAATGTAGAATTCCATCGAGTCCGTACATCTTGAAGAGGAAGCAGTCGAGGCTCCTGGGACTGGATTACAAGAAATGCAGCTCGGCGCTGAGGACTTGCATTAATAAAGATAGCAAGATTTCGGATCTACAGATAACTATTATTAGCTGTTATTCTCTCTCTCTTTCTGCTGAATCATCACATACCTTGTTCAAAGTCTGGATAATCTCTCTCTTTGATTGCTGGGAACGCGCCTGGCGCTCACGGTCATCTGGCCATCCATCCTCTGCCTCATTATTGGATGGCATTGCTTTTATTTTTCCGAGAAGTTGATTCAGACTCAGTTGGATCACATGGGCCAGGCATGGAACACGGAATATACCATTACCAAGCCTGTCACTTCCAATGCCCTGACTTTTAAACTCATCCTGAATACTGAGCATCATTGTATTGTTATTGGTAGCATTATCAGTTGTTACTGACAGAACCCGATCGGCAATTTTATACTTTTCGAGAATACCAATAACTACTGAGCTTAGGTTACTCCCAGTATGTGAGCCTTGTAAGGGTTCAAAGCCAAGTAGAGCCTCTCGATACTCCCAATCGTTATCCAGAAAATAACCAGTAATAGCCATAAAGCCCTGCTGGAAAGGTGATGTCCAGCAATCAAGTGATAGAGATAGTCTACTATCCTCTGGGAGCATATCTATTATACTCTGTTGTCCTTGTTGGATATTCGAGTGTAGTTGTCGGCTAATCGTCCGGGGCGAGGGTAGTTTGACCCGTGAGGGAGCAACAGCAATTAGATCAGCTAATTCCTGGAATTCTGGACGATCAAGGATACGGAATGGGAGCCGTGCGACGAGGATAAGAGATAGGACTTTCTGGGCAAGCGCTTCTTCAGAGAAAGTAGTTAAAGTTGCTCTTGAAGTTTGTGACTACAAATTATAAGTTATTAGCTAAAAGCAGTATCTTAAAGATAGTATATATACTTACCTGCTTCGCAAGTAACTTGCCAATCCCATGCTTTGGATGACAGGTATTCCCTTTCAGATGTGTGTTCATTGGTGATGTTCCTCCACGCCGAATATTTGGATGAGTAAGTGTAGTAAGGCAACGCTTACACATAACTTTAGGCTCTCCTGTCCGTTCATGAGCTACTTGCTCAAAGTGATCCCAGACTGAAGCTCTCTTTTTGTGGTCCCAATGAATGGTGGTCTCGATGTCTTTTCTTGTGCCATACTCTGTTTGAAGCCACCACTCAGTGAAATCCTTCCGAGTTTGGCCTGTTGCGGGGTCCATTTCTACAAGGATCCAAAATCGCTGAAGATGTGGCCCAGTACGTGTAAGGAATAAGGGCGCTCGCGGTAATTGCAGTTGTTGAGAGCAAATGGATGGTGTAATTGACTCGGTGGCAGTCCGACAATATGTACTGAGTGATGGCAGGTCATCTGGTAGGAGAAAGTCAGTATCAGAATGCTGATCGGTGAAGACTGATAAAGTATAGGCCATCTTTGGCTATGGTCTTGAGAGCCAATATGTGTAAATGAGAGACAAACAACTTACAAGATTCGACGAGAGGACCACAAACACCAGACGCGACCGAGGACATTGATGTGTTGCAAAAGCAATTATAGAGTGGAGTCAAAGATATACTCTAATTGGATATTAGAGCTACTAATACGGTTATCCTGCGGTTAACCGCAAAGACCCCTCACAATAACCGCACTAAGATTACCGAAAACCGCAAAAACCGCAAGATAACCGCAAAATACCCCTGAAAACCGCAAACACCACAGGAAAACCACAAGGTAACCGCAGCACGACCGCAATATAACCATTTATCACTGCAACTTTGCACTTTTAGGACATATTTTTTAACACTTTTATATTGTAATACTAGATTAAAAATTATTAGAGATATGTAAAAAACTAGCTCTTTTATAACATATGATCAAAATTCAGAATACTTAAAAATTAGTCAAGTTAGGCTTTTCATGTTCTACTGACCTAAAGATGCAGCATAATCTCTCTAAGTCAAATATATATTTCTGCGATAACTATACTCGATTACAAAAACTAATCACAACACACAGTAAATCTCGCCACCAATGTCCAAAATCCAACTTTGAACTTGAATTTTTTGTAGACTAATATTTTATCTTTTAGAATACCGCTCTATTTCAAATCATTTCCAACAAAAAGTAAGAAAAATAAATGATTACAGTAGTAATAACGAAACCATATGTAAGAATGCATTATTTGAGCTTAGTTATCAGGTGTATAAAAACGGTGGGGTGGCTTAGATAGGTAAGATCTTCATCTTTTATGCTAGTGCGGTTAACCGCAAGGTAACCGCATTGCGGTTTTGGTTAACCGTAAAATTTGCGGTTAGGTTTTGGTAAAGATCTTAGAACCGCAAACCGAATCGATTTGGGTTTGGTAAAGATATGAAAACCGCAGACCAAATCGATTTGGGTTTGGTTAGCATTTGAAGACCAAACCCAAAACCGTGCCGCAGTCTAGTCGGGTGGGTCAGCAGGGTTGACAGGTCGGTCTATGGACACGCACCGCGGGCGATGGGAGCACGCAGAATAGACGAATCAGAGGCCAAAGAAAGGGAATGGGCCCCCATTCCATTTGGGACTAGGGTATAAGTTGGAAACGTCAAAACCCTGTCATTCAGACCTACATTAGACTTGGTTTGCTGAGGCATACTTTACCGAGCATGTTTTGCAGCTTTCTTATCTGTACGACGTCCAATCTGCAGCAGACTGGAATGGTTATTCTCTTTGAAGAACAGGGTTTGATCTCGGGTAAGGATTCGATGTATAAGCCGAAAAGACAACTTACTAAGACTGGTTTTTCTGGGTAGGGTCCTTGTTCTCATTGGAACTTTTTACCGCGCCATTGCCTTTGTATTCCTGTCATTACCTACCATCAGTTATCGCTGGAGATTCTCATTTTAATTATATTGTATTTTCAGTCGAATCAAACCGACCAATAGAATACCACCAGCGAATAGGTAAGGGCTTTGCCACGCCTATTAAGGTCTAGAATCAACTTTTCTAATGAATCCTCTTCAATTTAGTCCAATTTCATGCCATTTGCGCGGACAATTGGTGCATAAATTGCACCACTAAGACGGTCGCGTAGTGTTGAACGCGGTACGTCATATACGCGCGCAGCTTCATAAATAGATGCAATTTCTTGTTTTTTGAGGACCTGTATTGGAAGTTCAATCCTAACCTCTTGCTCTATCAATTTTTGTCGCTTTGTAGTACGTACTCGTGGTATGGTGGTAGTTTGAAAAAGGAGAGATTCTTCACGCGACGCGATTTTCATGTGGGTTGGCGGCCCGGTGGTAGTGGCGGCCCGGTAGTGAATTACGTTAACTAGTCCGACAGGTCGCTCGCTTACCAACCACGGTAGGAGATTGAGTATGTGCTGAATCATCCTGCTGCTGGCGGTAATGTATCCTCCTTTTCAATCGACGCTCTTAAATGATGTTTATGTTGCTTTGATTCCAGTTGCTGTTCTCTCCAGATTTTTGTACCTCCACTCGTACTGGTCCAACTGCCTCCTGTGGGCCGGTGACTGAATCCCACCATTCTTTTCTGTCATTTCAGTTTCCTTCCGCTTTAGCATTTCCCATTGTTTAAGGATGCTGGCTTGGTGGCCTGTAATAGATTTAAGATTGGCATCTTCTGAATCTATGCGGCTTTCAAAAGTGGAATAATACGAAAGTTTCGCCTGAAAGAGGGCCATCTCGGATTCATCGTACTGAAAACCTTGGACTTCGGACATCAAGGAGCTTGAATCTTGCGGCATTTTGGCTCTGATTTCCTGTTTGCCGTCAATGAGGAACTAAAGTTGACCTAAGTCCTACTATCTCTGTACTTCTACAGAAATATTGACCACCAAGAAATTAAGCCTACAATAATAAGTTAAAAATTTGTTTTCAGTAGACTCTGCTTGAACAAGATACAGACCTACTAGCCCTTTACTCGTCAACTACTTGGAAGTGTGTCAAGGTGATACCAAGGCTCAAGAATGTTAGCATATAGACTTTAGAGTAAAACCGATGGCTGTTAAAAGGTATAAGCAACACGGAGTAAAAATAAGGCTAGTATTATCCTAATTATATATTAGCACTGGGCTTTTAATTATGATCACATAGAGACTGTGCCTCTACAAACCCAAGGGTGACTAACAAACGTTGAATGCAACCTGGTGCTACCAAAGTGCCTAGCCAGAACGACAGGCTAATCCTTTCTATCAGCTACAACGTATCTATTTAGCCTTAATACACTTAGCTTGGGATATTAAGCTTCTTCACTCATAGATTTGAAGGTTTAATACCATTACATTACTGATTTTAGCTTGTCGTGGGTAGATACAACTTCGACCGCATATAATCAGAAATTCAGGGCCCCTAGATTACTGCCACAAAGATGACCTTCAAACACGACGCGTTTCTGGGGGAAGAATTAGTTTCACGATGTTATTGCCGAAAATCCACAATTAATGAGGCATAATCTCCATTTTCAGTGATAATAACTACAATTAAATGTTGTATTGTACGCAAAACAGCATTATATGTAAGACCTCCGCACTCGGTATCTCCTAAGCCGCAGGCATGACTTACCTTAAAATTTTCTACGGAAAATATACACGGTGGCATGTTTTTGCATGTGAAATATTAGGCGCAGATGTAGAGCGCTCGATGAACACTCTGACTAACCGTTCTTGCTTATGGTTTCGCCCAATAATGATCTAGGTGGTTAAGTTCACAAACCTGGAGACGGTGAGTGTGTGGTGAACCCTTGTGCCGGACTTGTGGCAAAACTACGAAACACGAACCTTGAAATGAGCCAGGGTGAGAAAAAAGACTTGTCATTAGGTGGTTTTAATGGCTCCTTTGGTTATCTTCCCCAAAAGTTGAGAACCAAGGAAGCTGTAGCATATCTCTTTTGGAGCAAAAGCCCCACGGAGTCTACATTCGAGTCTAAGCAAGCAAACAATGGCATACTCTAAGGCTGCCATACGTAGGATATGCTCAAAGCAGAACGGGAAGTCCATCGCTAATAGTGTGTTCCTAGGAGCCTAATTTGTGAATTGACGATTTAGAGTTTAGATTATTGCAATTGTCGCCAAATGGATATTGGCGCTTGATTAGGTGAAACGGAAGACTAGGATAGAGTGGCGTGCATACCCTTGTTGATAATACGTCATAACCTAGCAACAGAGGTGTATCTATTTGGCTGGATATTATTTTAGCCAGTCGGAAGCCATGAATCAGTGTACACAATTCAGGGGGAGCAAGATGGTACCGCATGAAACACAACATCCGCTGTTTCACAAGCATCCTTGCCATAAGGTACATTTGGTCAATGCTATAGCCAGTATTTACGCTCTAGAACAGCTACAAGTTATTAAAGGACCTGATATTTTTAGTATAATACTTTGAACCATCGAGAGAACTCTTGATAAATATTAATGACATAGAAACTAAAGTACAGTCGATAGCGAGAACGGCTTCTACCCCCAAGACTGCTTTTCTTCTCCCAGGCCCCACTGCCAAGGCTCTAGCGCACGCCTTCCAATGGCCAGACCACACATTATAACGAATTGGCCATTACAGATCTATAGCTCCACTGTCATTTTCAGTCCTGAATCAAGCGTCACGAAGAGGGAGAATTTGGACAAAATCCCCGGATGGCTAAGAAACATCTCTTCCATGGAGGACACTTGGGCATCATTGGTCCAGACAATGGCTGGCCACTCTAGCATGGTTATCGCCGTGGCTTTCTCTCCAGACGGGAAGCAGGTCGCCTCTAGCTTGTGGGACATGACCATCAAGCTTTGGGATGCCACAACGGGTGATTGTCAGAAGATACTAGCCGGCCACTCTAGCCAGGTCACTGCTGTAGCCTTCTCTCCGGACGGGAAGCAGATCGCCTCTAGCTCGGATGACAAAACCATCAAGCTTTGGGATGCCATAACGGGTAATTGTCAGAAGACAATGGCTGGCCACTCTAGCCAGGTCACCGCCGTGACCTTCTCCCCGGACGGGAAGCAGATCGCCTCTGGCTCAGATGACGGGACCACTAAGCTTTGGGATGCCACGACGGGTGATTGTCAGAAGACACTGGCTGGCCATTCTAGCCAGGTCACCGCCGTGGCCTTCTCTCCGGATGGGAAGCAGATCGCCTCTGGCTCGTCGGACAAGACTATCAAGCTTTGGGACATAGCCAAATCCCCGAAAGCCTCAAAATATCCTGGGCACATTTTTGGCAGTCGCTTGAAGCTCCGTTCATCGCAGGAAGTCAAGACATCAGAGAGAATACACACCATCAAATTCTCAGGAGACTGCCGATATCTTACAACCAACATTGGTCCAATCAAGCTTGTGGCCCCCGCAGATGGACGAAAGACTGCCTTTGACTCAGTACGGGATATCTACGTCATAAATCAGTGGATATGCTATGGGGACATGCCTCTCATTCGGATACCATCAGAGTTTATCCCATCATGTGATGATGCACAAGGCGATCAATTGACTGTTGGATTCAGTAATGGTCGAGTTTTGAGCTTTAACATTGACCGCAGTAGCTTGCAGTCAATGATGGGAAATCTCTTTAGACTCTGCTAAATTATCAAGGACGGGATTTTTTTCATTTTAAGTACTGCAACCGTGCTTTGATCAATGACCTTGTAATTCTGTCTATTCTCTAATATCTAATAAACATAAAGAATATAGATTACTACCAAATCTAGGACAGGTTTCACGTGGTATACATATAGGGAGTGTCAATCATTTCAATATTCCTTCCTTCCCATATTTTCTAATCTCTTTGTAAAATAAATGCCTGGGAGAAAAAGCACTTTAAACTGTAAGACTGTACACTGAGTGTACGTAGAATGCGTCATTCAGTTCCACCAGGTTTCCAAACCCATATAGTAAGCTAGTAGAATACTTCGTGAATCGCGATGCACTCTAGTTCCAGTTTGCCAAGTTAGTGGCTAGATCTAGGAGTTACAGAGGGTGAAAGACCCTGAATGGCCTAAATTCATGCTTCCTAAACGGCACTGCACCAGCACCTTAAAAGTAGGTCCAAAAGGTGGAAGTAAGTCAAGGGCCGTACAGTAGTCACTATGACCTTCGGAGAGTCAATCATCCCGATTCCCAACCAAATAGTGCCAGTGGAACTGGGAAACTGAGAAACAATTCAGAAAGCTTAAGGGAAGCAGACCTTGCTAATGGCTGTACTATACACTGCTTATACGAGGAACTCGGTTTCAGGTTCCTGAGCACAGCCAATTGAGTGCAAATCATTATGGATCTTGTAAGTCATCCCCCCAAGGCGGAAGATGCCAAAGAGGAGCCTGAAAACATCGTTTTGTTGTTAGCTTCAATCAAAAAACATGTCATTGACATCAGTCGAAGGGGGCTGGGGCTAACAAGCTGAGTGTTGTGGTCAACGGGTGCATGGGTAGTCTGCAGGTAAGCAAGCTAACGTAAGTCGCTGGTTGGACTACTAAGGATTATGTGAGTCTCCAGAACCCTCAGTGTGACACGAGTACAAGGAAGCATAACTTGCCAGGTCGCGAGTCGGCTCTGGCTCAAGCGTTTGTGACTTTAGTGCGCGCTGATAGTCATAACGTCTTGAGAAGCATGTACGAAGCTCATCGCGACGTTTAATAAACGTTGATGGCCAATTCTTGCCGACAGTAGGTGGAGGGTTGCTACCGCGCGCAGCCAGTAGGATATTAGCCATTTCTGCTACAGTAGCAGGTCTAGGGGCTGCTCCACGCGTGTCCATAGAGATAATCCACTCAGTAAGCGAATCCTCTTCTAATTGGGTCAATTTATGGCGTGGGTCGCGTCTCTCTAACATAGAAACTACACCATGAGCGCGTGTTTGTAGTGTAGCGCGTGGTATACCGTATAGCTTTGCTGCAGCACGGATAGACTTGATACGGCCATTTTCAATATCATTAAGGGCTAGAGAAATCTTGCCCTCCTGATTACCCGATTTTGGCCGGGTTTTAGAGCGAATTGGTGGCATGGTAGGCGGTTGAAGTTGGTGTGTTGGTAGGAAGACGCGGTTTTGGATGGGGTGGCCAGGGTAGTCGGGTGGCCAGGGTAGCCGGGAATTACGTTAACGTAATTCCTGGCCGACCGGAACACCCGGCCGTGCGGAACACCCCAAAACACCATAGTAAATGCGATTATTCACAACTTCATATTTCAACCCTCAAGGCCAATTATATGGAACTAGGGTATCTTGATGTAAAATATGCCATACTGGGTATTTTTATAAGTTCAAGAAGTATTTCTGGGCATAGTAATGTAGATATATATATCTAGATCGCTCGATGTAAGCGTATTTTTGGTAATGCAAGTAAATAATAGATTGCTGAATATGTCATTCATGCTACAATATTTCTAATGCTAGGGAATTATAGCATGCTAAAAATGAAGCAAAATCATCATCTCGTTGTTGATATATTGATACCTGAAAAATCGTATTTAGTATGGTGTTTTGGGGTGTTCCGCACGGCCGGGCGTTCCGGTCGGCCAGGAATTACGTTAGTACCTATTGGTATGATTCGGAATTATGGTGTCATTACACGCCATAATACGATTATACAGACCCTTGAAATCGCTCAACCGTTCTCAGAACCTTCAATCAATTATCTAATTCTATTGGACATATTCGGTACTAGCCAGTACATCAATTCCTCATCCTGACAAGTAGAACTAGTCTTGTAGCATGTGTATGGTGGTTGTATTGCTGTGGATTTATGTGGGTCGCGATCCAGTGATCTAGTTACAGGACTAACCCTAATGCATCAATGGTGCGTATCAGGATGACAGGACAATACCATGAGTACAGGGGATCCAACATTTCTTGATGTATTCGTGGTATGTCACGAAAATTACCGTAATTGCAGTTACCGGCCTTATGAACCTATATTTATTTGCCATGACGCCCTGACCATGCGGAGCCTACCTAGTTTTTAGCTTGTCGATCGCACCAGTTTTGTGGAACCCAAGTGCTCCCCCTTCTCTCCACCCCAGATTTTCCCTTTTTATTTTTTTTTGTTTTCCTATTTACCTCGAAACCCATGAAACTGCTGCACTGGGAATATGGTATTTAAATATGCCTCAATCTTACCCGATAAATATGTAATTCAAACACATGACAATGGTGGCATATTTCGGGTCAGGGCTAGTCTTCTGTTCAGTTCAAGGGAAATGGCTATAAAAGTGAACGATAACCGGAACAAGCTCACATCGGACTCATATTCGATCTTGCATTCTAGCTAGTATCCATATAGAAAGAATTGATTGCTGTGCGAGCAGATCGAAGACTGTCATTTAGGTTGCCGATTTCTTTATTGATGAGGCTAAGACGGAACATCTCAATTGCTTCTGTGACCTCGCCATGTATACTCATCGTCGCACCGACTTGTCGAATATTTTCACAGCTTTTGTGAAATTTGCGGAAGCCTAGCACCACTGCACTTTGTTGCAGGGATTCACTATTGAAAATCAAAGAAACAAAGTCTCTTTTTGAACTACCCATAAGCACATCTCGTCAGAATGCCAGTTCACCTCTTTTAACTACCTTAAGTTGTGCACTTCGACCAAGGCAGGTTTGCGTGGGGCATCAGCGCTTACAGGGCGATCTCCATATAGTCCACTTTCTCCTTTCCTCTTTCAATGAAACCATAGAGCGCGGTCGAGCTACTCTTTCGATCTTCTTCCTCATCCATCTCCAACAACTGGGAGAAGACTGTCATATCAAGTACTCCCTTCAGCTTGATGTTGAGTTCATTTTTTTCCATGATCTTTTGAGAGGTTATTACTTGATAAGGTAAACGCCAAATGAATGGGTAGGCTTGCCTTTGTAGCTCTGTGCTGTGGAATGCTAGAGTATAGTATTTAAAGTGCAGAAATCTCATGCGTTTTGGAAAGAGACCACGAAAACGGGTTTGGGTGGGGGTGGGGGGAGTTCCACAAAAGTGGTGCGATCGAGGTAAAGCTAAAACTCAAGCTAGGCTACGTATCGCCACGGGGACATGATTGACCCAGTTCTGGAAACTGTATTTACGGTAATCTTGTTGATCAACCATAAATACAACAAGAAAAACGGTTGGACTTTCTTTGACCATATTAAGTTCAGCGCTAAGTGAGTGGGGCGCTAGAAAAGAAGGCGTGAGTGTCAAGGGGGTAATCTGCTTTCGAATTCTACTGTATACTGATTTAGTCGTTGATTTATCTTAGAAGACTTAGATGGTCCGTAACAATGGTGGTTACGCCTTTAGAGCCGCGGGAGGCATCCTTGTCATTGTCGGCCACAGCACCCTTAACTTTGCGAGGGAAGGTCGAAAATGACAGATGATGACGTAAGACGTAAACAGGGTGGTATTTATTGTGTGCTTCGAAATAAGTGCTTATGAAATGTTATAATTTAGGATTATGCTGAGGTTTTATTTTACCACAGCGCTTATTCTGCTCTCGGCCATATTCTACCTCCATCAACTAAACAATAGATCATCCTTTTTGCGGATTCCGGGTGACGTCAGAACGAGGATCATATAAGAAGGCTGGCTATCCTCTGTGGTTGGATATGATACCCGTCAATATGTCTTAACGAAAAATGCTATTCAGGCCAATAGAATAATGCGTCAATAGTCTAGACTATTGGGATCTCATAGTTCATGTGATTGGTCGGATAAAAAAGCCGTGCATTTTATATCTTGGGACAAACAACTTCATAGGCTCTCGGCCTTTAGTTCCACCAATACTCGGATTTTTGAGGACATATCGCTTGAAATACTTTCCAAACACAATCAATGCTTCCCTAATATTTCAATTTGCCATTCAAAATCTATAGTAACCGCGTTCACCTTCACATAAAAAACCCCAGGAGGTCATTTGCCTTTTAAACTCCCGGTCGCACAGCAGGTGCAGATCTTATTAACATCAGTGGTGGCTGTCTATCCCGCATTTTTGTTCATTCTCACGGGTTACGAATACATTTTGCAACAATAAATGCCACTTGATTTTATCTCTTCTCCGGGTTTTGCTGGATGAACCACAGCCCAACATTTTACGACACACATGGAACATTATCTGTCCGAATTGTACTGCAAATGCGAAAGAAAGCTCGAGATATAGTCGCAATGTTACGGCTTTGAGTACTGATAGAAGATCCTTCCGGCTAGCCTTTTTATGGTTTACCTTATAGCTTGTCCCTATCTGAAAGAAAATATCTGTCTGGGCGACTTTTGAAGGGTATGGCTACTCTGTCTGCACAATAGGCTGGAAGTACGCCGAACTCGGAAAGTGGCACTATGCCAGCAGCAGCGAAGTTAAGCCATGGCCGATTGGGCCGGGGAGAATGCGAAGCCCTCGGCTATTTACGGGAAGGATAGATTAGAATTGATTCGTAAAAGCCCGAACTAACAAGCTATTATATAGTTGTAGCTGGCATGTAAAATCTGTGTCATCTTCCTGGGGCACAATCTAGCATCGAATGATTTCCTCTAATACGAAGCAAAATCTTTCACAAAGTCCGTGATTTGACAATGTTCTAGGTTGCTTCAATGCACTGATTCTTTGAAGAAGCTACAATGACCCTGCCAAGCCCGACTACGTCATTTATTTCAATTCTCATCGGTATCAATGTGCCACCAAGATGTGGATACCTAATGCGCATTCCTACCGGTCTCTTTTCCATCCTTTGTGTGATGGAGCCTAAACCCGGGGTCCGCACCTAACTGGTACCGTCAGCCTCGACTGATAGGTTCGGATCTGGCCCCAACCAATCCTAGATGGATCCACATGGGCTACCCTGATCTGCTCAGCATACAAATGGTTATCATTTGCCCGCATATCCCAGCCAGTTAAAGCCTCCTTATATGTCTCTTATTTTTGCGGGAGAATGCAAATCATATTAAAACACTTTCTGACCTAGGCTACGTATTGTTTGCATCCGATGGTCTCAGTGTTATGGGATGCCTCGGAGGCCATCGTACCTTTATGAAATTTGAGCTTATGGTCTGTCTAGATTGAATTTCTAGCTTTCCCAACTTCTTCGTCAATTGATCATGATTTCACGAAACGAGACTTTGATGCGGTAATGCAACTATACTTGGGATTAAAGAACCTTATATAAAGGATGTTGTTGCCGGTCGGGAGTTCTAGGCATTATTCGATTAATTACTTAACGTACCGCATCTGCCTCAAAATACCACCATAATGGCGGAGATGTTGCACAATCTCCCTCTATTTTTCGAGCTTCTCAGAGACTATGTCCGCTCTCCACTTTTGATCTCAGGACGTTATTTTGCAGGGCTAACTATATCAATAGCTGGACCTTAATGACCTTGCTGTACTGGCTCGGACGTGCCGTGAATGGAAAAATTTAGTCATCCCGCATCTATATGCCACTATCCAGTTTCATAGCCCAGGATGCTTTGGGGAAAACGACCAACTTCAGTTGAAACTGGATACCTTCGGAGATCCACGGTGTACCAACCTTCAGTATACTCAGCGGGTGTTAGTTACAGGATCCTGGTACGATATCTACCATGAGATCGACTCGAATCTGGGCTCTCAAAGTCTACTTTCACCAGCTGCGAGGATGTTAAGCAATATCATCGCTTCATGTGTTATACGAATGACGAATATAAAGGAATTTATGTACAAGCCCCTTGATTATAATTTGTTACTCATCGCATGATCCGTAATTATCCTGCAGTATGAATGCCACTGACTATGTTGAACAGCTGGGACCTAGCAGTTTCCCCGACTCAACATCTCGTCACTATCCTGATTTTCACGTCGACGCTCCAGAGCTTGCAGCTGCGGCTAGGTACTGACAGCACGCCCTCACCTTACTTCCACCCACCGATAAAATTTTGGCCCCCGATCAATGTTAGGGCGTTGGTCCTCATCCAGATCGATGATGAGTCGGTCCTGCGATCCATCGGGTCGGTTCTTCGAACTGCCACTCGCTTGAGAGAATTGACCATGTGGGCTGATGGAGATTACATGCTACGCTTCAGTCAAGTCTCTAGCTCTTGGTGTGGCCAAGTACCATTCAAGCTAACATCTCTGGACCTCAGAGGATTTGTGGACTTGGGACGGCCATCATGTCCGCTCTGGAGCCTGCTTTCGCCGGTTGCTTTGAAGGCTTTGACCTTGAATGCCAGTTTGAATGTCGATTCTCTCGATTTTTCATCATTCTGGGAGACCTCAGTCGCCGCTGATCTTCGACCAAAAACATTATCTACGAATCTCGTCATGAATGGGTTAGAGGGCTTCATACAATCATTTAGTGGTTTAGAAGCCTTCAGTATCACATCATCGAATACTGCGTGTGTGCCAGAGCGTCTAGATCTTATCCTAGGTGCTTTGGTGAAACTACATTCGGCGACGCTCAAAGTCCTCTCAATCGATCCAAAGGGAGCACTTATCAATCACCTGTTGGACGATGCATCGCTGAATCAACTTTCGAAACACTTTCCTAAATCGGAAGAATTGCGATTTGGAATATATGAAGCGATTTCAGTAAGAAACCTTTTATGATAAACCCCTTTTCACACTTTGCTGATCGCTTCTTAGGTGCATGTAGACTTCGGCACGACCCACGGGTACCCATGGGTACCCATACCCAACCCATCGATGGGTTAGGTTTTGGGTCCAAATCTCCGACCCATGATGGGTTATGGGTCGGAGCTCAAAACCCATAACCCATCATGGGTACCCATATGGGTACCCATATTGCTGTAAACAGGGCAAACTACGAAAAATCTCGTGATTGCATAATTAATGCAAATTTAGCTGTAATTTTAGGTATTCTAGTCACATGTAAAAGAACCTACATGATGATGATAATTGATTCAAATTAATTCTATTATTCAAATTCTAGTACTGCTCAAAATTATTGTCCTCTCTGTGTTTACGCTTCCTTGTAGACATCCGTAGCTGAGTCCCATTCTCTGGTAATAGAGGCTGCTGAGGATCTTGACCCTCAACACCAAGATCTATTAATTCAGTAGTAGAAGCTACAACAATATCCTCCTCCTCCTCCTCCTCCTCCTCCTCCTCCTCCTCATTATCACTAATCGAAACTATCTCAACATCCTGGAGATTCTCATCATTCTGTTCCTTTGACATCTCAATCTCATCCAACGTAAAATACTTCTCAAGCTGCTTCATCTCTGCCTCCTGGAGATCGAATCTTGATGCACACAGGAATAGCATGATTTCTTCAATAGTCTCAGACTTTAAACGGCCGCGTCGGTAATGGCAGACATCACGCGCGGTGTTAAAAAGCCGCTCAACACCAGCACCAGTTGCAGGGATTGAAAGAAAATCTCGAGCAAGCAATGCAGTTGCGGGAAACCGAGACTGGTTCTCACGCCAAAAATGAAGTGGTTCATCTTCGACTGGGTCTAGAAATAAATTAGTATAGAATATTAAAGATAAAGACTCTTTATGAAAGAGTTAAAGAACAAGACTGACCACTATCAAGATACTGAGCAGCCTCATCTCCAACAGGTTTTGCTATAGTCTTGCTCCCACTGAGCATCTTGTTGAGTTTTGATGTAGGTCTTGATGATGCCTGGGGTGTAGGTGAGGCTTGATCTCTGGCAAGACGTTGCTGATATGGAAGCAGTGCTGACTGGAATGATTTGCGATATGCAACACGCCACTGTTGCTCCCAGTCATCAGTTTGAAAGAACTGGAATTTGCTATCTGGTGCAACCATAGTACAAATCGCAAAGATATGTCCTTTCACACCATCTGTTTGCGAATAGTAGCCACCAAGCTTCTGTCGGCCAGCTTCAAGTGATTGGAGCATCTGCTTTTTCCATGGAATCCGCTTCTTCTTTAGCTGACCTATTGACTTCTCAAGATGCTCAAAGAGTGCATTGTAGAGCTTGAAAACCAGATGTGTAGTAACCTCCTTTGTCTTTGACAGCTCAGTAGTGTAGTCAAAGAAAGGCTCTGTAATACAGAGAAGATAATCAATCTGACGCCACTCCTCATTATTAAGCAACATCTCTTTACAATCATACTGCTCACAGAATGATATAAAGTAGCTGCGTAGTCGTTTGGCACGTCGAAGCATCAAAAAGGTTGAGTTCCATCGAGTTCGGACATCTTGAATAGGCACTAGCCTAGGTTCTTTAGGCTGAAGCTGGAGAAAGGTCTCTCGCCGTTGAGGACTGGCATGGATGTAAATTGCAAGATAGCGGACCTTGTTCAATGTGCCTGAAATCTCATGTTTCTGTTGTTTTGCATTTGCCTTTGCTGCAGACGATTGCCGATCGGTCCATTTTGTCTCAGCGGCATCATTTTGGGGTACAGCTTTAAGACGATCAAGAAGCTGATTCAGACAGAGCTGGATGACATGGGCAAGACAAGGGATTCGGATAACAGTGGTCTCACTAGAGAGTGCTTGCTGAATTGTATCCACCAAAGTTTTGTTGTTTGTCGCATTGTCTGTTGTAATTCCAAAGACTCGATTTTGGATGTTGTGATGGGTCAAGGTCTCAAGGAGAACTGCGCTTAGATTTGCACCAGTATGTGAGCCATATAATGGCTTAAATCCAAGAAGAACCTCTTGATATACCCAGTTGGCATTAACAAAATAACCAGTGATTGCCATAAAAGCCTGGTTATAGGGAGAAGTCCAACAATCTAGTGCAATCGATATTTTTGACTCAGGAGGAAGGGTTTTGAGAGTAGAGCGTTGTTTATCTTGGATAATATCTCGTAATCGTCGCCGAATCGTTGTTGCAGAAGGTATCATCGGAGGAGAAGGTGCTAAGCGTGCAGATCGGATAAGGGTGTGGAAGGTTGGATGTTCAATAAGATGGAATGGTAGGCGATTTAAGGTGAGAAACTGCAATAGCTGTGTCTCCCATGTAGTTTGTGAGAATGACTGAGTAGCTGTTTGGCCCTAAAATAGTTAATATAAGATAAATAATAGTAAATAGAGAACATACTTCTGATATTAGGAACTGAGAGATATCCTCTTTTCTGTTGGCCTTGACCTTTTGGCAAGCTGCTGTTTTGAGATGCTTTAACAGAGTTGATGTACCATATAGACTTCTGCCATTTGGTAAAATTGATGCAGGATGCTCTAAGATCCGGGCACAGTTTTTACACATAACCTTTGGTGCCCCATCTTTACAAGCGGCAACCTGATCAAAGTGACTCCAGATATCTGAATTGCGATTTGTATCCCATTTGAGATTGCTTTTCTGTCCAAAGTCTGTCTGGAGCCACCAATCAACCCAATCTGTGTGAGTCATGCTGTTGTAAAGTACAAATGCCTTTCTCCGATCGGGGCCAACACGAGTAAATAAGTCAGGGGGAGGAAGATTGCTCGGTCGGAGAAAATCAGGCTCACTACCTTCAATTGGACAAGAACCAAGAATACTGTTTGTCGGCGTAATAAGAGGATTTGAAGGAGTAAAATCAGTTAACTGACCTGTGTCCCCCTCATAAAGAGAGGGCAGAAAGTCAGACTCCTGGCTTTGGCCTTGGGACATATTGACACCAACTGAAAAATAGCTGTAGAGAAAGCGAGACATATTAGGAGAGAACATACCTTTAGCAAAGAGATTGACTGAACAGACAGATTCTTCTAAATCCAGCTGGAAAAGGGGATAAGTAAAAGCAATATAGGGAAATGATATTTTATTGGCTATGGGCACAGATCTGATCCACTGAAACCCATCACCAACCCATCAAGCCCATGTGATATATCGAAAGCCCATCAAAAACCCATCGGAAACCCATAATACCCATCAGAAACCCATTTAATACCCATTCCCAACCCATTTCCCACTTTTTGGGTCGAAAAAGATTTTGACCATGGGCAGTTTTTGGGCGAAAAACCATCCCACCTATAAGATAGACTCTTTGTCTCTAAAAGCTCTCTATTACCTGGGTATCTATAGTAAAAATGAATAAATAAATACTAGTAGACTTTATTCTCTATGAGTATTTATTAGTGCTCTAGATTTTGGTAGTTCTTGAAGTGAAAAGCATTTTTGATCCCTGTTATATTGGAGTATGTATTACCTTCCTAGAGATATATATCTCCATGTTCTTCCAAGGTTAAGCGTCAAAACAGCCAAAACATTACATACTACAAAAATAGAACCACTGCTACCTAAATTTAACAATTTGATCTGAAAAAAATAAATAATTTGATTCAAAGATTCTTCTGCTGATTTTAAAAAATGTATTTTGAGAAGAGACTGTAACTATACAGCCATGAAGTCATGAATATCAAAATTACAATGATCAGTCAGCTGAATTATCCATGCCAAGCCTCAAATTTATGCACAATATGGGTTTTTTGTACCCATATGGGTACCCATGAAAAACCCATGGGTACCCATCGGGATGGGTGCACCATTTTGAAAAAACCCATAACCCATCATGGGTTGGGTATGGGTCCAAAAGTTGGACCCATTTGGACCCATTGCCGAAGTCTAGGTGCATGCTATTCAAACAGTACTGAAATTTCCCAATATCCGACTGCTCTATATCACCTTGAGCAGAGGTTCCACAGAGTGGATCCTTGTCGGCCAGGAACAGTACCTGTCACAAATGTTGCAAATTGGAATGGCTCAGAAGCTGAAGTATTTTATTTTTGACGATGGTCCTTTATTCAAAGTCATTCGGAAACCGCTCCGAATAATGAAAGAAAGACTGCCACTTGGTATGATTAAAGATACTTTCCTTTTTGGAGACATGGTATTTGGGTGGAATAGAGGACAAAATTAGAAATTGAAAGATGGGAATGCTCGCTGGCTATCTGCGTTGGCAAATGGGTCGATAGCAGAGAGACAAAACCACCACACTCGCAGAGTGCAGGATGGTACTGTAGCAGACAAAGCAGTGCCCTACTGAGACACGATACACTAAGGCATTCGAGCCTTCATGAACGATCTACCGATACCGTTGCCGCCGCAGAAAGAGACAGAATCGCGAAAATCCGAAAGGTTGTCTTTTTTTTGCTAGAATGCTATCGAGAGAACTACTTGTCCTCCCGAGACAAAATGGCCACCTTGTTGCTAAGGCTCAAATCACATGACACTGACGTTGAGAGCGGATATCCCCATTACAATCTGTCAGGATAAGAATTGATGTACTGGCTAGTACTGAACATGTCCAATAGAAACATATGATTGATTGATTAAAGATCAGAGTGGTTGAACACTCGTGAGAGTCTGTATCATCTAGTTTCGGTGTGTTACGACACCATACTCCGAGTCTACACCGAATACCACACGAATACGTGGGGAATTGGGCGGACGATGAACATCCCACCCAAAAGCGTCTTAGTGGTATTTGACCACTCTTTCCGCTCGACACAATCTTCAAAATTAGGTTAAGTATCCATTGGATATTAAGTATATTTGATAAACTAAATATGATACTGGTCGCAAGGTAGAAATTAATAACACCGTTTTATTGTACTGCTCCCGGTTGCATCATATGCAATATGCTCATCTGAATTCTCAGTTAACATCCCAGACATCAGGGCACAATTTAAGGGGCCTGAGACTAAATCACTTGCAGGGCACGTTTCCAACTCTAGGTCAAACCTGTAGAGTCACTCCTCACTCTGCGGGCATATGATGACACGCATACTAAGAGATCCTGATAAATGGTGGCCCTCATTGGCTCGGTGGATAGATCTGCTAATGTAATCGTACCGTATCAGATACCATGACGTAATGGGGGCAAGAGTAACCGCACTCTCAAATACAGCGGCGCATGTCATGCTTTCCTTGTCTTTAGCAGTACCTGTGGTTTTATGCTCTCGACCAAATCTACTTTTGTGCCCGAAGTTGACAACACTAAATATGAACTACCGTATGGAGATGCCATATAAGCTTCCTATTCCTCGGTTACGACGCGAAAGACGGGAAAGCAGTGGGCGACGAACCAGCCAGGCTTGCGACTCTTGTCGACAACGAAAAATCAAATGTGATGGCAACCGGCCTACCTGCTCTTTGTGTCATGCCCAGGGCTTAGACAACTGTTTCTATTCGGATGCCAAAGCTGTTCGACAGCAAAGAGAGCTAGAATTGATGAAAAGAAAGATTGAGAACTACGAGGAGATGTTTCGAAATATTTTAGGAGAACTCGAGGTATCTACCGCTGACCAAGTTGCGAAGGCGCTCAAAGTATGTATTTGCCCTTGAATCGGCGATGTTGGAATCTTGAAGAAAGTAATGAAAGCATCTACAGAGCCCGTGTGGTGCATACTCGGAAGGGCATCAGAACAGGCCGTCTAGTATTTCGTCTTCGTCCTCGATCGGCTCTTTGGACGCGATTGATGTTGTGAAGGAGGACCTCAATCGGAGCGAAAAAAGCAGGGCGACTGGGCACATGGGGAAGAATTCTGAAGTTACGTGGATGCAGCGCTTAGACTCAGAAGCTACGAAGCACAGTGACAGAGAAGCCCCTCCAAATATGATACCTCGGCACCAGCTTCCAATTGACGATTCAATCGCATCAATGAACTACAACCTCGATTATCAAACTATCTCAAATTTGAATGTAACGAATGCTTTCATCTTGCCACCAAAATTGCTAGCTGATCAATTATTCCAAATTTATCTGACGAAGGTTGACATTTCTTTCCCATTCATTCGACGGGACCTCTTTATTGTTCAGTACGACCGCTGCTACTCCGGGGGCCTTATAAATCCCGGCAGAAAATGGTTGGCCATTTTCAATATGATCTTCGCCATCGGGTGCGCTTTTTGTCGACTTTCTGAACAGAATCTACAGCAAGGGGCAGACGAGAATCTCTTTTTGGCACGGGCTAAATCTTTAAGCCTTTCAGAGAGCGTTCTCTATGATCATGATGATCTACAGCAAGTACAAGCCGAAGCCCTGTTAGCGTTCTACTTCCTGGTCGTATCACAGATAAATCGGTATGACGTGTGTTCCTCAAGAGTCGCCATTCCAATTGACGAATTTTTTCTATATTGCTCTGGCTTTTAACACTATCTCAGATCATGGAAAATAATTGGCATTGCGGTTCGCTCGAGTATCGCGCTAGGGCTCAATCTTCAGCAAAAGACAGGTGAGCACGATTTGAAATCAGACGAGGCTCGCAAGCTACTGTGGTGGTCGATTTTCCGCCTGGAGAATGTTCTTTCTGTCATGACCGGGAGAATTTCCTGCCTCGGAAGTGCTTTCTGCTCCACGCCTCCGCCACTTCTCGGCCCTGTTCTGGAGTCCGGAGGACCGGACACCCACCCATCAACCAACACACCCCAATGGACCATAGTGTTGGGAAAGAGGGAGTTGGCTTTCCAGAGAAACATATTACAGTCTCTAACTCCCAGCCTGCCCCTCTACCTTTTCTATATGGTAGACCTGTCTTTGATCGCCCATACCATCACTAATGAAGTATATGCGATCGACAGTTCCCGGGGCGGCCGAGCGCGAGTGGAAAGCCGTATAGAATTTTATAGCAAGAAGATGGATTACTGGATATCGACTTTACATCCTTCGTTCAGTTTCGAAGACAATCAAGGCAATTTACAATTGAGAATCAGCTCGCCCTTTCAAATTTCTCTCGCCTTGAATTACTACAGCGCCCGCATCATGCTTAATCGACCGTGCCTCAACAGCCATGTATTTGGAAAGAAAAGCAGCCCACAACCGTCTCGTTCCCGATTTACCAATACCACCGCCCTCAACTGTCTCCGTGCGTCCTTGGCTGTCATGGCACTACTACCAGATCAACCAGACCTGGTTTGGTGTTATGAAGTCCTGCAGTGGTGGGATCTATTACATATCCTTACTCAGGCGACTGTAGTATTACTTCTCCATATTTCAATTGGTCCAATACCGACGAGGTCAGGTGAAAAGGCGGTTTATGTTGAATCGTCAGACCTGGTTTGGACGAGGACTAAGAAAGGTCTTTCTTGGCTGCATTGTCTGGGAAGGACTTCAGAGGCGGCTCGACGGGCATTCCAGTTCTTCAGCAGCTGTATTGGTCGCTTAGCTCCAGCGAATGATCTCGACCTGAGCGGCATCCCTTCGACGTTTGGATCATTTCAAACCTCCCGCGATCCGAACTTTCCATGGCTTCGAGACTCTCCCGAAGAGAATGCAATGGCGCCTCAGCAAGAAGTGCAAGCCTTGAATGATCGGGAGTTTTCAAAGTGGATAGAATCACCCAATTTGTCTAGGTATGGCAATATCCACGACGACACACGATCTCAGGACTCAGAAGAAAATCTGTCTTCTTTGAGTATAATATCAAGTACCTCAGCAGTGCTTGACGCTGACACAGACATGTCGGAGCTCATCTCAAATTCTGATACCAATATCGACGATTTGCTGATGTCCATGGTGGGCTCTAATGCATCCTGGACCGCGAGTTCCGGCAGCCTTGAGTCTCTGGAACAATTGCATACATCAGAAACATATCTACAGTAGCCAGTGATATCATGAAGATGACGGCGCTGACTGCGCGTCTATTATCCTTTTTTCCCAAGAGATACAAAGATTCCTTTATTAAATGAACCGCCACCGTATTTAAGAACCTAAATTTCGCCATTTGCGGCTTTTTACCACCGTAGCACATCCATGTCAATTTGCTTTTGTTATTGCTTTCGAACTGCCAATACTTTTCACACTACTCTTCTTTGCTTTGATTACCCGGTTATTCTTTCTGTGAGTCTTCCAAGGTGATTGACCGTTTCATAAGATGGACTTGGCAATGGACGTCTTATCTTTTCTTTTGCCTAGCTGGGCATCAACATACTGACCTATCAGTAGCACTCTTCGCATCCAAGCCAAGTGAGCTGGTGCGTCTTTTTGCTTCAATCTCAAAGATGTGTTCAGCTTCATTCCATACCGGAAACAAAAGTATTTTGGCAGACGCTAAGAGCTAAATTGACGTATTGATATATAGATTGCGTCGTCTCTAGGAGAAATCTGTAGCTGATTATGATATTGTGCTTTCGATCGTGCTCGCAGAAAGAGTCATTAAGGATGAGAAGGGCTGGCTTTTTGCGGTCCATGTCTGATTAGAGAGTATCACGATAGCAGCTCTCTTGGTGACGAGACTTTTCGTTTATCGGAAAAGCCGTGAACTGCGTCATAACCTACACAGTTGCAGCAATTACCGGTGACTGGGGAGAAATCCGAGTAAATTAGCTTTCCAATTTGACCTGTTGCATACTGCACAGTCAAATACTTGCTGCTGCTCATGGCTACACCAGTCTTCCCTTGCTGATGAACCATATTGAGTGTTTTTCCAACATGACTGCATCTTTTCGTGTAGATCAACAGCTTTATTTCAACATTCAAAGATCAACAGTTACCTGTACGAAATTTAGCCAGATTTTGTCTCAGAGGAATGGTACCTAGCTAAAGGTTGGCGGTAAACATTGAAACGCGTGATCGAAGCTTTTCTGCGGCATTCGCACGACTGCTCAGATGGTGCCAACGGTGGCAAAAGCTTTATCATATACTGTGTCAACAGAAAACCTTGTTATCAACGATGATCATTGATCAATTCGGTGGTGAACATCTGACACCCAACATCGTATGCATAAATCGGTATGTGCACTTGTCCACCAACCTATTTTGATATCATGTTGTTGAGATGTTTCATTTTCCTGCTTCCACTATCATCAATTCCTGTCCAACAAGCTATTGTGAAGGTTTTGGTTTGCATAAAACATCATGTTCTAGAGGCCCTGCAAATAACGCTAGTTTTCACTCAGCAGGCAGGATAGCATGGATAGATTCTGCATTTTTGAGTGCCGGTTGAATCTACTAATAGCAATTTTTAAAATATCACGGATCTCTGAAAGAAACACGCAAGCACTTATGGTGCAATCTTTTCCCGTTGATCCCTTTTGCCGGTTCATCTCCGCCTGCCAGGCCAGCAATTAAGGTGTGCCAAAGTTGCACAAATGCTTACAAGTAATCTTCTCTACAAAGGTGGCTGCATTGCGAAGGTACGTCTAGATTTTTATGCTCATTCGAGGTTCTCTCAATTGGCAGCGCTTCACAAGAACAAGGGCCTTCTGGGAGACGTGTTCTAGAAACACGGCCCTCTCAAAAGAAGATTCTTGTCCTCATCAGCTCCCCAAGAAGAAAGACTTAGGAACCAATGATTCACATGAAGATCCTGGTTGTACCGCGCACTGCCGGGCAAATTGGTTCATGGCTCTCCTGCACGTCCCACAACGCGAGCGGACATGGACATCAGTTTTTCCTCCTTCTTTAATCCGTCCGTGGCCACAATATTTTTCTCTTCATGGGCGGAAATCAAGAATATCGCATTGGTATCATCCGCTGTTGCTGCGCGGTAACAATGGGCTGGACGAAGGCTCTTGAGGTTCACATCGTAGAGTGTATATCCTTTGCATGAGTACTTCCGTGCGAGTCGCTCCATAGGTGAGGGATCCAACCGGTCTACGAGGAGACAGTCTGATTGAATCCACTGACCTCGCTCGAGTGACCAGAACTTGACTTCGATAAGCGGTTGTGTAGACGTTTGACAATTGGGGTCGACAGGTTTTGTTGCGATGTGCCCGGTCTCTCTGTATGTTGCTTCCGATTGCTGGTTAGCAGAGGTCGGCAGTGACAAATTCTGAGTTCGACCTGATTGAAGCAAGTCTCTCGGTGAAGCTTGATTATGATAGAGCAGATTGAGCTCTTCGTTGAGCCGGTCGCTCTCCATCCTTTTCTCCAATTCCTCCTGCTCTAACTGGGCCCTCCTCAGACCACTGAGAAAAGCTTCTAATTTTTCTGATCTAGAAGATCCGCTTTCTTCGGACAAGATGACCGTCTCTGAGGAACGTCGTCGCTGCGCTGCAGGATCGATAGGTGTCTGAGCAGCGATTCCGAGGGCAGATCCAGTGTCAGGGCTGGGTTCCTCTCCTGTTGCTCGCTCGCCCTGACTCCATTCGAGCGAGACTGTTTCCAACGAGATCTGGGTGCAGTCACTCCTAGCATCTCCATACTCTGTATCGGCCCCGGGCGAGTAGCGAGAAGGGACCATTTCCAGCACTGATTCACTCAGTGACCCCCCTGGGAGTAGAGTGATCTCCATCCGATGGACCTCTCTGATCAAAGATTTCCTGGTCTTGAGCTGGCTCCAGAATATCTAAGTCCATAGGCTCGGGTGTAGTTTCTGAATTGTCAATCTCACCGGAGAGTAGCTGGCGTGTTGAAGTGTTGATCCTTCCGAGAAGAGATGACCTGCCTGATGTGTCCATGTGCCGTCCAGACGTATCCAAGCCCGGCGCACCCAGCACACGGTCCTTTTCCACAAACAACGGCGATTCCACGTCCTCTTCTATCCCTTGGTCTGCATTCAAGTTACCGCATCTTCTGTTATTGATGAGATCAACCGTTGGCGACTTCCCCCAAAAGGCGAAAAAGAGACAACGCCGGACAAAAAAGCTAGTGATTGTATCAGCGGCATCAACATCAGCATGCAGTCGATCTAAGAATAACAAAGGGGCATCTTGAACATGGGTGCGGGTCTGCGGAACCCCAGAGCGAGCGTGCGCCTTGACGGTGCTGTCTGCCAAAAGATCTCGCGGGGGACCGGGCTGATTAGGAACCGCTTCAGTAAAACAATCTACAATTCGGCGCACCAGACTATCAAAGTGTTGGTCATCGTATCTAAACCGACTTGGCTTTCGGGCCTGGAGAAGGGCCGATCGTGCAATCTGATGATCCGGAGAACTGTTCAGCAGCCCATCAATTTCCGGGGACCTAAAGCCGAGCCGGTGAGCTAGATGGGCCATGTCGTAGATCGCGCGCGGGTCCGGCTTAGCGCGAGTGGGGTTGGCCAACAGATCATCAGAGTTCTTGGGGTCCGGGGGCATCAGTGGATAATGTCGCATAGCATACAGCCATAATTGTCGGTATCCTGTCTCGAGGCATTCTATCTCGGACGCATGAAGGCGTCGGAAGGTAGACTCCGAGGTCTGAATGATACCCTTCCCTTTCTCTCGGTGACCTTCCCCAGACTCCGAGTCTGGATCAAAGATCGAGCTCATGGCTTCCCTCACAGATCGGGGTGATGGACCCAAGAGCCGCTTCAGACAGTGAGAGCAACTCTCTAGATACTTGAAATCCTCAAAGAAAGTGTATAAGGACGGGATGAGACCATCAAAGTCTTTCATTTTGGCCCATATAGCATTTCGCTCATCAGCACTGAATTCGGCAAAAACATGTCCACTGAGAACCAGCCCGCATGCCTTCCTTTCATCAGCGTGTGATTTACCCGGTGCCAGTAACTGCAGGGTGTGAACCGTGTCTTGATCGATTTTCTTCATCAGACGCAGATCCGATCCCACCAGAGAAGACCAGAAGTCCACGATGTGATAAAAATAGGTTCCTATCTCCTGAGAGACGAAGAGTCCTCATTAGCTAGAAAAAAAAGCAGTAACTTGAGCTGAAACTCACGTCAATGCAGCCCGAAGCGATCAATCGATGAAGGAGGCTGATTCTCATCCCACCCGGCCAAAGCCCGGGAATCGCCAACAATCGGTCAAATGCATGCCGGAGGCGACGGTTCTTTTTATTGTCAAGTTGATCCAAGCGCTCTTGATTGCTGGGCGATAGTCTCACGAACCATCGCTCTCGAAAAGCTTCATTGCCCTCGCCCTCATACTGTCTGATCTTGCGATAGACTTCCCCATCGGTCGGCTTCTTCTGATTGGAATATTCATCCACCAACGCCGCTCTCAATTCTCGGTCGATGTCTTTTGGAACAGTCAGTATCAATCTATGGGAGCGCCCGGGTATATCACGTACCGTCTGTGTAGAGATCAACCGTCCACCAGCGATCCGCCGGAGGAAGTACCTCAACACCCGCTTGTACACGATGACGGCCATGGAGACCCCGAAGTTGCCCCGCCATAAATTCCAGTCGAGGAATTTGCCGGCCTTCGGTTGTCAGCAAGGCTTCCTGTGGAACATTCGCCTTCTGCAATGCGTCTGCGAGATTATGTCGGGACACGGTCGCTGGAACATGGTTTTGGACATCTAGGCGGCGACAACGATTCTTCCGGAAGATATTTCGTAGCCGGTCCAAGTTCTTAGGGTCCAGTTCCCGTGGTAAGGGAGGTTCGAATTGAATCTGGCAGATGCTGACTTTAGCTGCACCAATGTATTTCATTCGTCGTTCTGCTGCGAGCCGCATTTCTTGTTCGGTAAAAACGTGTCGAGCCATGGGGATAAATATGGAGTTGTGGTTCAGAATGACTTGGCTGCGCTGAGTCTAGGCTGAGCTGAGTGTGGCCTTGGATATATATCTATACTTATGGCTTCCATTACTGAGGTGGTTCAACGTTGACACTACGTTGCCTTTGCCGGTGAAGATGTGATCCAACACCCTAGTGTTCCACACGTACGCAATACACATTTAAACTGATCAGATTTTCTTTTGCGTTTCACGCTCCTCTTCCTGCTTTCGACTCTTTGGCCAAAATCCTTGCATTATGCGAAAACTCGGCGAAAAGAGAGTGACAAGAATCCAGGCCGCTCAGGTTGCATTACTCCCCCAGCCGCAAACCCGAACAGAAGTATCACCGGCAACTGACCTCAAGCCCGGCCCACCTCTCCATCTGGGACCCGCAGCTGAAAAGAGGTCCGCTACCTCCTCAACCTCAGAGCACACCGGCAAGAAAACTCGATTGGTGCCTCAAAGCCCACCTCGCCAGGAGACTATGCAGTGGCAGAGCATTATCGGTTCGGGCCTGACAGTCCGAGACGAATCTCCTTGGGGTACTTTCAGAAAGTACTACGATTGTGACCTAGCTGGCCCCGTCGCGGTATGCGTTCGATCTTCTGGAGACCGCGGTGTCTGGGCGGTGCGCCAGTATCCGATTGAGGACACTGACAAGATACTGCGGATTCTCCGCTCTATGCGCCATGAGAACCTGGCCTCGATTCGGGAGTGTTTCCGCACTCCCGAGCTTCTGTACACACTGGGGGGATTTCGACCCTCTCGTTCTGGATCATATCGTCGCTTGTAAAGCCTTCCCAGACGAGCAGGAGCTGGCAGCCATAATGTCTCAGGTTCATTCCTCATTCCCCTCACCTATCTGCCAGATGGCCAAATGGCTGATTCCGTACAGTTCGTTGACGGGCTGTCATATCTCATGGCCAACAGTTTCTACCACACATCTCTGGATTGCTCTAGCGTCCTCGTGAATCTCAATGGGCATGTTAAAATCGGTGTGTTAATTTCAATGATACCTCCAAAGACAACCCTATCTAACGAGGCACGGCAGCACGGATCGATTGCTGTGTTATCCGGCAACAGGGCGCAATTCAAGCCAGTGACTTGGCACCAGTCTCCAGAATCATGATGGAATTGATGCAGAAGTATGTCAAAGAAGATGGGGCAGTAGGAATTGATAATCTCGACCGCTGGAGAAGCTGCCCGGCTGCGATCGAATTTCTCTGCGCAACGACCTCGGTAAGCACTTTTCAGGAACTGAAAGAAGTTTGTTTCCCTCGGATTTTTTCCATAACGGTGCTTTCAAACGGTACTAATATTATCTAGCAACGACTGTTGACGCAAATTACATGCCGCCCAGGGAATCTCATCGGACTTGCATGGTTCGCGTTGATCTCCGCTCGCACATTCTACTCATACACGCCAGGGCCCATGAAGAACGATTAAAGCAGAAGTCAAAAGTAATATGACCGATGAAAAAAATTCAATGCATGGTACGGTAATCGACGATCTTTCTGTTCCTCACTGCTCAAGCTTTTGTTCTGTCTACTATTAGATAATACGCGTTTTCATTTTGATAAAAAAGAGTTGTGTTAATTGCGTCAACAATCAAGGTCTAGCCGCTGTTTTTCAGTGTAATGCTTGGCCCCGGTCATTCATAATGACCAAGTAGCTCATTTGAATTGGTTGACCAGGGAGATTCAGGGATCAAATCGGCAAGTTTGTCTGTCGTAATCGCATTTCAATTGCCCAAACATCACATTTTTACTACTTTAAGTGCGCAGAAGGCAACTCCAACTAGCATCATATGCTCGGGACTACTCATTGCGTTTGCTCCATGCGAACTCCCTATCATTGAATTACTCCGGCTGGTATTCCAGCTCCGAAAGCCTCACACCATGATGCAAAAAGCCCTTGACGGTTTTTCGGATCTGGTCTCTATACCTGCCTGCCGCTGAAACTAGAGATAAATTAGTATACGATAGAATAGAGACAGGCTGCAGTGGGGTCACTCACCCATCACCAAGGTCCGGCCTTGCTCATCGCGAATGTTCGGTAGCCTCTCGATTTGGTCCCCCGATGCCTCGAGCGAGACTATGTTGTCATAATCGGGTACACCTTGGTAAAAGCAGGCTCTTTCATGTTTTCCTATTGGCGTCTTATCATGAGCAAGCCCTCTTTCGACGTAGATTGAAATGCTGAGAATCTGTATACGGTTTTCCGTCAATATTAAAGAAAGTTTCCAATTTGAAGCCGGTGACTTACATAGCCTTTATCTATAATATCGTCCTCCAGGAGGGGGTTGAGCAGGTCCTCAGCTGCGCTGACCATTTCTAATTTGTTAGTGCTGCTGCTGGCTGACTGGAAACGGAAGGGTCTTCTCACCAATTGATTCTATCTGCCATACCAAATGCACCCGACGGACATGAAGTGTACAGGTATTATAACCATGTATCATCTTCTTCAGATACGGAATTGTTGCGGCGATCCCGAAACCACTCGCAACCAGTAGCACAGTTTCATACCCGTCAACAATCTCACTGGTACCGTGTGGTCCTGTGAACATGGCCAGGAATGGTACAGGACAGCCAGGAGCGCTAGCGGCAAGACTGAGCAGGTCTGATGTCATGCCACTGCGTGGCTGCACAAACAACTCAATCGTGTCATGTCTTCCGCGCGACCACGATGTGACTATGAAAGGGTGCGTTTGAAGCCACGACCAAAATCCAACTGACGGCATCCACAGGTTGATATACTGGCCCGCATCGATCTTGATAGATCGGGGCAGAACGATACGAATCTGGGCCGCTTTTCTGAGCTTAGGATGTGTAAGAGATCCTTCTGGAGTGAAAGATACAAAGCCCCGGGGAGCGCCGTGGCCCAAAAATAGCCCGTTCGTGTAACAGAAGTTGAGAATCTCCAGCAGAGTAGTCAGGGCCAGAATTACCAGCGGCACGTAAAGGTACAATCTTGGCAAGCGACTCTGATCTGGGAGATGTTGCCACGTGCCATACACAAAGAGAGCTGTCAGGGCTTGGTGGCTTCGGAGAAATACTTCATAACACCGTCGGCGAAGCCAGGGGAGAGAAAGGAGGGCAAGAGCGGCTAAAGAGATTGATCCCTATCAGCGTTAGCCCTGAATTCATGACAGCGAGAAGGAAACTTACAATTAGGGTAGATATGTTACGTAATGCCCCAAGAGGAAAACTGAATCCCCGGCTCTGGCATTCTGCAACCACGTGAAAACACAGCAGAGCGACAGACATCCAACCTGTTACCTGATGAATCTTGCAGCAAGTACGCCAGGTGATACCCAGAAGGTCAGCAAGGTAACCGAGGTGAGTGGCCGAGAGGGGAAAAATAAGGTTGATAAGAGCCAGCTCTCCAGCTCGGCGGCCAGCTTGGGCGACGGAGTGTGTATGGAAGAAAACCAGAGTGATATTGACCAGAGTGTAGGCAGAGTATATGAAAACATTCATCCGGGACCAGGGGCCCCAAATACGATGCCTGTGGATGAGAGCAGGAAGTGTGAGGTGCCGAGAGATCAGAACAGAGCAGGACTCGATCCAGCCAATCATAGTGGTTCGGGTCTGGATTAAGAAGAGAGCTAAAAAGCAACCTCCAACGGCGATCGCATAAATGGATGACACATTCATCCTCAGCGGGGTCTTCAATCACGATGGACCTGGAAGATCGGCATATGAGGGGAGAGTGGGCCTTTTAAATGAAAGCCATTAGCCACGGCATCGTCATGTCCCTATCAGCGATACCTTGCAGCAAAAAGAAAGCATCAGGAACATGAAGCAGAACACTTCAGAGAGCCTCGACTACGTGTTTCAGTGTCACAATTTTCCAGCTACTGCAGACATCAAAATTAATGAGCTGCCGTTGAGAGTGCTAGGAAGAGAGTGCGTCAGATAATGAAGGCTATTCAAAACTCACAAATATATCCCTTCGAACTCTGAATCAACCAATCAGGATCTTCAAGAGCCGATAATGAAATGGAAATGCCATAGAAATGAGGATTTTCTTTCCTTCTGTTCGATATATTGTGAGCCTCTTGGCTATTCTCAGCGATTCTGAGCGCACGACTGTATCTCCCACAATGACAAGTACATGCATAGCTAGCATTGAAAGGGTGCTGCATGGAAACATTCACTTAAATATGGAGGCCCATAACAAGCAGTATAAATAGAGCGGTGAATTGGAAGGGTGAGTGCAGTAAGTTCAACGGACGTTCGAAGAGAGTCCGCATTGTGTGTGCTCAAGCGGAGGCTGGGGTTCGGCTTGGCATTCTTGAACGTGCGAGTTGAGTGGCGGAATCCACACCCCTTGCTTCATAACCGTATTTAATACTTCTCACTGGCTAGGTTGACACTTGAACATGTTTTGCATGTCTATAGGCCGAATAAGTGCAGTCTGCTTCTGCATTTCTAGTCTCGGCATATACAAAAGTGTAGTTTTCACCCAGTCTAACTTCGTAAGAGGGCCACTCATTGCTCAATACTGATGGGGACAATATCATGATAGCACATAAATAGAAAGTTATATTTTCCCTGCTCCTTCCACATCATTCATCTTGAAAATACGTCTTTTTGATTCTTCACAGCTCTAGGAACGGGCTCGTGACTCGAGGAAGCGCGACTTAGATCCTGGGAACAGGATCGGAGGCATGCCGAATCACGGCATTGCTCCTCAGCCAGGGTATAAGTATTCAACGTGCAGTCATATCTACTACCATAATATCCCATCGGACTCTCGATTGGCATACACCCGCAAAGTAGCCTGCGAAATGACCCCCGACAGATATGTCTCATCCACGGCCCTCGCCGCTGGTTGCCGTTCCAGGTGCTACCGTAAGTCTACTATGCACAATAGAAATATTCCTACTAATTCTGAATAGCTTTTCTTGAAAATCAAAGACCACACCAAGCAAAAACACGCTTCTATCTTTTATATTGCGAAATTGAGGAGCAGGTCTCGCTACTTGAAAATCGTGAACGGAGTCTCATTTCTGAACTCGAACGTCTGCGCAATTATTCATGGACCTTGTATCATGAGTACAATAAGGCAATGGGAGAGCTGGAGCAGTACAAGATGCACCAGTGATCTGGGCACGGATATTAAGAGACTATTCATTGCGTCGTGAATAATGCTCTATTTGATGGCCATGAGACACTGGCAAGACGAATTCCAGTTCTTCTCTCGAATTCAATCTTTTTCCAGAATCAATATAAGTTTTTGATATACTACAAGCACAGCCCCATTCTCGTCCTCAGAGGAGTCGCAATTTATTAAGTATCGATGCGCGTTTTGCCCCCTTCGTAGTGGCCCCGTTCTCTTTGGGGTATGATCTGGTAGCCTCGCAAGGACTACCAGCATGGATCAACAATGTAAGCGGCGAGCAATACATGTCATCCAGAGAAGTAACTTTGGCACCGTTCTTCAGGAGAATTTTGGTGGCGCCGAGCGAACCATACTCTGCGGCCCAGGAGAGAGGTATTCGTTTATTATGACCAAGATCGTTGACGATAGCACGGACGTCCAGTGAAGAAGCGCGGTGCAGTCTCCCATCGCGGCATAATGAATCAGCGACTTCTTATACGGGCCTCTGGGGTTAAATATGCCCCTGAGTTGGATCTCGTTGTGTGTTTTATCGAGGTAATTCATAATTTCTTTGTCAATCGGTTCTCCCGCATATTCAGGTGCTCAAACTCCTTATCAATGATGCTCGTGGGAGTGTGCAAAGCCAGTCAAACTCGATTATGTCGTATGAAGTCGACACTAATGGCAAGACTGATAGTCTAGACGGCGCCAAGGCTGGTATCGGGCAGCTATAGGCATTTATCATAGGTATTTTTAAATAGCTGCCAAAATTTGAAAGTCGGCTAAAAATCCCGAAATTGTTTTATTGCCGGTTTGAACGACCTGGACTTTTATCAATACATTCCCATCTTGCGATTATCAGGCTATCGTATGGCATGCCTAGATATCCCGCTCTGGGCCATCACGTGCAGCAAGGCACTGCAGAAGCGTAACTATCTCGATGCTCCCCCTTTTCCTAGCTTGATCCACGGGAGAAACACCATCATTGTCGGGAATTTCGGACTGCAGATCCGGCAGCTGAGCCAGTTGAAGGATCAGTCTTTTGTTGCCAGTGTTTGCTGCGTGCCACAGTACCGAGCGGCCCCTCTGGTCTCGCTCATTCACGATAGTCTTCCGATTCAAAAGTAGAAGATCTATGATATTATTCCTCACGGGGTCCAGGCCGTCGTATGCCATGGTAGCTATAAGAAGTGCGCTTCTCCCGGGGGATCGAGAATGTTGACGTCGATGTGTTTGTGACTCAACAGGATTTCTATTGCGACCGGGTCGTCGTATATCACAGCCAGATGAAGTGCGGTGTACCCTCGGTCATTTTGAATGTTGATATTGAGTTGCGGGTCTTTCAGAAGCATCCTCAAGATCTCATGTTGTTGATATTCGAGGGCTATCAGGAGTGGAGGCTGATATTTTGGACTTTGACCATTGATATCATTATCATATCGACGAAGTAGCTTTCGGACGGTTGGTAGTTCTCCTTGCATGAGAGCAAAGGACAGGGCGGCTTGTGCCCATTGTTTGGGGTAAGAGACATCTAGAGGCTTGCCGCATGGCAATAGACCAACAAGACAAGAGGGTTTTGGAAGCGCTGATCTCATCAGACGGATTAGCTGCCTTTGGTCTTACTTATGCTTGAATAAGTGGAGGTGACTCACGAACGAAAGGTGGGGGGCGCGCCATGTTTTAGAAAAGGATGAGATTATCGCGCTATTTTTTCGCTAGATGATTTGTATCTCAATAAAGGAGATCTCTTTGCTGTATCATGCGACAATTGATTAAGCACAAAGACATTCAAGGCGATATTTATAGTGAGATGTTATTCCGAGCATCTTTGACCTTGAGAATATTTGATCTGCATTCACATCTTTTCACGTATGAGCTCCCATAGTTGGTCTGCTCCGATTTTCAGCTTTACTTGAAGCTCATCCAATTATAATATGGATCGCTGTAGTTCCCAGAAGAGATCGATTCCGCAGAGCAAGCAATTGGCTCCCAGGAATGAAGCTGTCATGGGCTAATGTATCCGTAGGTGCGGATGGTGTTTTTCGAAGCATTAACCGCCAAAAGTAGGAGACCACAAGCTGATCATAGACGCAAGACCTAGCGCGAGGCAACAAAAAAATCTTTAGCTTCTTCTTATTGAGAGTAGCAGAGGTGAGCTATGTGGGACCGTACCCTGCACAAGTCGTGTATACTGAATGCCAGTCCCCGACACATTCTTAGCAGAGTTCCCAGGAACTTGGTGTCAAAGTTCCTTGCGCGAGCTCAAACCTGGTGGCGAGGCAAATATTCTTACGCAAAGAATGACGACTCTCCTCCTCCTTGGATATACTAAGGCTCCTCTGGCTTTTAATTAAGTGTCACTGTATTTAACGATCTTTATTTCGCAATCGGGACCCTCTTCTCACCGTGACATGCTATTTCAATGTCTTTTGTCATGACTTTCGAAATATATTTCCAAGCATTGCTAATTACAATGCTTCTATTTGCTTTGATAGCCAGGCTGCTCCTCTTATGGGTGTTCGGAGATGATTGGCCATTTCATAAGACGGACTTGGCCTTATACGTCTTATCCTTTCTCCTGTCCGCTGTATTGACAGGGCTTTTCTGGAGCGAGAAGAAATCGATATGGATTCAAATTCTCCTTGGAATTCTTTCAACAATTCCTTCTATGCAAAATGTTCGTTATAGCTTGAGAAAGCCAGTTCTACGCTAATTCTGGCCTAGTTTCTCCGCATCGACCTCCAGCAGCTCAATAATCCATTCATAAATCGATCGACACGTGTCGTATTCAGAATCTATGCTTTGACATCAACGGTCTTGAAGATAGTATTCACATTTATTGGAATATTCATGCTGGGTGATATTCATTTCACCACTCCCTTCCTGCTTTTCCTGGATCATCTCAGTGAAATGGCTTGGTGCCTGTGGTTAGTAAAATGCGCCACGCAGGGCCGGAAGAAGCTGCATTTTATCTTGACCCATTTATCAAATATGGGTGCTATATTGCTAGGAGTCGCTATCTTTGGTGCGATTTCAAGAAAATGGGACATTGCACTTGAGGTGATTTTCCATCATCTAAGCTTACATTATGGGAGAGCTGACATAGTTTAGATCCAGCTCATCATATGTACTATGCGGGCGATATACAGCCAGGCTATTACGTAAAGTGTAATGAATGGCTTTATGTTCATTGGCTGAACCAGATTAGGTCATTCCGAAGGATCAGAAAATACAAATTGCCAATGATGAATCAATCATATCATTGGCTCCAATGAAAAGGGGTCTTAAGTGAAGAAGGGGGTGAAATGGCTGTAAATTTCGGTTGTGACTTTTTCATGTAGGCTAGATTTACACTACATAAAATGATTGTATACTAAGGGGCCTGGTAAAAGACACTCCGTAGAGAGCTGCGATCCTACAATGCCAGCCCGCTTAACTCCATTTCCTGTCTTAGGCTTGACACAGAAGATGGATATAACTTTAGATGATCACAATGACACAGCCGAGCACAGCAGTAAGTCTACAGCTCTGGCGCTGAAGCTATTTGTCAATCGAATAAATTCAGGGTAAGAGAAGAAGATTGGTACATTACGATCAGTCTGGGCGACAAGGGAATACATCGTGGGATGAGGATTTACAGATCAGGAAGTAAGCCGCACCATCGGAAATAGCTACGAGATGTCTACATATACAATCGAGTTGATTTAATATCAACTTGGCTCCAAATTGTATATATAGCCTCATATTTCTTCAAGAACTAATAATACGATTCATACCTCTAAACAACAAAAATCTATTCCACTGGGTCAAATTGCTCACGCGACAGTCTTCTCCGCGTGACAGACTAAAAGTGTTGATGCATTCGAGTCATTCAAGGCACCGAGTGTCCCATCATCTCTTGGACTATATCAGTAGTATCATTGGCATCCAACGACAGCGTGTATATCGACGATCACAGGCTTCTGGCCTTAGGCGTCCCCAGGCATTCATGGCTCTGATTGGCTTAGGTCTCTTTGCAGCGGTACCCAATTTCATATATCGACTTAGTTCCCGGGAATTCGATGCAGGTACTGCTGGTAGGCTATCCAGTTATGGAAGGTGTAATGGTGGGCTTGGGCTCCCAGGAGCTCTTAGCAAAATTTGGACCAACCATTTCCACTGGGGCTTTGTAGTACATGTGGATCTTCCATGACATCGATTGGCTGATTATTCCTCAGTAAATGTCATTCTAAAAATAGTGTCCAATGATCACACTGATGACGGGCTGTTCAACTAGGGTAGGTGTAGATTTGGCTTTGGCTCCCAGGAACTCATAGACAAATTTGGACCTATCATTTCTACGGAGGCTTTGTGGCACATATGGATTATTCATGGCACCGATTGGCTCATTATTCCTCCGCTCTATGGTATCCAATGATCGCATCAATATTTACGACCCACAGGCTCCTGGGAGCCAAGGCCAATTATGAGCCAATCGATGGCACTAATTGGCTTATATTTTCCGAGTACCCACCCGCCTCCGCTTCGTTCCCGGGACATTGATGTGGGTAATGCCTTTGCAAAGACGCGGCTGACCGCAGAGGTTTCTTATTCCAAAACGTAATCGAACTAGTGACTGGCTCACCCTACAAGAAACTCTGTTGTGAGATGGGGCTGTGCGAATCAGCCGCGCGCCGACCCATAGCTTGTATCAACTTGATATTGTGTAGGTGATGGATTTTCTCCGATATGCGAGGTAGGCGACGAAGAAACCTGCGGTCTACCTGCCTCCGTTGAGTTGTTGTTGCGGGGACTAACGGGCTCATCGCCGATGAGTGAAATAAAATGACTTGACCTCGTCGCCTCACCGGTCGGATAAAAGTGCGTACTCGTGGTGGTAAATGGTGATGACCGTCGTCAGTTCTTTTCTGCAGCATCCTTATGACTGTTGAAACAATGCCAATAGCCAGAAAATGTTTGTCGTGTTCTGGATCACCAGGCACAAAATGCAATGTCTCTGAGAGTTGCGTTAAGGCAATGATGGAAATGTTGAACCAGTGATAATTGAAGAGTAGTTTGTGTTTGAGCCCTCACAATTCACAATGATTATCGCATCGACGTAGGCAGAATGACTTCCTGCAATGCTATAAATACCCGGCCCGTCACCAGCAGAACCGTCGTTCGCAAGTATTCCTTTGTCACTCCGGGTCAAAGAATATCGAATACGTTTCGTTTCCGTGGCTACTATTTGGTATGTTGACTTCAAAATCGTGTAACGAAATTGACTGACTTGTTGCATCGCACTAGCCTGGCTTTTCTCGACACAAGAGGCCTTCGAACAGCAAGTGAGTGTAGCTGCCCAGTCATTTGGAATCATGCTAACATGGAAAACGCTCAATATCAGCCGCGCCTCCGTTATTCCTCTGAGAAGCCACTGAACGAACCTTCAGGATCAGGATCTGGAACGGTCCAAGCTGCGAGCACAGTGAGTTACAAGTTGCCTTCATAAGCTACCTGCTAATGATTGAAGATAATGAGGTGCCATCCTTTATACAGTCCCCTGCAGTGGACAGCAAGAACCGACAATGTAAGTTCAATTACTGCAGCAATTTTCAAGGCAGACATCATGTGCTAACAACCCTCTATATAGGATGGCGAACCTTCTATCGCGAGTCGCTCAATGTCTTGTGAGTCACGCTAACTAGTGCTTTGCCCCTGCCCATTCCCAACGCCCGGTACTGCATTTTCAATCTCAAAACGAACGCTGTCCGTTCGTAGCTCTCTGTTCTTTAGAAGATATCGCTGATGATTCTTTTTCTTCATAGGGCGCGCGTCAATGTTACCTTCGACCTGACAGAGCTATGTTCCCCCCTCGTCTTCAAAATTGAACCAGCTTCAACAGCCTGATGGGCCGAGCCACTGAATATCACTCCGCTTGCGCCTTTATTGTCTCTGAAGACGTGGTTGACACGACGACTTCACCCGACTTATTAGCTGGCCCAATTCAGAAAGACTTGATGCCCCCTGCTTAGCCATGCGATAAAATTCCAAAGTGCTTTCATCCGTCTCTTCGGCATTACCCTGTCCTCACAAAGGCTAACAATCAATGTGTTAGTAAGTTGCCATATTCTGACGGTCATAAACCTTTTGCCCACGTCCAATCTGAAGGCTTGTCGGTAGCCATGAGCCGGCCTCACTGTGGACCAGCGAGCCATCGGAGCATCCGCGACAACGAAGAGAAGCCGAGATTTGACGGTCACAGAAAAAGACAACTAATTTTTCGAGGAGCATCAATCAGCAAATTATAACGAGCTGTTGGAAATAGTCTTAAGGGCAGATATTTCAACCCCTAGTTACAGCTGAGCAAGTGATAAGATAGGCCGTGGCTTAGAACTACGACAGATCCCTCGACGCGAGAACAGTCATTTTCGGGTCGGGGTATGGCACATCCATTCCTGTGGTACAATGTGATCCCAAGCCCTTCACGTGTGATCGAGATGAACCCGCTACCTGGTCCTTGGCTTGCCTATACTGATTTCAGACTGAATTACGGCAAATCTGCCTACCCTCGGTCACTAGTTATCATGTTAGTATAAAGAGACAGTGAAAGACGGCTCTAATTCAGCAGGGTTGACGAGTCCGATCGAGTAAGCGCATTATATCCGGCTGGAGATCTCATCGAAGCCACGAACAAGTTAAGTTGCGAGCGACCGTATTGCGCCAGCGGCTGATAATTGTTGCTAGATTTAGTCTATCCAACGGCAAATTACCTTCGTTGCGATCTGATGCAGACGGTCATTTAAAGCTGCTACTATGGCTTATTCATAATTGATCCTGGTAAGTACATTCTTATCTCTAGAACAATTCGGAAGGCAACTAAACATAGTCAAGTCAATGTAATAAAATTGGCTATTTTCTCCTGATACCGTGCTCAATGCAGCCGCACGTCGACTGAATGCCTCCTCGCTTTCACCACCGAGTCGCACGCACCCGCCGGCAGAAGTAGCCTCGCCAGTCCGGCCAGTCCCGAGACGATCACAACTGCCGAATTGATATTTGAAAGATGCAGGTCGGTTTGTTTTGTGATATATATGGAAAAGACGTCCTTATTGACTTCGAACGTAGCCGCTGATGTTACTCTCAGTGTGGGTGTGTCACGCGTGTTCTACGCGACGCGCCAGCCTTTGGCCCCCGTAGCATGTTTCTGGTGCGGCAGATCCTCGATGACCATCGATTTCACTACCGCCGGTGGCTGACTTTGGCGGGAAGGTAAATCGACTCCGCATACTTGGCTTCGCCATTCCGATTTGAGATGGGCAAACGGTAGAAATTAATCCACGGAGCGACTGCTAGAAAATGATTCGGAAAACACAAGGCGGGCTGGGAGTTCGGGCCGACCGCATGAGCGGGTTCGTCGATCTGACTTAGGTTCAATTGATGTACCCTGCGCAAATCGAACCCGCATCGTTAGTGAAAGCAAATGTGAAATTCCACTAGACCACGCGGGAAAACAGGCAGCTGACGCCGCTTTTGCTCCATTATACTCACTGTTTTCCGAATATTCATACCGACCCCTTCCGGGCACACATTTAGCGTTTCGAGCCCCAGAAGTATCTTTCAATCGATCAGGTCGACACCAAATGATTACTAAAATATGCTTAGAAGAACGAGGCTTTCTATCGTTAGTACCCTATTGGCTCTTTGTCGGTTTTACCGCCGATGATGTACATAATCGCCTTTGTTTACGGATGTATATTTCGGATACTAAGCTGAGATACAGCGACTCTACCTGAGATACAGAATATGGCCGAGGAGCACGTGGAGAATCTCAAGCCAAGAGGATGTCATACAGAAGACCGACCGGCGAATGTATTACCACATCGAATCTAATTTCTAGAAATCGAAATCATTATTTCGCATTTTTTATCAACCTGCGCATAAGGAACAACGATCCCCACCGACGGCGATGAGTGTCTACCGTTGGCCGTCATTTCACCGCCTGGGAGTCACCCGCACTGCACATCAACAGAGGGACACACTGATCCGCCCCCATTATCACCAGCTTTCACTCTCAACCCTCACTCATCTTTGGCCCTCACCATCCACCACCGTCCATCACCGTCAACATGCCCTCACTGTCAAAATCCTCTCACCATCAAGACGTCAACACCATCGACACAACGACACACCACCAACCCACCGCCGAAAATTCGCATGTCTAGCTAGCAGGGACAAATACCCAAACCAATAGAGACTACTTGAATTTCAGCCGCCACCCCAACTGGCCATCTTACTATCAGCCATGAGCCGATGCTCTAATTCACACTACGCGGAAGAGAATGTCTATTCCTGAAGCTCAGGGCGTGGTTGAGCGCTACAAATTACATTGCGCGAACTAGAGTCATGTACGGCGGCATTTACATACAATATTGAAGTCATTCCAGATCATGTCTTGTTGAATTCTTGATTCTATCGATATTTGGAGCAGGTCTTGGCTTCTTCGAGGACTCCCCGAATACTAGTCTCTGACACCACGAAGAGGTGCCTGCAATCGCCAGAGGATCAGGACGAGGACCGCGGCGCCACGGGTCGCCTAATGAGCGCAAATTTGATAACGCAGGGCTCAAGGCTGCATGGAAGCTCAAGATTATACAATCACAGGGCTCAGGGCTGTGAGGGAGAACTTGGTGACGCAGCGGTCTCCTGCGGAGGTTCTTGGTAACGCAGGCGTCCCTGCGGAGCACAGGTTTACAACGCAGGGCTCATTGCTGCGAGGGAGCGCGTTTTTACAGTCACAGGGCTCATGGGCTGTGAGGGAGCACGTTTTTACAATCACAGGGCTCATGGGCTGTGAGGGAGCGCGTTTTTACAATCACAGGGCTCATGGGCTGTGAGGGAGAACTTTTTGACGCAGCACTCTCCTGCGGAGAACTTGGTATCGCAGCGGTCTCCTGCGGGTCTCCCTTGGTTTCGCAGTGTCCCCCTGCGGAGGCTCTTGATGTCACGGAGGTCCCCGCGGAGCACATTTATACAACACAGGGCTCATTGGCTGTGAGGGAGCACACTTATACAACACAGGGCTCATTGGCTGTGAGGGAGCACATTTGTACAACACAGGGCTCATTGGCTGTGAGGGAGCACACTTATACAACACAGGGCTCATCACTGCGAGGGAGAACTTGTTGACGCAGCACTCTCCTGCGGAGAACTTGGTGACGCAGCGGTCTCCTGCGGGTCTTCCTTGGTTTCGCAGCGTCCCCCTGCGAGGCACACTTAATGACGCGGAGCCCGCCCCGCGAGGCACATTTGATCACGCAGAGCCCGTCCTGCGAAGAGTACTTGGTAACGCAGATCTTACCTGCAAAAGACACCCAAGGCTGCGAGGCCCGGAGTGTGAGGAGGAAAGTCCTGCTTTTCTTTTCGACGGGAAAAGAGCGTCTTTTATGCTATTCTGAGTAGGGGTTCCGACGGCGACCACTTGCGTACATTTTGCCGAGTCCAGAGATTTTGACTTCAAATTTGCAGTGGGCGACCCTAATTTCGTGGGTGTTGAGGCGGTTGATCAACGTTGAATCAACGTTGAAATAAGAATTTTCAAGAGTTCGGGGCGGAGCGAGCGGGTGGAGTGGCACGCCCCACCTGGTCCCTTGGCTCTCCTGGATCTAGCCCTGACAAATAAAATGCCTCAACGTTGTTGACAAAGGTCAAACGACTTTCAACTTGGCTGGTTAGTTCGAAAACATAGGCTGGCTCTGGCAAATCGACTGATAATACCCTAGAACTTGTGTTTGTAGACTTTGCCATCGTAGATGCCTCGATGCATGCTCCCAATTTTGGACGCATCTACCCTTCCTCACTACATTTATCTAATATAGGCACCGAATGAACGAATTTTTAAGTAAATAATCAGTTCGATTGACCTCTGCTAGGATGTTACAAGATTATCCAGCCCGATGTGCACGCAGATGAATCTTTGCTAGTAGGACACATTGAAAGTGACAGCTTTGCTGCACCAATCGCTGGGCGCTGACTTGCAACTCCAACCGCGAATCCAACTTTCTGCAAGCCGCGGATTGGGACGTTCACTTCGTGCCGAGAGCTTGTTAGTCAACGTTTGTCCCGTTGAAACTCCGTTGAAGTGTGGCCAAATGCTTATTGGGCCCCGCTTTGAATTTTCACGATGTGAGGCCAGATATGGCAGGCCGGGGCTCAGGGGGATGGTCTCTTCCACTGCGGCCATTTGCTCGCCGGAACTATTTTCACATATATAGAGTGTCACCCGTCACGAATCATATAAGAGCCACTCCCGTCATAATTTTCAAACAGGTCTATTTGTCTGCAACACCCCGCTTGATTCAATACGCGACTATGGGAGCCATTCGAAAAATTCCACGCACCCGGCAGATGCCAGACTTCCGACGTCGTTTGCAGCGCGCACTGTCCTTGTCATCCTCGGAATCCGAATACAGCCCAAGCCCATCCCGATCTCTGTCTGGAGACACTACCGAGGAAGAGGCATCGATGCCCTCGAACAAGAACGACAAAGCTGTTCCGCAACTGGGCGATCCTCCCAGTACCCACGATCACGGGGTGCTTCCGAGTCCTCAATACGGCGAACTCTTATCTCAGCCCAGAGACAGCAACGTGCTTACCCTCACATGCCTCGCAGAGTTAGTCCGAGTCACCCCTTACTGTGAAAGCAAAGTCTTTACTAACAGATGATACTTGAAGACTGGACGTGCGGGTGAAGTGAGTTTTACATTCCCTCCAAGCAATGCACAAAGGGCTAACCTAAGGCCAGATCCCTAGATTGTAAATTGACGGACCAAAATAAGTGTATCGAGGATCTCCGCAGGGATCTGGCAGACCTTCTCCACCGGCTGGAGGCTGTCGAGGCGGAAGCAGAGGAGCGGATCAAAAGTGATATGACTGATGCGCCAGTTGGGCCGGAGCAGAAGACGGAGCGGAAGCGGCGGTCGCAGCGGGGATAAAATTCAACTGGCTCGGGGGCCTCTGTGGACATTATCTATGCAGAAATTTATCGAGCATTCGACATATGGGCTCTCTCACGCTGAGTGCACTCTTGCCTTACGATTAGCAGCTGTTGAATTTTGGACTAGAACCACTCTTGTGCTTTCTATACATAGTACACACTATATCTGTCTTCTGCGAATACTGAGGCTTTTCAAATGTACCTTTTATGAGTATACCTACCCACCGAGTCAGTCGATGTTAGTATTACACGGCGGTAAATCATTGCTCGGAGTGGCCGAGTCTATATACTGTACCAATTCGTCCCTTCGGTAAGCCTTTCCGGTACGGCGGCAACGGGACGTGAATGACGTAATTATTGGAAGATGATGGAATTTGAGAAGATAGATTGACACAAATAGTATGGCCCAGGCGAAAGGTATGACACCTGGCTCTAAAACACATCCTACTGATGAGTAATTGGTTTATGAGTAGAAGTGACGCGGACTTGAGAAACGCCCAAAACCTGAACCGAGATAGCGGCTTTCACCCTGCTGGACCTCTCGAGCTTGATCGCTAGCTCTGCCTGAACCAACCACGATCTCTCTCTCATCTGTTGTAGCATGTAATCAATGCGATCACAAGACGGATCGATAGAGGTGTCAAGCTCTATCTCGAAGTTCTTCGGATCTATCGACGCATGAATCCAAATGAACCCCATCGAATACTCAAAGCAGGCTGGGTCTGCATTCCCCGAGGTCACAAGCGTGTTGAAAAGAGGTCCCATCGTGGTTGACGGAAGGCCAGCGCAAAGGTACCTCAAATATTGACTACTTGCCGTCCGTTTTCCCTTACTGATCATCTCAGTTTCATCGGTTGACCGTGGATCGAGAATGACCGAATATGAGATCCAGTACTCGGTTGACCAATTGTAGAAGAGTGGAAAACTTTTCCCGGCCAGCAAATTCTCAAAACGAAGCATGCTTTCCCGGAATTTGGAAGGTCTTTTCCATTCGGGTAGCCCAAGGAGGATGATCTTCATATCTGTCAGGTTTTCTGTATGCAGAAATCTCACCTGATAATCCTCCGGCTTCAGATTCGTCAGGTAGGCCGGAGGCTTCACGACAAAACTTCCATTCTGCATGGAAACAAATTTCCCTGCCCTGTCAGGTCTGTTGGAAGGGTGATTCTGTGGCATGAAGGTGGACTGCAAGCTAGTGTTGATGCTCTGGCCACAGAGCTTCGACTGCTCCCATTTCCAGACTAGCTCCTCGGTTTTCGAATATAGGAAAGGAAACCTGTTCACAAAAACTTCTGAGGAGCTATGCGCCGGAGGTTGAGGCTTGTCTTTAACAGGATTAGCTTTTTGGTTTGCCATAGCCGGAATCAGATATCACATACCAATGGGCTTTTTACGGAAGCGACTGAAGTCGAGCTTTGAGTGTCTGTACGATGGTTTGCCATCGAGATCCATTTTTTCGTAGAGCAATGCGGCGAAGCTTGGATAGACAAGTTGGCAATCCACAGGCTTGTACAGGGGGTGATGTAGTGTAAAAAATAAACCAAGACACTTATATGCAAGGTGATGGCGAGACAAATACATTAACACCGAGCTATCCAGTATACAATAACGGTCGCAAGTTTTCCAATTAGATTTCGAAATCGGATGATGGTGGATCGTAGATGCAAGCTATGGTACGGCGGGACTGATTCGCACAGCCCCATCTCACAACAGAGTTTCTTGTACAGTGAGCCAGTCATTAGTACGATTACGTTTTTGAAGAACAAACCTCTGCGGTTAGCCGCGTCTTTGCAAAAGCATTACCCACATCAATCTCCTGGGAGCCAAGCGGATGCGGGTGGGTACTACTACTCGGAAATATAAGCCAACTAGTGCCATCAATGGCCCACATCTCACAAGTATTAAGTGAAATTAGTGGTCAATGATTGGCCGTGGCTCCCAGGAGACTGTGGGTCGTAAATATTGATGCGATCATTGGATACCACTAATGGAGCAGAGAAATAATCAGCCAATCGGTGCCATGAATGATCCACATGTACCACAAAGTCCCAGTAGAAATAATTGGTCCAAATTTGGCTATGAGCTCCTGGGAGCCTGAACCCACCATTACACCTGCCATAATTGAATAACCCATCAGCAATACTCCTATCGAATTCCCGGGTACTAAGTGGATATGTGAAATTGGGTACTGCTGCAAAGAGATATAAGCCAATCAGAGCCATGAATGCCCACAGATGCACAAGGCCTGAGTGAAATAATGGCTAATATCTCACCCTGACTCCCGGGAGCCTGTGGTTGTCGATATACATGCTGTCGTTGGATGCTACAGATACTAATGATATGTGCCAAGAAATAATGGGCCAATCGGTGCCGTGAATGACTCGAATGCACTAACACCTTCAGTCTGCCACGTGGAGAAGACTGTTCGAATGAGCAATTTGACTCAATAGAATAGATTTTTGTTGTTTAGAGGTATGAATCGTGTTATTAGTTCTTGAGGGAGATATGAGGCTATATATACAACATGGAGCCAAGTTGATTTACAATCAACTTGGTTGTCTGTATAGACATCTCGGAGCTAATTCCGATGGTGCGGCATACTTCGTGATCTGTACAGCCTCATAACACAACAGCCAGACCTACCCGAAGAGCGGGCCCATCAGGACTCCGGAGAAGATTTCGCGAGTTCGGCTAATCGAAGTATCCGCTGGGGGCGAGGAGCGCATAATGGAAAAAGAGTGGCAGTTTGTCTTCCGGATCCACCGTTACCTCCCGACTCGTATCCCGTGAAAGCAATAAGGCAACTTCAGGGAATACCGTTACCTCCTCGTCGAGCGCTTCCTCGTCAAGTGATCCGGCGGCATTCCCTTCCTCAGTCAGGAGTCGAACGAGCTGACGGGCGGGCGTGCGGAAAATGTCTCTTCCCGAGAAAGTTACCTGCACGTCGGCGTCGTCTTCCTCGAATCGCCATACCTCGACAGCAGTCAGCGTGGCGCCGTCGTCGCAGATGAGCACCACTTCGAACTGCGGGTGCTGGACGAGTACTTTGAAGTCTCCGGACTCCGAATCCGGAGCGGTCGGTGAAACTTGTCCCCACGAGGACGCGATACGCATTGCCTCCTTGATCGAGATTCCGAAAAGCAGTGGGCCGACACCCTGCCCCGGAGACATTTCTAGCCGCACCTGTATCATCGTTTCGGTGGAAAGACTATTCAACAGGGGATGAGGTTTATTGGGTGTTAGGTGGAACTCTTTGTATTGAGAGACTATGCGGCGTTTGATGTTCTTACGAGATTTATATCTCTCAGCTGGGCCTCGCCAAACCCGCCCCCGAACGGGTTACAGTAACGTGACTTTCGTCCCACTTTCGGCCTTTTTTTTGTTCCGTGGTTTTAGCAACCGGTGTGGATCGATTTGCACCGGGTGTGGGAATTTTCTAGACCCGGTTTCGGGACCATTCTTCGGTCATCATCGTCATTTAGAGTATTGTATGGAAAGAGATGAATAGACTTCGGCAGAACCCATATTTTGGACCCATTCTTGGCATTTCTTGGCATGCCAAGCACCCATAAAACCCATCAAAAACCCATCCTGCATAAAATCTGTATAAAACCTGTATAAAGAGGCCTAATTAGGCAAGTCTTGGCATTTTTATGCTTAAACTCTAAATGATGGGTTCTTGGCGATGGGTTATGGGTCCAACCCTTCGACCCATAACCCATTTTGCCGAAGTCTAGAGATGAAAGTCTGCTCAATTTAGAATACCTCGAAAATACTGTTTAACAACATGTCAGTATGGTCAGGCCTAGTGTGGGTCTATACAGCCTACTAGGTAGGCGGAGAGTATGAAATACCGTGTGGAAACCGTAGTCGATTAGTAAGTTGTTAGTGCCCATATAAATACGTGTCTCGGGCAAAACATCAATTCAGACTTTGTTCATATCTCCTATTGGTTGCTACATTTCGGCCCACTAAGCTCTTAGAGAATTATGCATCAGTTATGTACTTGGACGGGTAATTTGTGTACCCGCGATGAGTTACCCGTGGGCGGGTTGGAAAAATGAAAACCCGCCCCGAACCCGCATTTGGCGAGGTCTAATCACAACATAGCCCATGTAGCGGGTCTGAGCCGTAACAATTCGCTCTTTGCAAAGGGGATCAGGGGAACATCCCGATCTTCTTGTGGTACCTTCCCTTTTGCGACAATGCACTTCCTTGCTTTGCCGTCGGAAGTCATCTTTTTGATTGCCGAGAAATTGGAAACGGAGAGGGATATCTATTCCCTTTTGAGAACTGACTCAAAACTCCACCTGCTTCTACTTCCACACCTCTATCGACACAACGTCAAATATTCTGCGAGCTCTGCTCTCTCGTGGTGTATCTATCATGGCCAAGCAAATGGGGTGCGCATCTTATTGAGAATGGGTGCACCCCTTAAAGGCCCTGTAGCCCGCCTTCCTAGCGCATCAGACTTCGCAGACGAATATGGATTCCAGGAAGATTATGGAAGTGCTTTGCATTTTGCCACGAACCCGGAAATGGCTAAACTCCTTATAGACAACGGGGCTGATGTGAATGAACTATCCACGCATTGGAGGGCTCCATTACATGTGGCAGTTGAAAACCGCGATCTCGTGATGGCCAAAATGCTGTTAGATTGTGGGGCGGATGTCAATGTTCGCGGCGACGAATATATCGATCCCTACATCTTCTACGCTACCCCTCTTCATCACGCCCTTCACAACGATATTGACGACGTTTACTTTCCAATGGCAAAGCTTCTTGTTGAGCGAGGGGCCGACCTAGCGATGACGGATAACCGAGATGAAACCCCTCTTTTCATTGCTGTAACATATGGTGCTTATTCGACAACAAATATTCTACTCAAGAATGGTTCTCCTGTCAATGTGCCAAGACCTAGTGGGGAAACGCTCATTTACAGAGCCGCATCGCAGGGCGACGTTGCTATAGCAAAGCTCCTCCTTGACCATGGCGCATCAGTCAACGGCACCACTATATTGGGGAGATCTCCGTTGTACGAAGCTTTCGAAAAGAAAAATCTCGCTCTGGTACAGCTGCTAAATCAATATGGTGCATTAGTGGGCCCATAAATATAAATATTGAAGAGGGAAATGCACGATGGCCGTCTGACAGAGCAAACGGGTTGATACTAGTGAGCAAACACACCACACAACTGCCCTGTAGTGCCTTCAACGAGAGATGGTATCAGGGAGTATAAGCGAATACATAATTAAACGGAAAGAAAAGGACCGTAACCGAAGACTGGAATCAGTGAGTTATGTGTAGCATACTATCTGTCGATACAACGAAGGCGAAGAATATAAACCTAACTATCCAACCGTAGACACCTGAGACCTCAGGCATAGTTATGGCCGGTAACTATTAGTTCTAAGCGCTCATACCATGCCGTTAGAATGCCAATATCTTCCGCATTAATACGATGCTGTTCTGCAGTCTTTTGATGTACCCAATTAAGGTGAGGCGGCAGGTGTGTTGTTACAAAGTCATATACCCAGTCTTTAGCGAGAGGAGGTGGATCTTGGACCGCTCTTCGTAAAAAGGCATTTGCAGTACCAGTTACCAATTTAGCTGTAGGGGGCACATTTAGGGCATCAAGGCGCTCAATCCAGCGAATTAATGGGCCATTTTGGGCCTCGTTTAGACGACTATAGGTCGTTTAGCGAGTGCTGCGAGACTTGCAGGCCCGCAACCCTCCAACGGGGATGTCATATTCGCGCGCCAATGCTGCGAAATTGGGTTTTTTGGCAGTTCTAGCTACTGAACAAGCAGTTTCAATAAGTCGTTCAACATCAGAATAGGCCTTAGACATGGTGGTGGTGGTGATAATAGTCAAAATATATGAAAAAGCTTCGTTGACGTCTGAACTCTGTTGACTGCTGGGTTGGCCCACACCCACTGGGTGTGGGTCAACCTTAGTATTACGGCACCTAAGGTCTGCTACCTACGGTGACTATTATGACAAAAAAATGCTCTACACATTCCGATGTCAGAACTTTTGTCGTTACAGTACGGACTAGAACGGGCATAGCCAATGGAGTACTTGAGAGTGTTGATTTTGAATACTATGGAAAGTACAGAATATATGCGATGTGGACTTAGTAAGGTCGTTTAGAGCCACGCAAATATGGTTGAAAACAGGCATATGGGGGTGCTGAATATTCCTCGGGCGCACTAGTAAACCTGCGACCCTCTTTTGTCGACACATTTCAACGCTGTTTTTCGCTTCCAATTCCTATTCCCTCTGGCTTTCGTTTCAGGGCCGATGCGTGCAACATGCGCGTCTTCCAGTTATAATCCATGTTTTTTATCAAAAATAAAGTATCTCAATACAAATATAGTTACGGGCTGTTTTACTCTTATGATTTTATGTCAGGATTCGGAATTGAGGCACTGGCTAGTACTGAACTTGTCCAATAGAATCAGATGATTGATTGATTATCCTGAGACCGGTTGAGCAATCTCAAGGGTCTCTATATTTTGACTGTGGCGTGTTATGACACCATACTTGGAGGAAATCGGGTGAACGATGAATAAGCCGATCTCGAAGGGTCCTAGTGGTATTTGACCACTCCCTTAGCTCGTCATTTTAATCAAAGGTATCTATTTCAATATTTGAGCTTGAATTGGTGTGGTTGCTGAAATATCGAATTGTAATTTATCGCATTTAATATGGTGTTCCAAGTGGCCAGCTCACTAGTGAAATACGTTAGCTAAGTTAGTAACTATATGTCTTCAGGCAATTTTCTATTACTCAGACTCTTCATCAGACTCCCCATCAGACCCTTCGCCCGTATCGCCAACTGGTAGCCCCATGTATTTCCTACACTCATCCCGACTCCCACCCGGAATATTCCACTCTTCAAGAATATCCCCCAAAACCGCGCCCCGCCAGTACTTCATTGCCAGCTCCGCTAAAGCGGTGACCGTTCGCCGCTGAATCTCATTCAGAGACTCAACCTGCCGTCCATCCTCATCCTCGGGCCTAGGACCAAAGGCCAGCTCCAACTCAACTTCAGCAAGTTCAAAAGCTTCCACCCTTCCCAAGCGCGGGAATGCGTCCAACAAGGTGGACATGACTCCAGGATAATCCCCCAGGTTTAATGTATTCATCGCCTTGCCGCTGTACTGGAACAGATCTCCCTCATGGAAGGGAAACCCGAGATCGTTGGACTTCTGGGAATCACTTTTAGGGACGAACGAGCGATCGGCTAAAATGCAGGCTAGGACGGAGACATCCTCTGGTCTGTGATGAAGTAGTCGAACGGCAGATACTGCAGCAGCGAACCGAACCAATGAAGGACGCGTGCTAGCTCCATACTCACGAAGACGGCTGATGAGATTGCCCATGCCATCAGAAACACCATCAGCATCTTTCCAACATCCGTTCAGCAAGCCCAGTGCAATTATGGCACTGGACAGAACCAAAATATCTTCGCCTTCCCGGTCAAGCACCCGCTGCAGAGCACCAGCGCTACTCCTATTTCTTCCACCTGCTCCCTCCCCAGGAAACCAAGCCAGCGCATAAGCTGCAAAAGCCCTAATCTCCACATCCTCCTCCTCCTCCAAAAGCTTCTGAAAAAGTGGTACACCCGCACAAACAGCATCATACGCCGCCAACTCATGTTTGGCGTATCTGCGCTGTCGCTCCAGTCCAACATGACGGACATACTCACGCATTTTCCGCTGGTTTTCATCCCTTGCTTGGCTCACTAACTTATCATGTTCAGCGTAGTACTCCGCTTCATACCCAGGAGCATATATCTTCTCTGTCCACTGACGCCATGCGATAATGTTCACGCCATGAGGTAGGAATGTTGACGGAATACCCAGGGCTAGATCAACCAGGTAGTTAATCACGGAGGCTCGGGCCGGTGTCGCCGGGTTCTCTAGAATCTTGAGTAGATATGGAACAGCATATGCGGTTGCTTCGTAGCGGGTTGCTTGATGGAAAATGTTTGAGGAGAGGGCCTCATATGCATTTGAGCGGTCTGATGTTTTTGGCGATAGCAAGGCACGCAGGTTGTCGGGCACGTCGGTTGCTTCGCCATATGCGTGGTGGAGGGAGGCCCAGTTGACTGAGTCAAGGAGGCGCTGGGCTGCGGGGTCCATCTTGTTTCTTTATTTTGAGGGGGTAGAGTATTATGTAAGGGGCGAGATGCCTGCGGCGGGGTTCAAGTGGGTTAAAATTAGACCTTGACAAAACCCGTGGGTCGTCGTGTTGAATATCCCGGTTACTGAGATAATCATGGGGGCTGGGTTCACGTACATACATATACATCTGTTGTCAGGAGAAATAGGCGGAGTGTATGGCAGAATACCGAAGGACTAGACGAGAAAGGTTAGCTTAGAATAGGTAACTTTCCATACAAAATAGGTGGGAAGGTACATGCAAATAACACAGATTTCCCCTATCTTTCGCATATGCTCCACTATTGCCTTTCACCGCTTCTGACACATTGTGAGGCAACCCCAACAAAACAACTCCCATTATGCAGACTTCCCAGACTTCTATTTCTCTTTGAATCACATTTTTGAAAGAGTTTGATCCTGCTCAAGAATTCCTTTCCTAAAAAAATAAATGCCATAACGGAGTAGCATTCTCGGGTAGTTTGGCATGTAGATCTCCCAAAATTAAGCCGGGTTGCGAGAAGTTCGCAGTCACGGGAACCGCGAAATACAGAAACATATTTAATATTGATCACGAACGTGATATCTTGCCTATTTTTGATTCAAGGTTTTCGCTTCCTCTTTTATTCTCAGTCTTCTCTAGTTAGACGCTGGAAGCCTTTTGAGTCTTCACCCCAGCAGTCTTTGTTAAAATTGCCAAGTAAGCTAACATATTATCGTTGCTCCTCTATGACACCCGCCCTCCGAAGTATAGACTCCAAAAGCTGAGCTCAAGGCTAGTGTAAAGACCGTATTTCGCAATGGCCCAAAGATCCGGAACTTCAAGCGAAGCCACAATGAAAAAACCGAAACTGGCTCCGAAGAATGATATTATGGTAAGACCAGCTTCTTATCAACCCATTGAGGTTGGCTCTGTTTGACTATAAATGCAGAAAGGTGTCTTAGAAAAAGACCAAGGGAGCCGATCAGATACACCTTCAAGCACATGGAGCCGAGAGAATTACCAAATGAATGAAAACGAAATTTTGTTTCCACCTCAGCGGGAAAAGACCTGTAACAAAGGAAGGCATGCTAAGAAATTGATGAGCAGAAGCAAATCAGAACACTGTTTCTCAAGGCCCTTTTATGACCCTTTGTCACCTTCAGATACCTTCGAAGTATCAGAGTTTTTTGATGGACTACCTGAAAGCACCTCTGAGTCATTTGGGCGGCCTATGTCAAGAAAAAGTCAAATGAAACATGAACAACGCTTCTACATGGACAGAAGTGACATTGAAGACTTGAATTCTCCTTCTTGAATACTCGCATACAAACCTTTGTGATAATCATGAATACCCAGCTTCGCCTTCAGCGACCTGTATCTCCATGTCAGTTCGTCGGCTCACGAGGGAAAACCTCTCGGTCAGCGTTTCGCCCACAGCTTCTGGGCTCAAATCTCCTGTATAGATGTCTTCTCTTTGGGATCCATTTCCACAGCATTGCCTATAGCTAGAAATTGAATCATTGGGACCGGTTGTGTTCCGATCTGGGAAACGCACCAAGGTGCGATTATCTGCCAACACAACTATACTTTCCGATCCGAGAGTGGGAATCTTGCATTTATCTATAAAATTGAACACTCATAAGGCTTGCTTCTTCTTTACATATATGATACGGAGTTATCATCGATTCCTCAATTTGAGTTGAGCAAGTCACGCTGACTTCAGCAGTCATTGGTGGCACAATTGCTCTAGAGGGTAGCAATGGGTTCGATCTCGGGCATGAAGAACCCACAAGATTAACATGTTTTAGAATGTATTCTAAACATCATAGTTATATCGAGTGAAATAATCGTATCAACTTGCGGCCTACCGAGGGCTCTAACTCCGTTCCATCGCGGGCGATTCTCACCTCTCTGTTGGCATTCCAGGGATCCCTTAGATCTCGCGTGCGGTCGAAAAGTACACGGTTCGTTGAGACCCATTCAATACCAAATGGAGTCCCTAAGGAAGAGAATTCTGGCCAGGCTGCTTGCTCATACTCTATGCCGTTGCAACCACTATGGCTCCCGGGAGGCCTGACTTCCCAAAACACTGTTCCGCGACCAAGATCTCGAACGATTATCCCTGCCGGTGCCGTCGACGTTGCCAAAGTAGGAGTCACATTGAGTTCGGTTTTCGCTGAAGAATAATGAGTTCGTAGTTGTACCGCTCGTGACAGATCTTCGTCATCCACAATTGAAGACGACATGCGCGCATAGCCAAAGTACTCGCCACTTTTATTCGCGGAGAAAATCAAGTGGACATTTTTCGAAGTGTCATAAGCCTGGCTGAGTGAAATTTCGTTATGAGGCTGGGTAGCCCAGATTCCAGTGTCCTTGCTCGTTTCAAGATCCTCTATCGTTAAACTCTTGACAATGAAATACCGATTTTCGGATGGATGAATCTCGAGCTTAGGTTGACATGCTGTCGGGCCGTATGCCTCATCACCCGGTGATTCTGCTGGCCAGGTTATATTGTGTTTCCCGGGGTCAGGCGACCTCTTGTGGAGCTCAGATATCTCCAAACCTTTGCGTAGCCGACACACGAGACGTGAAAATCGTAGCTGAGAACCATGAAACCTTGTCAACGCATCCACACAGGAAGTGGCAGATCGATAGTTCACGAAAGCACAATTGCTCTGGGATATCAAAAACACGCTTTGGATATCCTCAGTGGCCCCTTGGGAGAAATGTTCCTTTAGATCATAAACATCAATCGATGGTGGAAGGTTACCAACCCAGAGGGCATGTTCTGTTTTTTGGGGCTTTGTCGGTGGCCCTCGTCGCGTCCCTTGTCGCGTAGGTGGGTTTGCGGCAGGCGAAGACCGCTTCGGCCGCATTGAATTCGAACCATCTACGACCAATACAGAATTATTTGATCGGCCACTGTGATCAATATTAATTTCTTTCATTGAATCTCAATTAGAAGGTCAGATTGGATGACTCGAATTTTATCAGAATTCGGTCGTAGGCATGGAAGAGGGTGAAAGTAATAGTTGAGACTGGTAAAGGCAGGACGACTGAAAAAAGCAAGGGTGCCGACTGGACAAAGGTGCAGACCAAGGGGTTATTGGGGTGGGTCTGAGCGCTATGGTTAACGCAAGGGGCGAACTGGGGGGGGGGGGGGGCCTCTAGCACAGCCTAACAATTTTGTATTGAAATTGGGAGACTCATAAACCTTATGGATGTGGCTGTAAAATCAATACAGATAAAGGCCTACGAGGCCACGATGTCAGCTAACTCCCATTACCCTTGACATCTGTTTCCCGTTCTTCGTGATGGGACCCTGAGCCTGATAGTGGACACTCAATTCTTCACGATAGTTAAACCTTAAATATACATGAACGTCTTTGGCTCAATTGGCAGCTACAATCGAACATATTTTGTTGAAGCTCTGCCCTAGGGCTGGAGAGGTAGGATCTTCGGTGCCTGAATTTTCCTTATCTGGTGGTCTGTATAAGTCTAGAGAACCAGGTGGGACGAAAGTCGGTTGAAACCTGTCGCTCAGTCCAAAAGCCCGTGCCAAGTGACCCGAGCTTATCTTGTATCGATTACTCCGACTACTCGGTCATTCACTGCAAGAAGGGAACAGTCTCTGGATCTTGTTCTGGAAGCGTCTAACCAAAGCTATCACGAGAGTCATTGGCGTAGCACGGCCACTGTGGTGTCCTGTCTACTTTCCAGCCCCCAAGCGCGGTCTTCATCACTGCTACGTGTTCTTTGTTCTGAGCTGGCACCGACGCCAACATTACAATCGGTGTATAAAGTCGTGTGCAGAGTGGTAGTCGTGCTCTGTGTGAAGTGTTGCATTTCGAAATGGCCCGTGTAGGGTCGCAATCAGGAGTTCTTAGTGGTAGATTGGCCAATTTTATATCGAGGAAGGCGGTGTTTCAATCATTCGAGCCTGGATTCAGCTGCATGCAAGAAATTCCAAAAGAGTGGCCAGGTCAACGGTACACTAGCAACAAGAATTGCCACAGTGGCTTCGCGAAAGTACCAATCCATGTAAATGTAAGAGAGATGAGTGACGGCACTTAGCATTCCACTTTACTTAGAATGGCGGCAACTATTTCTACATTGTGCTAGACTTCGGGGTTGTTTTCTGTAGGAATCTGAAGAGACAACAGAGACTCTCTGCGCCAGGACTTTCGCCAATGCAAAGACAAAACTCGATGGCAGCGCGATTCATCTGAAGCAGACTATCTTTGTCTTGGGGCAAGCGATGAACAGAGCTGACATTTTCACAGCTTTGCTCAGACGAGATCTTCGATTGATATTTAGCTAAGAACTTGAAGAATTTGTTCGGCTCCAGCGCCTCGGGGCATGTCCAGCCTAGAGCCAAAGACTGTGGTAGAAGCCAATTTTGAACAAATTGGAAGGCAGAATGCTCGAGGTGACGTTGTAGAGTTTGGAGGATCATATGCTGCACTCGAAAAGGGATAGGCATCATATCCAGTCCTAGCATGGGGAACAGAATCTCTATGAACTCTATCACCGTAATTAGCGAAGGCACTCCGACCTTTAGCTTTAGCTTACCCTTAGCTTTCAATCCCCGACAATGTTCCAAAAGGCGTTTCAAAGACCTGTGACAGTCAATTATGGAATTATCCAATTTCGAGAAAACCTCAAGGTGATCTACCGGTAGCTGATTGATTGTGGAGACGATGAATGCTGGGCAGCAGCGGAGTCTCTATTGGGGCTGGAGGAAATCATGTTCCGACGGCGGAGTCGGCGTCGACATCCCTTTATTGATGGTACCTTTTCAGTTAGTTTGTGGGTGTAGGCACACGAGGAACCCCGGTCATCCGGTGCTGGTGGGTGAAATAGAGATTTGGGCGGCATGAGGCCTTGCAGTGACCGCGACTTGCGGCGGAATATATGACGGCCAGGCTAATGGGGTGAATGGATGGGGGAAAGCAGTTTTTCTCAGGGAGGCGAGGGCAAAAAGTTTGCGGACAGAATTTTCAGTGGGCAGGCAAGCGATTTGCCAAGGCGGGTCTTCCATGGAACGCTTCTACATATTAGCTGCGTAAAAGTTGTTTCACCTCGTTGAGCAACGTTGAGACCGATGATTTGCAAATTGAATGGCTGCGGTGCGAGCGAATATTGGCAGACTTCTGAAGCTACGGAGATTAAGCTGCCACGGCGAGTGGCCCATGGAATGCCACTTCGATCTACACCTCATACCAACTGCGCTAAAGGCCGTTTGACCTAGGTCAATCAACGTTGATGAGGCAAATAATTTGTCACGCATAGCTTCGTGCCAACCACGGCTCCAGGTGGATCCAGCCACTCCACCCGCTCTCCAGCCCGAACGCTTGAAATTTCTTATTTCAACGTTGAATCAACCGCCTCAACACCCAGCAAAATTGCGGTCGCCCGGTGTGAATTTCGAGCGGAAATTTCTGGTACGGCACGATGTATGCAAATGGTCGCTGCCGAAAAACGTACCCGAAAGGTATAAAAAGACGCTCCTTTGCCGTCGAAAAGAAGAGCAGGACTTTCCTCCTCACACTCCGGGGCCTTGGCCTCGGGGCGTTCTTCGCAGGGACATCTGCCACCCCCAGAGTCTCCGCGAGACGGGCTCTGCGTTATCAAGTGTGCCTCGCAGGGGGACGCTGCATTACCAAGGGAGACCCGCAGGAGAGTGCTGCGTCAACAAGTTCTCCCTCACAGCCAATGAGCCCTGTATTGTATAAATGCGCTCCTTCGCAGCCAATGAGCCCTATGTTGTATAATTCCGCCCCGCAGGGACATCCGCGATATCAAGAGCCTCCGCAGGAGATCGCTGCGACACCAAGTTCTCCCTCACAGCCCTGAGCCCTATGATTGTATAATCTTGAGCTTCCATGCAGCCTTGAGCCCTGCGTTATCAAATTTGCGCTCGTTAGGCGACCCGTGGCGCCGCGGTGCTCGTCCTAATCCTCTGGCGATTGCAGGCACCTCTTCGTGGTGTCAGAGACTAGTATTCGAGGGAGTCCTCGAAGAAGCCAAGACCTGCTCCAAAAGATCCATAGATATTAAGAGTTCACTAAAGAAACTTTATGTGTGATGTATTTCTGCCTGTTTGTCGAGTTCCCCACTCGTGTTCCTCGTTCATGTTGGGTAATCTGTAGCCTTAATCACGCCCTCGGCTTCGAGGATGGGCATCCTCTTCCACGTAGTGTAGATTAGAGCATCGAGTCATTGCTAATAGTGGGGTGGCCAATCTGGATGGTAGCTGAAATTCAAAGTAGTCCATTGATGTGAATGCTTGTCTCTTCTGGCTGGCAGTGGCAGCAGAATTTGTCCGGATGTAGGGAGATGCGGGGTTTCGACGGTGAGTAGGTGGTGTGTTGGCGTGTCGATGGTGAGGGCTGGAGGTGAGTGACGGTTGATAATTGGTGATGATGGTGATGGGGACGTGACCAGTGAATCGTGAATCAACATATTGATGGGCAGTGCGGGTGATTCCCGGGCGGTGAAGTGGTGGTCAACGGTAAACACTCATCGTCGTCAGAGTGGGGTTCTTTGTTCCCTCACGAATGCAAAAGTTGATAAACAGTGCGAAATGATGATTTCTACATATTAGATTCGATATGGTAGTACATACTCCGGTCGGTCTTCTGTGTGACATTCTTCCGGCTCGAGCTTCATCGCGTGCTCTTTGGCGATATTCTGTATCTGAGATAGTGTCGCTCTATGTCAGCTTAATATCCATTATATATATCCCTAGACCAGTGCTATGTAGTAGGATAATAGCCATAAGGTTATGTCGCCATATGTCGAATCGATATATGCAAAGTATATATCAAATAATTACCACAAGAGGAGAATGTCGAGCCACCAGCCCTGTCACTTCGAGTCCGAGACGCCACCTGATTCATTCGATATCATAGGCAAGGAATTGAAAGCAACCCTTCAAGTATAGAGTTCACCCCTTGTATTCAGCCCGGTGTACAGTGCCACAAGCTCTTGGTATCAAAAGGAGAGACCAATCGGGTCCTCAATGCGCCAATGGTGGATAAGGACTGGAGTTCATATCTCCAAACCCTCGAGGGGCATAGTGGCTCGGTCACGATTGACTGGTGATGGAAGCCGACTCGCATCAAGGTCACTTGATAACACCGTCAGGATCTGGTATCCGGCCTCCGGCCAGTGATCGTCAGGCTTCGAAGGGCATAGCGAGCGAGCCCTATGGATTATTTGGTCGCTGGAGGGAAGCCGACTCGCGACAGTTTCCTGGGATCACACTTTGAGGATATGGGATCTAGTCACCAAGCAGTGTTGTAACCCCTGCAGAGCATATTTATGGAATCACCCCGATAGCCTGCTCGCAGATGGAACTCGACTGGCATCAGGGTCCTTTGATAAGACCATCAAAATCTGGGATCCGACCACTGGCCAGTGCTTGTCAACTCTTGAAGGACAACTTTCTGATAATTGGTTTTTATAACAAGCCAGAATCAGAGACATAATAGGCCTTCAACGGCACTCTAATCAGAAGGGATACGGATAATAATACAATCCATTAATTCCCATGAGACATTCCCTGTGCTCGTATGTACAGATTTCCTGAGAGTCGACAGAGATGAATACCTTCAAACACATTGTTGGGTCGGCCGAGTCAACATTTCATTGTGCCACTTCCTACTGATCTGAAACGGGTATGTCGTCTCTTTGCCCTCGCATAACAGCGTTCACTGATTGGAACCGATCAACATCCTCTCAGCAGCCCAGTGAATACATTGCGACCGGGCCTAACAGTTCAGTTAACATGGCGACTTGAACCCAGGATTCACTAAAGCCGTGTCTTAGACCTGATGCCAGACGACCAAGGCCGCCAACGAACATAATGCCAGCTAGAAGCCCCAACGGGGTCCGTCTTGTCTCCAAGTCGCTGCTTGTCCACCAAAGCATCACACCGTAGCCAGCCCACATGGCTCCTAAGAATCGAATCTGACTGTCTACTAGCGCCATGGCCACTGAACCAGTCGGGATTGGTCCCAAAGTAGAGTCGATCATACCTATGCCGAGGCAGACATCCATGGTACCGGTAATCATAGCGAAGATCGAGCACGCCTTCAATGTTCTCGAGAACAGCGGCGATCTATATGATTCAAAGACCATGTTCGTATCTTATCCGGGAAAGAGAATAAGTAAAGGAGTACTTTCGGATCATAGAAGATAGAGCACAGGATTGAAGTTGTAATTAAGTAAATGCAAAGAAGAGATAGGAAAGTTTGGTTCATTTGTAGGCCTCGAGATGAGTCTGAGTTTCGGTCGGCTTTATGATCTATCCGAGGCGGCAGAAACTAACCACTCTTGTCGGAATACGGAAAAGTGGATAGTATATACTGGTCATCCAATAGAATCGTGTCGGTATCAGTGGAGAATTGGTATTGTAAGACACTGTTATATTGTATCATTGTAACTTAGTGTGGCCGGCGACGACTCTCACCTCCCCGTGGTGCCGGCTGGGAACCTGCGAATGCCTTGCCCGATGGCATTAGCAGAGCTGAGAAGAGTCACACCAGCCAGCACTGTCCGCTGGCTAGGGCTACTGCTAGAGCGAGAGCTCAGGGGTCAGGACCCCTGACCCCACGCACAGGCGACAAGGGAACAATTTGAAAACCACCCGACACACGACTGCGAAACCGATCCTACAATCAGTGGACACTAGGGTCGTGGGATAGGACACCCTTGGGGTGCTCTCGGGCTGCTCTGTTGAAAGGAGGATATCGCTGGGTCAAAGATCACAGAAACGACGAAGTCAAAAACAAAACACGAACGATATGGCAGGATCCAGCATGCTTGAACCCACACAGAGAACGACGAGGTACTTTGGTTAGTAGGAGGGACAACACTGTGTTGCTTGGCTGTTCTGGGTACAGAGAGGATACAACTGGGCGAACTCCTGCGAGACACGGTCGGCCTTGCCAGAGAGATCTTGCAAGGTAGCGCGAAACGGATTTGACAATCTGCGGGGCGCAGCATATAATGGAAGCGACGGAAGGCTGGGTGGGCGGACTGCAGATACGACACTTTCTATATGGCTCGAGAGGACGGACGCGCGTGTCGGTCTACTGAGAGAATAGGATTCCGAAGATGGCCATCGAGGATAGAGTCTTTAGGGCGGCTATGGAAGTAGGCTTAAGGTGCAAACTGGTATTGACTTGCGGACCCGGCTGTGCCCCGCGAAGGATGCGGAAAAGGATCGAAGGAGACGTAAGGTGGAGGGTCTATGTAGGTAGACATGCTGCCACCTCTACAATGTATTATTAGGCTTGCTTAGCTAAGGAATACAAATCAGTACTTGCAATCATCGCAGAAAGGATCTCACACGCGGTGGAGACCTATGGCCTGCTTCCAACTAGTCACTTCGGGGCCCGAAAGCAGCGGTCCGCGGAGCAGGCACTCTTACTCTTGCAAGAGCAAATCTAGACTGCGGCACGGTTTTGGGTTTGGTCTTCAAATGCTAACCAAACCCAAATCGATTTGGTCTGCGGTTTTCATATCTTTACCAAACCCAAATCGATTCGGTTTGCGGTTCTAAGATCTTTACCAAAACCTAACCGCAAATTTTACGGTTAACCAAAACCGCAATGCGGTTACCTTGCGGTTAACCGCACTAGCATAAAAGATGAAGATCTTACCTATCTAAGCCACCCCACCGTTTTTATACACCTGATAACTAAGCTCAAATAATGCATTCTTACATATGGTTTCGTTATTACTACTGTAATCATTTATTTTTCTTACTTTTTGTTGGAGATAATTTGAAATAGAGCGGTATTCTAAAAGATAAAATATTAGTCTACAAAAAATTCAAGTTCAAAGTTGGATTTTGGACATTGGTGGCGAGATTTACTGTGTGTTGTGATTAGTTTTTGTAATCGAGTATAGTTATCGCAGAAATATATATTTGACTTAGAGAGATTATGCTGCATCTTTAGGTCAGTAGAACATGGAAAGCCTAACTTGACTAATTTTTAAGTATTCTGAATTTTGATCATATGTTATAAAAGAGCTAGTTTTTTACATATCTCTAATAATTTTTAATCTAGTATTACAATATAAAAGTGTTAAAAAATATGTCCTAAAAGTGCAAAGTTGCAGTGATAAATGGTTATATTGCGGTCGTGCTGCGGTTACCTTGTGGTTTTCCTGTGGTTTTTGCGGTTTTCAGGGGTATTTTGCGGTTATCTTGCGGTTATCTTGCGGTTTTTGCGGTTTTCGGTAATCTTAGTGCGGTTATTGTGAGGGGTCTTTGCAGTTAACCGCAGGATAACCGTATTAGTAGCTCTAATATCCAATTAGAGTATATTGTCAGGATGAGGAATTGAGGTACTGGCTAGTACTGAACATGTCCAATAGAATCAGATGATTGATTGAAGGTGTATGAGAGCGGTTGAACGCCCTCGAGAGTCTGTATCATGCCAATGCGGTGTGTTACGACACCATAACTCCGAGTCTATCCCGAATACCATACGAATACTAGGGGAATTGAGCGGATGATGAACATCCTATCCCAAAAGGTATTAGTGGTATTTAACCACTCCTTCAAATCGACATATATCTTTGACTCCACTCTATAATTGCTTTTGTAACACATCAATGTCCTCGGTCGCGTCTGGTGTTTGTGGTCCTCTCGTCGAATCTTGTAAGTTGTTTGTCTCTCATTTACACATATTGGCTCTCAAGACCATAGCCAAAGATGGCCTATACCTCATCAGTCTTCACCGATCAGCATTCTGATACTGACTTTCTCCTACCAGATGACCTGCCATCACTCAGTACATATTGTCGGACTGCCACCGAGTCAATTACACCATCCATTTGCTCTCAACAACTGCAATTACCGCGAGCGCCCTTATTCCTTACACGTACTGGGCCACATCTTCAGCGATTTTGGATCCTTGTAGAAATGGACCCCGCAACAGGCCAAACTCGGAAGGATTTCACTGAGTGGTGGCTTCAAACAGAGTATGGCACAAGAAAAGACATCGAGACCACCATTCATTGGGACCACAAAAAGAGAGCTTCAGTCTGGGATCACTTTGAGCAAGTAGCTCATGAACGGACAGGAGAGCCTAAAGTTATGTGTAAGCGTTGCCTTACTACACTTACTCATCCAAATATTCGGCGTGGAGGAACATCACCAATGAACACACATCTGAAAGGGAATACCTGTCATCCAAAGCATGGGATTGGCAAGTTACTTGCGAAGCAGGTAAGTATATATACTATCTTTAAGATACTGCTTTTAGCTAATAACTTATAATTTGTAGTCACAAACTTCAAGAGCAACTTTAACTACTTTCTCTGAAGAAGCGCTTGCCCAGAAAGTCCTATCTCTTATCCTCGTCGCACGGCTCCCATTCCGTATCCTTGATCGTCCAGAATTCCAGGAATTAGCTGATCTAATTGCTGTTGCTCCCTCACGGGTCAAACTACCCTCGCCCCGGACGATTAGCCGACAACTACACTCGAATATCCAACAAGGACAACAGAGTATAATAGATATGCTCCCAGAGGATAGTAGACTATCTCTATCACTTGATTGCTGGACATCACCTTTCCAGCAGGGCTTTATGGCTATTACTGGTTATTTTCTGGATAACGATTGGGAGTATCGAGAGGCTCTACTTGGCTTTGAACCCTTACAAGGCTCACATACTGGGAGTAACCTAAGCTCAGTAGTTATTGGTATTCTCGAAAAGTATAAAATTGCCGATCGGGTTCTGTCAGTAACAACTGATAATGCTACCAATAACAATACAATGATACTCAGTATTCAGGATGAGCTTAAAAGTCAGGGCATTGGAAGTGACAGGCTTGGTAATAGTATATTCCGTGTTCCATGCCTGGCCCATGTGATCCAACTGAGTCTGAATCAACTTCTCGGAAAAATAAAAGCAATGCCATCCAATAATGAGGCAGAGGATGGATGGCCAGATGACCGTGAGCGCCAGGCGCGTTCCCAGCAATCAAAGAGAGAGATTATCCAGACTTTGAACAAGGTATGTGATGATTCAGCAGAAAGAGAGAGAGAATAACAGCTAATAATAGTTATCTGTAGATCCGAAATCTTGCTATCTTTATTAATGCAAGTCCTCAGCGCCGAGCTGCATTTCTTGTAATCCAGTCCCAGGAGCCTCGACTGCTTCCTCTTCAAGATGTACGGACTCGATGGAATTCTACATTTCTGATGCTCGGCCGAGCAAAACGACTACAGAAGAGCTTTCAAGAATACTGTACAGCAAACGGATATCTCCATTTTCAGCTTGACAAAGAAGAATGGCGTCAGATCGACTACTTACTGTGTATCACTGAGCCATTCTTTAAGTTTACAACTGCTCTCTCGAAAACAAAAGACACCACAATCCATCTTATCTTTGGCGTTTACAATAAGCTTTTCAATCACCTGGAGAACTCCGAGAACCAGCTTCGCCGAAAGAGACTCCCATGGAAGAAATCAATGCTGAGGGCATTACAGGCGGCAAGGGAAAAGCTTTCTGAGTATTATCAAGCAACTGATAAGGAGTTTTATGGGGATCTTTATGGTATTGCTACTATTCTTGCCCCATCAAAGAAACTTCGATTCTTTACCTCAAGAGATTGGCAAGGGGATATTGATTTTGGTGCAAGATATCGTGGGTGTCTTGAAAAAGAGTTCTGGCGATACAAACGGCGATTTTCAGATCAAGCTGAAGAATCATCCTCTGATGTCCGGCAGAACTCCAGTGATATTAATGAGATTGAGATGCTATGTGACTCACAGACTTCATTTTATGCAGCAGAAGTACCAGCAGAGGAGGAGGATGATGAACTGGCTCGATATCTTGCAAAAGGTAAGTCTAATTACGTATCTGTCTATCTCAGATACTAATTTTATCTAGGCCTTATTTCACAACAGCCCCGTTTATTCTGGAGGGAGCATCAAAAAGAGTTCCCAGTGCTGGCTGCACTAGCCCGGGATATTCTTTCAATTCCTGCGAGTGGCGCAGGTGTTGAGCGTCTTTTTAACTGTGCTCGAGATATTTGTCACTACAGACGGGGCCGCCTTAACGCTGATACTATCAAGGAGTTGATGCTGCAATCGTGTGCTGTAAAATTTGAGGTTGAACAGAGAGAGATTGACTTTACAAAAGAGCTTGTACTAGCGGGTGAGGCAGCGATGATTGAACAAGACAGAGGATCAATAGCCCCTCTTCCAGCATTGGATCCAATTAGCGATAATGAAGAGGAGGAAGGAGAGAAGGAGGAGGAGGAGGAGGAGGAAGATAGACAGGAGCCATCAGGAGAGACACAAAAACAAGCGCGTTCCGGAAGTACTAGCTCGCAGGAGGATCAAATGGAACACGAAGGCACACAGCGAGCGACGCGGATTCGCAAGAAGCCTAAAATGCCAGAGGGGTTCCAACTGGCGCCTCTGTAGCTTAAATACTGTCAGATTATATTTCTTGATTTGTTCTTCTATCCAGTTTCTTTGTTCTGTAGTCTCTGTATTCCGTATATCCTAGAGATGACTTTTCGCCTGAAATTAGTCAGAGCTCTCATACATGACCAAAACAACAAAATTACCAAAAAAACTGCATAAAAATCTATCTGCCCAGCAGGTCACGAGGCTTAGCATGTTTGTATTGTTTACAAGACCGCGGTTAACCGCAAAACTGCAGCGGTTTTCATTTGAAGACCAAGACCGAACCGCAAAATTTTGCGGTCTTGGAATGAAGACCAAAACCGCTGCGGTTTTGGTTAGGTTTTAGGTTAACCGCGGTCTTTGCGGTTAGTGCCGCAGTCTACTTCCAACCCATAGTAATATATCCTGTAGATGACCCATTATATCAGAATTGGACAGAATCTCTGGTGGAGGCCCATTTTCTTCAATATCTTGTGCTTCCGAGCTCTCTATATCAATATATATATCTTGCCCATCAGTCTCATCTTCATATATAATATCTTCCTCTATAGGGTTCAAAAATTGATCAAATGGTATGATATCATCATGACCAAGCTTCTCAACTGCTTCATTATATAGAGCTTGAACCTCACTAGTTAACCCTGGCTCAGGAATTGGTTGAAAACCAGCTTCTATCTCATCTTGGATAGCTTTGGTCTCATCTTCAGAACGTATTAAAGTGCTTTTTTTGAAGCAATTCTCAATCGTTTGATCTGATATTGAGCTCTTCCAAACCTGGGTTAACCAAAAGAGTGTATAAGATATATTCATACGATCTTGTGGATCAAGACCTCGATCAAGGATAGCAATCATCCAGCGCATCCATTTCTTCCGATAATAGTGCTTCAAATTTTGAATAATCCCTTGATCTAGAGGTTGATATATAGAAGTTGCGTTTGCGGGGAAAAAAAGAACCCTAATATGAGCAGGTGGTGGGATAGACTTCAGACCAGCAATATGTGGAGAGGCATTATCCAAAAGCAATAATGCTTTCTTATGTATAGGAATACGCCTATAAAAAGCATATAACCATTCCCTCATAATATCTTGACGCATCCACGCCTTCTTATTCCAACGCCAGACACATCCTAGAGCTTGGAAATTGACTCCCCGGAGCGCACGTGGTGTTTTTGCAGTTCCAATTAACCATAAAGGTAATCGGTCTGATCCATCTGCATTTGTTGTAACGACAAGAGATATTCTAGTCTTATCTTTCTTCTTTCCAGCAATTTTTCCATGGGAAAGACCCCCATTTGGCATCTGCCTCCAGAATAGGCCAGTTTCATCCATATTATATATCTCAGATGGTTCATATTGATCGCATATCGTACGAATTTCTTTCATATGATTGTGTACAGAAGATGGGACTGAAGCAGCTTCTCCATGGAAAGTATGATATCGAAGATTATGCCGGTTTTTGAAGCGCGTAAGCCAACCCTCTGAGAAAGCAGGTTTTTGTTGATCTCGATATTCAGGGATCTGAGACCAAAGCTCGTTTGCTTTGATCTGGATCAAAGGGCCAGTGATTGGAAACCCTGATTCAATATGCTTATTCACCCAATTCGAAAGCTTCTGGTCTAGAATAGGCCAGAAAGATGAAGAAAATCGTGAATTTGCCTTAGTAAGCCCTATATCAAGATAATCATATTGAGATGATAGAATTCTTGAGACCGTTGTACGATTAATCTTATGTTTAAATTGGGACAAAAACCAATCTACACACGCGGATTGGGTTGGTCTAGGGCTAGAATTAGACCAAAAGGCACGTAATGCCTGCTTTTGGGCATCTGATATGCCTAATCGAGCACGCTTTGCTGGTGGTAGAGCAGCTTGTGTAGCTGGTCTGACAGTTGGAAGAGGTGGAAGATCGGAGATTTCAGGCATTCTGATTGGTCGATATGACTGACTAAGCGGATGACTCAGCAAATATGGGATGAAAATTGTATGGAAAGGGTGAGTGTGCTAAAAGTGGGAGTTTTGTATGTAAAATCAAGAAAAAGTGGGTCCGTCCAAGCGAATTGTGTGCTATAAGCGGGAGTGTGCTAAGAGCGGGTGTGCAATAAGTGAGAGTTGACTGTAGTAGCAATGGCAGATATATAATCGCGATTTGGTCGGGAGCCCACCACATTCCAACTTGAACATTCGAATGTTTGAAGGCTGGATGTGATTGGCAGAACCTTGGAACCTTTGGGAAGCCGCTTTGGGCTCAAGTGCTCACATGCAGATGTGCAGATTCAAGTTGATCATGATTCCGTATATACACATACAGTGACACACTGGATGGGTATCGCAACCTTGCCAGCAGAATTTCAAGTTATTCATCGCACCTGTGAAGATCGACGAGAGCCAAGCTTGGAAGTGACATGGGTATGCAGTTGCACTGCTCAAGTTTTTGGTTTGCTTGTTCTAGGGTAATGAAAATAGAAAATTAATACATGATTGACAATCAAAATGAGAGTTACGGTTCTTAACGGTAGATATAATTGACTATGGGATTCAAATGTTGGATTATATACGTGAAAACTTAGAAAATTTGAAAGGTTTGATGATCGCTCATATCATATTATGAGTTTTGTAGGTACTAAATAGCTAATGAAATAGAAACTTCAACGTTCAAGAAAGTTTCCAGGTATGAAAGAATATAAGGAAATTGAGGTGCCGAGGGCATATACCAGTTATCCTTGAATGTCAACGTCCATGCAGTCACTGTCAATTGCACGGGTGTTAAGAACATCTCAATAGGAGCGGATGTGAAAGAGACGGAAATTTTGCGCATAGCTTCAAGTTACAAGAGCTTATCGCTGCGATCTACCCTGTCTGAACCACATGATGATGTACAGGCAGGCAACATTGGTAAGACAGAATCCAAGGAAAACAGCAAAATCGCGCCACTTGTCCTTGTAGTAGTAATCCAGAGTTGCTGTGTAGTCATCGCCAGTAGTATAAGGACAGTAAGCGCACTCGGCAGTGCTATTTGGGTTCTCCAGGTAACCGGTAGATGAAGCAAGGAACGATGATGCGTATTCCACACAAGTTTGTCCGGATGGTGGATTGAAAAGAGTGAAATCACCGGAGGAGCATGTTGCCTTGACTCCGTGCAAAATGTTTGCCACGCTACCACCAAAAAAGTATCGCATGGGATCTACCCAAAACAGCCATGGCTTATAGAACGTGTTCATCGCCGAATGTGGCACCAGAACACCCGAAAAGAGCATCAGAAGAACCCAAAACAAGGAGTTGGCGTAACTTGCCATGGTAGCGTTGGGAAATAAGGCAGCGAGGAGGTAGGAGTACCCCGTTCCAAAAAATGACAACAGCAAGAACATAAAGTATTGGAATCCGGCGAGGGTTGGGTTGTTCGGGAAGCCCACAGTCCAGTAGCTGCAAAGGTAAACAATCGTATAGAAGCCGATTTGCCAAGGGATCTCGACAACAATCAAGGCAGTAAGGAGCGTGCTCCATTTATATATCCCATTCTTTTCGCGAGCAGAGAAAATCGCCCATTTCTGGAACCAGATACTTTGGATATCGGCAGCGGTTGCAGGAATAATCCAAGACAGTAGCAGGAGTGTCAGCATGTGGTTTTGCAATCCTTGAATGTCTGACTTTGCCATGAAAAAACTGAAAGCGATGAACATCTCACAGAAGATTGCTTTGAAAAGCCTGCTAAAGTTGTAGGGGCCGTTTCTCCAAATAGCGATCCAGTGGCGCTTGGTAAGGTAAAGCATTTGGTCACAGATTGGAAGAGCGTATTGTTTCTGGTCAGAAGTCTCACTCTGATTCGAACACATCGCTGCTTTTTCGTTCAAGTGGGCAATCTTGCTTTGCAAGTTGTTTCGCTCGGCGGACTCATTCCAGGTAGCTGGCCAGTCTCTTGTGCTCTCTTTTTCAGTAACAGTGTCCAGGATAAATTCGGCAGGGTTATCATCTTCGCCAATGATGGCACCATATTTCGCAAAGTACTCCGCAACCTTCACAGACCGTTCACCTGTCTCTCCAAAGAAAACAGTTTTTCCACCAGGTGCAAGAAGCAGAACATGATCGAACATATCGAACAAAACTCCAGATGGTTGATGAATGGTGCAGACGATAGGCAGGCCTTCGGATGCAATCCTTTTCAAGAAGGAGACCAAAGAGTAAGCAGCTTGACTATCAAGACCAGATGTGGGTTCGTCGAGGAAGAGAAGGGCAGAAGGGCGAGCAGCTAGCTCAACGCCGATTGTCACTCGTTTCCGTTCCTCCACGCTGAGCTGGCCATCACCGACGCCTCCAACAAGAGCTTCTGCGAGAGATTCGAGATCGAGAAGCCTAATGACATGTTCAACGTATGCCATCTTTTCAGACTCGGGGACATCCGCGGGTTGTCTGAGGCGGGCAGAGAATTGCAAAGCTTCCCGTACTGTCGCAGTGGGTTCGTGCACGTCTTGCTGCAAGACAAATCCACAAGAACGAGCAAAAGTGCGATCCAAAGGCTTTCCATTCAACAACAATTCTCCCTCCACGCGGCCCTCGGACTTTCGTTGAGAGATGGTATCAAGAAGTGTTGTCTTTCCTGCACCGGAGGCACCCATCAGAGCTGTGAGTTGCCCAGAGCGAACATACCCACTGACTTCAGTAAGCAGCTGCTTTTCAGAAGATCCGATATTGACGTGGTAGCTCAGCTGATTGAAAGTGAATGAAATCCGAGGCTCCTCCTCGTTCTTTTCGTTGCCTGCCGCTTCCAGTTCAGTCTCGGACGAGGAATGCAAATCGGTCGTGCTGGTTCCTTCACTCTCGATCTTGGTCGAGATACTGGAAGCAGAGTCTGGGTACGAAACCTTTTTGAAAATGCGACCGTAAGAGCCGCTGGTCTCCCGGGTCATCACAGCAAGTCCAACTGCAGCAATAACAGTGTAAAGAGCCCAGAACGCGATGAGGATGCCAAAGTTGCGCCAGATATGAGAGGGGAAGTATTGGTAAACATGGGTGAGGTATGTAGTTCCAGAAACAACATCAGAACCTTCGGTACTACCGGAGATAGTACAGCCCTGGTATTTGATGTCCTCGTAGCCAGGTCCGGACGGCACCATCTGTGACTCGGTACAGTGGAGGTCTATGTCCATGAATTCATTAGCCATTAGCGCCTCAAGAGCCCATGGGGAAGGACTGATTCTTCGTATCCAGGATCCCCAGCGGTGCATGGTGGGAATGGTAGGAGCGTAGCCGGAATACAACAGTGCGACCGGCATTCCACTACCAGCCAACAACAACGCCACACTGAGGTTTGGAGACCAAGCTCCTATCATTCGAAACATGGCTTGCACACCACCGTAGTGGACGAAAACGAATGCAAAAAATGTCCAGAAGTCTGAAGCAGTTTTGGCCAGGCCCAGCATGAAATAATAGAGACAGGAGAAAACGATGGTTTGAAATGCAGCGACAGGGATATCCGCAATGGTTTGAGCAATGACATAGGATACCGGATGTAAGAATCCGTATCTCATTTGCTTGAGAAGAACAGCGCGAGAGTTGACGGTGGCAGAAGTTTCAGCGAGGGCGTTGAGAAAGAAATAAATGAGAGAAAAGAAGAGAGCGCCGCTTTTCTCGAACGATCCGGTCGCAGTCTTTGGCGCCATGTAGTAGGCGGACCCATTAAGAACAGCATTGATTGCATTGAAAGCGAGGACGGTGTAGAATGTACGACGATCACCCCATAGAAGCTGATAGTATCGGATGGCAGCGGAATAGGTTTGCTTGATGATGGACCGAGGGGCAATCGCTTTTGAAACAGCATGTTTTGATCGAATGCTTTGGGACTCTTCTTTGAAGGATTGGGTGTACTCAGAATTATCAGCGATTTGCGTGTAGTAGGAAGCAATATCGATATTCAGGCGACGGTAATTCTCGCTGTTGCGAAAGGCCTTGGCCATTGACTCGGCATCTTGGGGGACCGATTGGAACCCCGGGCGAATTCTTCGCTCAAGAGGAGATGTCACTGCGGTGAGGAAGTCGGGAGTTGTCTGACGTCCTAAGTACTCAAATCCGAGATCTTCAAAATACTGTTTTGCCTCATCCGCTTTGCCACAAAAGATCATCTGTCCATCATAAAGGACCATGACTCGATCAAAGCATTCCTGGTACATGGTTTCAGATGCTTGATAGAGGGAAACACAGTTGGACATGCCAGTTTTTCTTGAAATATTTTTCAACAAGCGAAGAAACTGTGTCGCGGATGAGCTGTCCAGTCCTCGAATGGGATTATCCCAGGATCCGTAAGCTGAATTGATCGATAGTGCTTCAGCCAGGGTAATGCGTTTGCGCTCGCCTCCAGAAACACCTCTAATGAACGCGTCTCCAACAACGGTGTCCTTGGTGTGTCCAATTCCCAACGAGCTCAGTATCTTTCTTGTCTGCTCGGCAGCAAACTCAGAGTCCGATTGCTCCTCTGTGACCGGTTTGCGGAGTGTGTAGCCGAATTCAATCGTGTTCTTGGTGGAGAGTGTCGGGAAGTGAATGTCATCCTCCCCCGCATAAACAGTTTCGGAACAAAAGTTGTGGGCCATCTCTTCAGACGAAATGTTGCCATAGGAGATGCGTCCTTGAACGTCAACAAAGGAGGAGTGGTTGTTTGCGAGAGCCTTGAGAACCGTTGAGCAGCCCGATCCCGGACGACCAAGGACAAGCATTGTCTCTCCGGGGTAAAGAACACCACTGACATCCTGCACAATATGCTTCGTCGGAACGGATCGATTTGTAAACATAGAGAGGGCGAGTTCGACGGGATACTTCGTGACTTTCAGAATCAAGGAAGGTAAGTCCAAAATGCCACCAGCACTAGCCGCAGCGCCCAGTACGCTCATGTGTTCGAAAGTCACACCAAGTGCGCGGCCCTTCGTTCGATAGAGAGGGAGGTCCATCTCGGGAGGCATCTAGTATAAAGCAACCCATTAGCTCACATGTGCACCTAAAGACCGTCCATGAATTTCTTTATGGTACGTACCTTCGCGTCCTGGCCCAAGCTCATAATGATCGCGCTATCAGGCGTAGCCTTTTGGATACACAATTTGAGTTCAATACCAAAAACGATCTATACTTCAGATGATATTTCCCTCTCTTTGAATGGTCTTCCATTTTATTTAAATACTTTGAATTTGAATCTGGCTCCTTTCCTTTTCCGCAATTTGCTGCCATTTACTCGGGACAAAGATGGGCAGTCTGTGAGTTCATTCGATATTGACCAATTAGCAAGCGTGCTGCATCCGAGAAACCCGGATTTGTTATGTGGTCCGATTGGCTAATAACATCCGTTGCAAATTTTCGGCTTGCCGTGTTAACAGAACTTAATCCCGATCCCGAATATGTGACCGAATGCTGAAAAATCCAAGAAAAAGCGGAAAACAGATTCCCTCGCGACCCTAAATCTTCCGTCATAACGGGCCGACTGTTGTATCACCTCAATTGACAAGGTCTAATCCGTGAGATGTGGAAATTGTGGACTCTGAAAACAGTGCCTTGGAATGTCGTAAACCTTCTTAGCTGAAATTGGAACCTTTGGCTTGTTCAAATGTGGCTGCTGGAAAGGGTTTACCGTTTATTTATCCCCTTCAAATGTTACATGTATAGTGGTCAGTTTTGTATCATTAATACTACATGTCAGTTTGAATATACACAGCCCTAGAGTGCTACTGGCAATCGATGAGCAAATTCGTTGGGGTAGGAAGCTCCTTATCTTCAAAACTAAATTGGGGAAAACATCCCGTCTCCCCAAACCTTGGTCACACAAAAGCCAGACTACCTATTTTGTATATGCACATGTGTAGCAGCCCAGCTCTTTATGGATTGGGGAGCTTGCATTGATTAAACCAATCTGCCCAGGAAAAAGCTAACGCAACCGGTCAAAATACCTGAGCTATTCTAATACATCATTGAGGGTTGGAATTCAATGTTTCATGCCCTGGAGGTTCCCCACCCAATGCACATCTGTGGCCCCACCTGGGCATCAGCCTTCCCCAACCCCCCCTCGTAGTAAAAGGAAGTAGAAGGTACCTATATCTTGTCTGGAATTATTCCTACCCATGCGTGCAGCACCGCATCCAAATAATGTACATTGGTGGCATCATTCAGTGCTTTCAACATTTGAATAGACCCATGTGCTATCACTAAAGATAGAAAACATCGGAATACATGGTTTATGTCATTTGCTCAATCTCACATGTCCATAGCTGTGTTTTGGAAGGTCGCTTGCTCTAGCAGGTCTGCATATGCGGACAGACATTTTGTGATGAGACTGACAGCATTCCAGGTCTTCATACCTTCGAGAATCATGGCCCACGCTCTGACCGCTTTAGGACCAAGGGCTCTAGGTTCTGTCTCAATGATCTTCGGATTGCCACCCGGCAGTGCAGTTTCCACTTCGCACAACGTCTCTTTTATCGTGTCGATCAATGCCCGCTCCTCATCCTGCAAGATTCCTGGGGACAATGCATATGTTTCGAGGAAGCGATTCAAAGCATATGCATACTCGAGAGAGCACACGGCATGCATAACTGACCAACTGGGTGCACGACCAACAAAGTGCACCCCCATTTGCACAGGTGAGCATAGTGCAGTAGTCTTCCAATAATATGTGTCAGTGAGTTATACGCAGCATTTCGAATAATACGTCACCACGTCAAGTAAAGTCAACATACCGCATGTTTTGCAGCGAGAAGTAGGTGTGGGCTTTTCTGTAGCCTAGGGCCATCGTGCAGCTTCTTTGCAATTTCTTCTGCGGTTCTTTCGAGAAGAGAGCTGGCTGCCCCGATGTCAATCGATAAACGGACGAACGCTAAATGATATAAGGCCTAGGCAAAGATGGTCAGCGATCAAAGGAAAAACAAAGCCCTATTGTCAGGCTTAGTTCAGGGTGCTGGCTTACTCTTGAATTGAAGGCAATTGGGCCATATTTATCGAGAGGGCTGTATGATGACTCGGGATTTTGCTCCCATGCAAGGTGCCATTTTTTCAAAGCTTGCTTCATACTTGACGTGACCTCAGAAACCATCTGGCTTTCAGGATCCACCAGTTTGACCGCTTGTTGAATGGTGATAATACGCTGAAGTAAGGCATGGATGAGCACATGTGAGCCCAGTGACGAGAAGACAGGCAACACTCCAGTGTTGCTGAGCAACGCATTGAAGCAATCCTGGAAGAGAGGGGCCTCATTTGAATCCTGGTGAATTCTTCGCCAACTGATAGCATCGGTGGACCTCCACTCCATCTCAGCACATGGTGTTCGCAGTTGAATATCCGTGATGAGGAGTGGACATGGTACATTGAATGCAAGAGTATGAAGATTAAAAAAAGCGGAGATGATCAATTTGGTTCGGCGAGCACTCTCGGTTCTAGCCCATCCTTCCCAACTCGTGGGTGGTGGGGCATGGGGATTTTCCGAAAGTCCATGCTGGCGAACAAGCATTGCCAAAACACTCTGTGTGCCAAGGGCTTGTCTCACAAGTGAGCGATGCTCACCTCCCCAAGTTGCCATGGCCATTAAGAAAAACAATGCCTGGATGGTTTCCAAATTATCGTGGTGGTTTCTGGGCTCAAAACCCCCGCCGTTGAGACGTGAACCATCATCATTTGATTGATTTGCGCCGGGAAGTGATTTGGGAGATTGAATCAACGTCCACGATGAAGGAGATATATGATTGGTTTCATCTTTCTCAACCTCACGTTGTCGCAATTGTTCCATCGCAATGGCCTTCGCGGCGGGGAGGAGATTTAACCCCTGGTGTGACTCCAAGCAATATTGGCTACCAGCTGCGGCCAGGGCCAAAATAAGTTCCGGTGCCATTTTTTTGAAATGGAGAGTTTGATGGTGAATGATGGGGAAGTGCGGATGGAAGCCAGTCATAAATCCATGCATGTATCGTGAAATGGCATGTCGAGAAGGTATAGTGAAATCTGCAGGTAAAACCGCACGGAAATTGTAAATTTGCGCAGAGAGCCACAGCCAGTCATCCTGCGAGACTCGCAGGAAGGGCGTAGTGTTGACATGCGGACGTTCGGGCTCAGGGGCGGACAGGAAAGGAGCTTGGTTATGTAAAATCTCGTCTGATATCCCTCCGGTGGGCTCGCCGCCAGCGCCAAAATGGTCGCCTTGGGTGAGATCAGAGCTGAACACGGGAGAAACAAAAGAGTCGTTAAATGAAACTCCGGGGTAGAGAACGGGTTGGTCAAAAATTGGGGGAAGAGAAACGTTGTCGAGATAGCTGAAGGGAAACAATCGCGAATCATTGGCCGCATTTAAGAAAGAAGGTTCGATCAATGCCGCCGTTGCATCATCACCTTCGCCATTGGTGTATGGTGGCAGCTGACCCACTGGTTGGGTCTGGGGTAGAACAGGGGGTGGACACAGTTCACTTGGTGCCGCTTGCATTGCCTGCCCTGACTGCACTCCTGTTGTGTATGAGTCATATTGGGGTAATGGCAGCTGACTTGCATGTTCTAAGATGGTGGGTTAGTTTGCTAGTAGAAAAAATTCAAGAAGTACGTTACACACCAGATAGCTCTTCCTGCCTAGCAGAAGCATTTTTCGCTTTTGAAGATTTCTTCAAATGGGAGAGTTTAACGTGGCGGTTCAAAAGATCACTTCTGACGAGTCAGTCGAAGAAATTATCAGTGGATGGGCGAATGATTGACCTTCTGCGACATGAATACTGACAAAATGAACAGTGAAATGGCTTATGACCAAAATCTAAGTCGATTTTAGCACCTCTGTGTGTTGAAATTTAATGGGAATTGGGCTAGGCTAACGTATTCTTTCATGGCGCTGCAGATGTTCTCGTCGGTAGAACTGGCGCTGACATGTATCACATTTGAATCGCCTGGCCTCTATAGAAGAATCTTCCGTATTACCGGGGGCCGATTGAGTATCAGGAGGTGGACTCATGGTCATCTGATGTGTTGCCGCAGCAGGACGTATGCATTGCGTTGTCAAGTTAATGAAAGAAGGCAACGCTGCTCGTTATTTGCGGGGTTGCTCGTAAAGGCACCTGGGCAGATATCCTACTCTTCCGGGTTCGTTCCTCGGACTCGGCACAGGCTATACCCGGATGCGCACCCCCACTTTCTGGGGTTAGTTGGAATTTCCTTGCTTCCGGGGTCCTGTGGGGAATGACCGCGTCGAAGAGATCCTGTGCTAACAGGCGCAAGCATCTTGGAAGGTCGGATGCCGCCATAAGACGCTCAGTGTCACGTGAGGACCCGGGGACGTATTGTCAGAAGCGGTGAAGGCCTAATAGGGAACCTGAAGATAGGGTGCGAGAAATCTATGTAATTTCTATGTATCTTACCTCCTACTTTGTATGGAGGGTTACCTAATCTGCGCTAGCTATTCTAGTCTGTAATCTCTGGATTCTGCCGTACGCTCCGCCTAGTTCTTCCGACACGTATTTTATTACTGTATTTACCGTACCAATACCCCCTTACGTCACCCATAGGGGGGGGCATTTTTCATTGCACCTTGCCGGATGTAGTTAAGCGTCGTTATGAACCATGGATCGACTTTGGGGAAATTGGGGAAATTGGGACATTGAAATGCTTTGGATTCAGCCAAAATTGCACTACTCAAAAATTACATTAGGAAAAGAGAAATTCATAAATTAAAATTCTACATGTGACCTCGGGCCATATTTGTACGGGGAGCTTCCGACAGTACCTCACCTTTCAAAACTCGGAATGCATTTTTTTTGGCGGGTATGAAAGAGTTGTCTTGGATTGAGCTGCATATGATGTCTAATAATCTATGACAACAATATCGTTTATAATACCACTTAAAGCATGTCAAGGATAATTTTATGCGCCTTTCGCTGGTTGAAAATCTCATAGGCCTGAGAAGCATCCTCCAGTGGCATATGGAGGTCACAAAGGAATCCAACTTTATCTTGGACCTTGGCGAGACAATCCAGAGACTCTTGAAATATCCCCTTGACTGGACAACGACCCCATGCAATAGTCATGTTTTTTGCGTGTAATGTAGGGCCAGAGAAGGTATAGTTGCCAAGATAAACACCCACACAGCTGATGTACCCAAACGGACGTACCATGGCCAAGCTGAGTTGCATGGCATCGTGGTTGCCCACCACTTCGAGTACAACATCAGCCCCGCGACCATTTGTCGCAGCTTTGATCGTCGCCTCGACAGATTCATCAAGTAGAAGTGCCTTGGCTCCGATCTTTTCTGCCTCGGCCAGTCTCTCTGGAACGAGATCAACGGCATAGACAGTAGGACACCAGGTAAGTGCGGCTGCGATTGCACAAATCCCTACGGGTCCACAGCCTACGACAACCACCACACTTTCTTCAGCTTCAGACCGAGGCATATTTTTCAAATACCTTGAAGCGCAGAAATATCCAGTAGGGAAAATATCCGACATAAGGACAAGCAGCTCCGGGCGCACAGATTCCGGAGATAGAACAAGTGTGGTATCAGCAAAGGGGACCTTCACATATTCAGCTTGGCCACCATCGATGCCGATCCCATAAGATCGATTACCTTGACGGATATTCATGTCAGCGTCATAAATCATCCGCATCTTGTTCTGCCCAGGTACTTACCAAAAAGCAGACTTTTCTCACAGCGGCTCGTCTGTTGGTGTTTGCAGTAGAAGCATTCCCCACATTAGGTAGTGAAAGGAGTCTTTTAGATAACACAGCAAATAAGCAGTCTCCCTTTACAAGTGCCTTCGCTTTCAATTGACGAGTAGTACTCACCACAACATCATCTCCAGGTTTGACTGTTTTTACACCATCTCCAACGGCAGCCACAGTACCAACAAATTCATGCCCAGGGATAAAATCTGCGGGGATCTTCTAGTGTCCACGATACCAATGAAGGTCACTTCCACAGACACCTGCGAGTTTAACCTTGACAATAGCATCTTCAGGACTCGCTATCTGCGGTATGGGCCTGTCTTCAACCACAATCTTGCCCACCTCCTTAAAAACAGCCGCTCTCATGGTTTCCATTTCGTCGATTTATGAAGAGTAGCTAAGAACCTTATCAAAGGAAATTTGAATATTGAGATAGAATAATATTTTTCTCTATACCTCAATACGGACCGGGCTTTTTATAACCCATTCGGTTATTTTGTGCCGAATGCTCCTTGTAATTCCGGAGCATGCCTTGCATCGTGGTATTCGTATTAGGGTGAACAGGGGAATTTTGGAGAAATCAAGGTTCTTCCCCAGACTTCCCCAAACCTTGGAATTTGTAAGTCGTGCTGGGAAACAGAAACCCTTTCGTGCCTTTCGCATAGCCAAGGGGCGCCTGGGGAAACACATGTGCAGGCGCTACCCCATACATTTCCCTGCACATTTACGCCACATCCACAAACCGTGTCATCCCAAGTTTTCCTCCTTTTTGAACCCATTTTTCTTAATATTGGGACACCCTCTGTATTTCGAGAAAAAGCCATTGAAGTGAGGATTCAATTCATTTGGCAGATTAAATGACCTGGAATCGAGTGTTAAGCGTGGCTCACAACTTTGGAGGGCCGGTAAAGTTCTTGGCTATGTATAATATCGTAGTGACTATATATTTGCAAAGTCCCCTCTTACTAGCCGAGGCACTAACACTGAGTATCGTTGAATTTGCCTTTCTCCGCACTCTTAATTTGTGTCTGGGGTCCTCAAATTCCCAAATCCATGTATTTCAATAGCTGCCTGAATGCCAGGGCAGTTAAAATTTGAATGCTTCCAGGATTGCATGCTCCCAAGGTTCTCTCCAACCTTCCATCTGACATCCAGGGATCAACAGCTCCGCGGTGCTCTTCTGATCATTTGAAATATTCAACATTCAAAATCACTGGGCAAATTGAGGGTTTGAAGCAATATTCTGAACCAACATTGAATCTGCTGTGTGTTTCAAGATGGCCCCTTTCGACCAACCTTCCTATTTGTTTCCCTCCTCGACCGCAACTGTGACGACCAAGGTGCTTGATACCACCCTACAAATGATTTGTGACTCGGATGCATTTATAGAGCCATCATTTTCTGGAAGCGACTCTACCATGAGAATGCGAACAATCTGCTTCCTTGTCGAGAATAAACCTCAAGGGAAACGTGTCTTATTCGATTGTGGTTCTCGTCAAGACCCTGAAAATGGTGCACCGTACACCCAAAAGATGATTCGCGATCATGTCAATTGGTTCAAAGTGGAAAAGGGTGTCGATGCCGTTTTGGAAGACGGTGGATTTGATTTGAAAGACTTAGGTATATACTAAATATCGTGCACAGTCAAGGCTTTCCTTCGAGTCCGCTTCTACATATGTGTATAGACTGACTTGAGAGCAGATTCAATCATCTGGAGCCACTGGCACTGGGATCATATTGGGGATAGTACTCGCTTTGACAAAACCACGGAAATTGTGGTTGGTCCAGGCTTCACAGATGCTTTCGTCCCTGGATGGCCGGAAAATCCAAACGGTCGCATACTCGACAGCGATATCCGGTCAGCGCCCCAGAAGACTATACTAATTGCGACACAGTCATGCATGTGTGCAAGATGAACTAATTTGAAAATTCTATAGAGATCGAAAGTTGCGTGAAATTACATTTACTCATGAGATTGCGGGCTTCAAAGCACACGACTTTTTTGGTGATGGTTCTTTCTACTTGCTGGATGTTCCGGGGGTGGGTTACGGTATTCCGACTCCTAAACCTGCTACTAGTATTAACCTCAATTTCCGTGTAGTATGCTGTTGGACATATATGCGGTCTTGCAAGAACTACCCCGTCCATATTCGTGTTTATGGGCGGAGATTGCTGTCATTTCGCGGGCACTTTCAGACCATTCAACCAGGCACCTGCATGCCCTTGTGCAGGCCACGATAAGGAGGGCCAAAGGGATCACTTTTTCCAAGTTTCAACTGGTCCTAAAAGTGCATACTCAGACCCGAAGGTTGCACAGCAAAGCGTCGACAAGTTGAAATGTTTGGATGCAGACCCCAATGTATTCATTTGCCTGGCGCATGACAACGTCCTCCTTGATACTCTTCCTTTGTATAATTTGAGCCCCAAGGAAAGTATAAATGAGTGGAAAGCTCAAGGCTACAAGGACAAGGCATTTTGGGGTTTTGTTGGGGATATGAAAGGAGGACATGGAAATAGAGAGGGACATTGGAAAGAGCACTGAATGTTACTCGCTATAGTCCCGAAGACGGCAGCGTCAAGTTCTAGTTTCACCTGAAGATAATGACATTGAATTCTAAGTTGAGGTTATCTACCTAAATATCCCAAAGTATCAGCCATATGTGCATACATCTAGTCTCCAGGGCTTGGTTGATGTGCCGGGTGAACTCAAATCGAGCCTGGGAAGAATCTTCCCCTTGACTGAGCATCTTCTGCCCAATCTGCATCGTGGGCCAAAATAACCTCCACTTCTCCAAGAGAACCAACTCCCGTCTGCAAATGTCTAATTATTTTTATGGTTTCCATGGCCTTGTAAGGATCGGCATGGATGCAGCAGGTCTTTCCCGGAAAGTTCGAATCTTTCCATTCGGCAATGTGGCATTCTCCTGTGAGAATACGTTGATCGTGACAAGCGTCACCTGCAAGATATACGTACTTAACGGGGTCAATGCTCACCCGACAGAGTAAGTTTGTGTGTCCCGGAAGATGACCTGGCGCGTCTACAATTATCACTGACCCGTCAGAGAACAAATCAATCGTGTGTGGTAGTTGACCAAGGCTCTTCTAAGGCTGACGAGAAAGGTCGCGCAATTTAGAGCGTTGACTGTTGGGAAAATCCGCTTGTAGAGAGGTGTTAGGCCCACATAACTGGAAGACACGATCTCTAGGAAGTAGATCCTTTTCGAAATGACTGTGGCTGCCAATCCCTCCGTTCTTGTCACCGTCCAGAAGAGAAAGAGACCCGTCGCCCACCAGGAAATGGGAATCCGGAAAGTCGGATGGCATCCCGACATGATCCCAATGTATATGGGATAGGATTATAAGGTTGATATCTGAACTGGTCAGATTTCCCAGAGCAAGTGAGTCGATCACATTGGGATGACCCTCGAGGGGCCTTCTTGTCAAGGTGTGGAGACGAATATTCTCCTGGTAAAGCTCCGGCTCCCGACGGATACCCAGGTCAAACAATAGGCGAGTTACCTCGGCTGTTGACTGTGAGAGATGTTGAACTAGGAATGACAATGAAGGGACAGTTTTTCTGCTATTGATATCATCAAGTGGCGTAAGAAATTGTTTTTCAGGGAGCGTCAAAGAGCCGGCTCGTAGAGCATGAACCGAGACAGTGTTCGCCATACTTTCACTTGATCCAGACGTTTCGATTCAAGGTAGATGTGGTGTGAAAATGAAGAGACGAGTCAGACAAGAAATGTCTATATATGGGAATTGAAAGATCGTCTCATCCCACATGCATTATTATCCCCGCATTTTACGGGATGGATCGAGGGGAGAAGCTACCCACTACCACACACCCATTCTTGCACATGTGGATTTCAATTCCCCAAATTCCCCTCAATTCCAAGGTTCCAATGTTAAATGTCAAAAGTCCACATTCCGGACTTGATTGTAAAAATGTTCAAATATTTGTTTTGCTCAATTCGATTTAAAGTACAGGTATCGATAAATCCCTGCTAACCGACGAAGAAATTTCTAAATCATGATGGCTTGTACTCTCCGTTCTCAATCATCTCCTTGATAGTCTTCTCTGTAATCTTGAAAGCCTCCAGTCCAGCAGGGGCACCACAGTAGATTGTAGCCTGCAGGACAGCCTCACTGATCTCTTTCTCGGTCAGACCATTGTTGATAGCACCACGGGTGTGGACAGCCAGCTCCGGCCATGCCTTCAGGGCGATAAGCATACCCAGGTCTATTGAATGCGATTAGCTCTGCATGAAATGTTATTAGCGATATGGAGATGACGTACTAAGCAGGCTTCGCTGCTTTCGCTCAAGACCGGGTCGTGTCCAAACGTGGCCCCAGCACCATTCTGTGACAAGCTCCTGAGCAGGACGTGCGAATTCACTTGATCCATTGGCAAGGGATCGGTCAACGTAAGTGTTGCCGACGACAGCTCTGCGAACCTTGAGACCTTCTTCGAAGAGTTGCTCGTGGAGCTCCTTAAGTTCAGGCTTGTCGGACATGGTGAATAAGGCGATCAAAGATTTCGTAATGGAAGTAGAATGAAGTATGTCTTGTACTACGTATTATCTACCGATGGGCTTTCAGGCAAATAAATAATAGAACATCCTTTCTCCGCCTAAAATGGTGTAAAATGGTGAATCTGGGGGATTCCGGTCCTTCTCCTCACAATCAAATACCATCAACCCCAAAAGTTACCCACTCATCCCATAATCACTCCAATGCTTGTAATTGGGAGAGTTACCCAAGGTCGGGAAAGGGTTGCAATAGGAAATTCTACAGTTACTTCCAATGTTTGCATCAAGTTTGTACTGGATCCCGGAAAGACGAAACGATGTCAAGATGTGACTGAGTTTCGTTGTCTCCACAATCCCCAAACGCCACTCCGCTTCTCCTCATTTCCAAAATTTCCCCAACGGAACTTGAGCCACTCGGCCCGAGAACTATACGATGAGTGTATGACCAAGCGAAAATCGATCCAGTTATAAATGAAAATGCAGAAATTATAAATATGATGATGAGTTATGGATGGCGAGCATTTTGGGTCATATTCTTGAATTATTGAATTTGAAACTACCGAATCCAAATTTTCAAAATGGTATCTCTTCCTTTTACTGTACGTTTTTTTAATGTTGATAGAGATTCCAGTCTCACGGTGAACAGCCGATACTAAAATTGAATTATTCAGCTCAAAAACGAGTCGCTGTTGCACACTAAAGCATACAGCCACGGAGAGTGGATCGATGCAGCCTCAGGGGAAACCTTTAATGTAGAAGGTAAGTGTTTCCAAGGCCAATCTCAACAATGGAAACTAATATCGGCTGGAATTAGACCCTGGTACTGGCAAGACATTTGCCTCTTGCGCTGACCTAGGACCGGAAGATGTGGACGCTATTATCCAGTCCTCCCAGGCAGGATTTAAAAAGTATCGGCATTTAAACCCTCGCACTCGTGCCCAATTATTGTTGAAATGGCATGAGCTCATCATGGAGAATCGTGATGATATTGCGACTATCCTGACTTACGAAACTGGAAAACCACTGGCAGAAGCATATGGTGAAATTGACTATGCGACCAGATTCACCTGGTGGTTTGCGGGAGAAGCCGAGCGTATCCGTGGAGACATCAGTACTCCCGCTGCACCAAACCGTAGAGTCCTGGTCATTAAGCAGCCCATTGGAGTATGCGTCGCGCTAGTTCCTTGGAACTTCCCTATTGCGTAAGACTCTAAACAATGTCTTCGAAACTGAACCTTTCAGCTAACTTGATTTGTAGTATGATTCTTCGAAAGGTCGGCGCCGCTCTTGCTGCTAGGTGCACGATGATCGCGAAGCCCTCTCCAGAAACTCCATTGACTACCCTGTCTCTCGCATATCTTGCGGAGCAGGCTGGTTTTGACAAGGGTATTTTCAATGTGGTTACAACCTCGAACAAAAATACACCAGCCGTCTCTGAAGCGCTCTGCAAGCATTCCCTGGTTCACAAGGTTTCATTCACAGGATCCACCAATGTTGGCAGCATCATTGCCAATCATTGCTCTGTTGGATTGAAGAAGGTGACACTTGAGCTCGGTGGTAACTGCCCCTTCATTATTTTCGATGACGCGAATCAAGACCAGGCGCTCTCTCAGCTTCAAACGCTCAAATGGCGCCACGCCGGCCAGGCATGCGTCACTGCCAATCGTATTTATGTCCAAGAAGGTATCTATGAAGAGATTATAGCCAAGATGGTTGCTCATGCAAAGAGTTTACAAGTGGGCCATGGCAGTGGCGCATCCGTGAACATGGGACCTCTCACCACCTCAAGAAGTGTTGACAAGGCCACCCGACAGGTCAAGGATGCGGTCCAACGCGGTGCAAAGGTTGTCCATGGTGGAAATCCTGGTGCTGGTGGTGGATATTTCTTTGAGCCGACTATTCTACGTGACATGGATGGAACCATGAGTATCACCCACGAGGAGAGCTTTGCCCCCATTGCAGCTGTCTACAAGTTCAAGACGGAAGATGAGGTTTTGAAGCTTGCCAATGATAGCGAAATGGGCCTGGCGAGCTATGTGTTTACGAAGAACATCGATCGTACGTGGCGAATGATGGAAAAGCTGGAGGCAGGAATGATTGGTGTCAACACCGGAAATTCCTCTGCCGCAGAGTCTCCCTTTGGCGGAATGAAGATGTCCGGTTATGGCAAAGAGTCTGGCAAAGATGTTGCAGTGGCGGAATATCTTGTCTCTAAAACCTGTACTATGACTATTGAAGATGGGTCGGAGTAAACTTGGGTCAAATTGGGAATTTAGAAACTCTTACAATTAACCATCATTTCTATCATTGATACTTTTCTCTAATACTCTAGCGCTTTCCAATGCTCAATATTGATGTTTTGAATCACCATTGAAATACTGGAATTTTCCTGATGACGTATTTTATATTATAGCACTTGAGCACTTGAGGTAGCCGACCAACTGACGTGGTTAGGGATTCGAATGTTGTTTGAGGAACTCCGAGAGAATAATGTGCACAGCACTCAAGAAGTGAGATATTCGTGGTAGAATATTCCCCGAAATCCCTCACACCCTGTCGTCATCTCTAGATACTAGATAGATTCAATGTTTGCTCCTCCCATAGTCCTGTTCCCAACGTCCGCCTGGAAGCTTGGAACTGGTAGCAATAACCTTGGAACCAATCTACGTAGCGCACTTCCCCGCAAATTTCTGGAGTATCTGAACTCAAATACTCCAAACCTTTTGTTGAGATCTTCGTGGAGGCGGGGCTCTGTGAGTGTACGGGAATCCTATTGGTCAAGCGTGTACCAGGTCATGGAGAAAATCTGGGGCAAGCTCGTGTTTGGTGAGATTACCCCAAGAATTTGGGCTGAGAGTACGACAGCGCTAACTCCTAGGATATTGGCCCTAGCTATGGGAGGGCTCAAGATAAATGGGTGAATTGGCCACATCAATCCTCAGTTTTCAGGTCTCCTCGTTGCTCGCTACCTTCAGGACTACTGTGAAGACCATCATAGCACTTGAGAACCTCAGCAATCATGTCGTTCTCAAACGGATACTTGGTTGTCTTTTTCGTTGCCCTAGGTAAGCCCCTGGGTACATGAATCCAATCTGTTAACAATTCCTCTAATTATTACTGCAGGATCCTTTACTTATGGCTTCAATAACTCTGTCATCGGCTCAGTTCTCGGACTTGAATCATTTCTCATATATTTCGACATCGCTGGCAAGGATAGCAAATCCAACTCCATCACCGGTGCTACATCGGGTCTTTTCGCTGGAGGGGGTGCCATTGGGGCATTGTTATCGGCCTGGCTAGTCAATAAAGTTGGACGCGTTCGGTCTATTCAGATTACATGCGTGATCTGTATAATTTCAGGAGCTATTCAGGGGGGGCTCTGTTCACATCGCGATGTTCCTGATTGACCGCCTGCTCTCCGGAGTGGGTGTTGGCTTCATGGTGTCGCTTGTTCCAATCTACCAGAGCGAGATATCCCCTGCTGAAGCTAGAGGCCGCATGGTCGGCAGCCATGGATTTTTAATCGTCACCGGATATGTAAGTCCTTGTTCCAAATCATCCTATTCCTAATTCCTTCGGTTCTAATGGCATTTTTATCAAGGCGTTCGCCGCATGGACAGGTTACGGTTGCTACTTTTCCCCTTCCCCCGCATTCCAATGGAGGTTTGAGCTGTCTGCGCAAGTCATTGCACCCGCCATACTTCTCATGGGTACACCGTGGCTTCCAGAGTCACCTCGCTGGTTGGTAGAGCAGGACCGTCAAAGCGAAGCTCTGCAAATCCTACAACAGCTACACCCTTCGGAGGACGAGTCCAATATCCACTCAAAAGCTCAGGTGGAATTAAATCAGATCCGAACTCAGCTCTCGATTGACCAGGAAATGGAAGCCTCTGGTGGTAGATGGGCATTGATCACAAACTCCTCCTATCGCAAGAGACTCTTTTGTGGATGCTTTGTTCAATTTATCGGTCAATCTACTGGAGTATTAGTTATAAACAATTACCAGGTATCCCTGTACAACTCGCTGGGTCTCTATAACTCGGTGCCACTACTACTATACGCGGTTTATCTCAGCTGGGCAGCAGGGATGAATTACGTATCAACCTTCATCATCGATCGAGTTGGTCGGGTTCCGCTCATGGTGATCGGACTTGTCGGCAGTGTGGTTGCAGTTTGTTGCGAAGCAGCAATGGTCGCTGAATTTTCGGGCACATCGAACAAAATTGGCAATGGCTTTGGAGTTGCCTTTCTTTTCCTCTTCGTCACCTTCTACGGAGGTGGCCTGGATGCAACGACCTACGTTTATAGTGCCGAGGTTTTTCCCAACCATATGCGTGGCTTGGGAATGGGAATGTCCATCTTCACTCAATTCTGTTCGACACTCGTTTATACACAGGTCGCACCAACGGCATTCGACACCATCGGATGGAAATATTACCTCGTCTTTATTATCGTCCCTTTTCTGGGTGCCATCTTGATTTGGTTCACCTTTCCTGAGACCAAAGGTCTTTCACTTGAGGATATCTCCTGTCGGTTCGAAGGAAGGCCAGTGGCAAGTGAATTGAAGCCACATATTGAAGATGCTGACAAGGCTTCAGTATGTTATGAAGAGTCTGTATGAGGTAGTATGAAGTGGAATCTAGAGCTTATACAATGAATCAAACATTTGAAACGATTGAATAACTCCAGAATAAAAAAATGTTATCAAATTACCGAGCTTTGGAATTGTTATTTTTGATTCGTGATTCGGGCAACCGCCAAGGCCAAGGAAGCCAAGAATCGTGGCGAGATCGCTGTCAGCGCGTGCGTGGACACCAACCTTACCCTTATCTCCGTCTTGCCTTTATGCACCTGGCAGTCAAAAAAGAAAAAAAACTGATTCCGAAAATAGGCAACTGTTGGCCTGGTTTTCCTTTCCTTCTAAGTTCCGTTTGTTTCTATTATTTTAACATCATTTTTTGGCAATCATTCAATAATCAAGGTAACTTCTGGAATGCCAAGATGGCGCGGGCCACGGGGGGAGTTACTTACTAGTGCTAGTGATGAGTCTGATGACACCCACATGAAGGGGTACTTCAAAATTCGAGCTAAGTAACGCCATGGTTTGGAAAATAAGAAAAACTATGCAAATAGTGAATTAATCACTCTTTAGGACACCTCCACCATCGTAATCATGCCGTGCACATGCAGTATCACAACGCCTTCAGACCAAGAGATTCGTGAAAATGTGAGGAATGTTGTCGAGTCATTACTAGTGAAGCAAACGTTGAGGTTGATTCCGCCGAGAAACGACGCCTTTAGAACCGACTCAGTCAGAGGACCTATAGTGAGTGGATCTTCTTCAAATATTAGATTACCCATATGAAACTACTCTGTTAACCGGTGACATTTCTCAGGGCGGAAAAAGCAACTGAATAAAGCAATACAACTTCTAGCTGAAAGACAGACGCAGTGGGTCCCCACTGAATGGATGCATTCTTCCGGGCCAGACTTGGATTCTTTGGCATCTTTGTTTCGGAAAGAAAAAGACCGAACAGCAGAAGAATCTGTATGTTAACTCGTCAGACAAGATACCTATAAGCTTCTTTTGCCTTTTAAGTCAGCTGCCTATCGAAGTTATATTAGAAGCCCAAGCGCCAATCACAGGCTAATCCTCGTCAAATTGAACGTTTTCCGTGCCTTTGAGCACAATATCGCTGCGCTTGGGTACACAAGGTCATGGATGACATATGACGCTATTTCGCGTTTTAGTATCAGTGGGCCTGTCAAGAATGATCTACCAGAATCTTTACCTGCTAGCCTCCAGCCAACAATTCTTCAAAAAACCTCTGCTCATCACCCTTGGCTTGAATTTTTCCCATTTGCGCATATGAGAGATGCACTTATTCGAAATGAAGAAACTCTGGATGATTCTCAGTTGTGCCGGGATTTGATGGGATTCTAGACTATGCCCACAGAGCACTTGAGGCGACAACTGTATGATTGTTTGGGGGGACCCGTGGGAACCAATGAGCTGGGAAATCACAGAAACCTTTCTTCGGAAATGGTCGTTTCTTGTGAAAAGCTCCCCGGAAATTATCTGGTCGTCGAATTACTGGCGAGAGCAGAGAGGGGAACCGAAGCTTAGGTGGAAGGTGTCTTTCAATATAAACGGCGCGTGAATCTCCATGAGTTTATACCATCGATGAATATGTATACTTCGCAGGGTCTTCTTTTTAGATTGGCATCTTAATATTTTCTGGCAAATATTCGACTGTGTCGGTGTTCACAAAATAATTTTATCAACCCTTGGAAATATTGAACTCTTCACTATTCTTAACTATGGTAGGTGGGAAGTTGTTAAGGCATTCTAGGGCTAAGGGCTAATGAACACAAATTAGGGCCATAATTGAGTGTTTGGTCTTTATGTCGAATCTGATCTTCAACCCTGTACGCTGTGGGAACATAGCCATTCTGATGCCTTCTCTGGCGACGTTTGTCTTTGGCTCTATTGTCTTTGTTTGCGAAATGTAGCTTTCGGGTCATTCTGGGTGGTAGTACATATGACTAGCCGATAGAGCACTTCAGCAATTAACGTTGAGTAGTACTGAACGTTGAAGGCTGTGTGAGGAGAAATATAAAATGAAACTTTGTGTAGAAACTAGAATTGAAGGGGCCTTATCTTCTTAAATGTCGGGATATATCCTCCCGTCAGAATAAGCAAAGACATGTTGTACGTAATCTTGCTAAGCTGCGGCTCCCGCCGCATGGATTCAGGGGTATTTGGCCTTGACCGGAGACACATCTATCATATACACGAATCAATCAACCATTGCTTTAGGAGCATAAACTGTTCACTTAACTGTGTACACAGGACCTAGCTGGTGATACCAACAGGAAGTGTAAGGCTTTAAATATTTGACATAGTTATATCTTCAGTTGCTCTAGTGGCTATATTCTATATATTGCTAGATTAGTTGATCATAAGACTGGAATTGACATTTTTCATCGTGAAACCCAAGCAATTAAGTATGACAAATCGAAAGTATCAGACGTGATATGTATAGTTCCATCAGCCCAACTCAACTCATAGCAGAATTCTTCTTGCCATAGAAAGATCGGTTATTTCCTTATCAAGTTTCTCACGTTTCCTTTTCAGTATAACATCCTCTCCCGCAATCTCGTCAAGCTCTTCTATGCTTAGGCTGCCTACCAGGGAAGGTGATAATAGCCCCAATGGCGAAGTAGGTCCTTGTATCAGGTGATATCCGCATGCCTGCATACAAATATTGTCAACAAATCGTTTTCGTGCGACCTTGTAGTATGACTCCAGGATGTCTTGAAGAGCTTGCACCACGTGCTCAACATTACTCATATTCTGCTGGTATTTCAAATCATCCATACGAACAACCTTTCCATTTGGTCCTTCGATCGCTTTGCTTGCAAGTATTGAGCTTGCACGCTTCTGTCGGCTTCGAATTGTGAGCCCATGATCTTCAGATAACATTCATTGGGTGCTGAGAGAAAATTACCATTTTTCCATATTATCATTGAAATAGTGATTAAGAGTCATTGGAATCGTTGATCTTTCAACAAAAAGAAGATAGTCGACCTTGTCAATGGCACTTTGGTATCTTTCAATCAGCTTATCCATCAGGAAAGAAAGTAATTTTTCGTATACCCTTCCATCGGGACAAACTTGGCTCAGTCCGCTGGTGATATAGCTATGCACAATGATGATGACATCACCAATGTATCCATTTGCAACGGACGTCCATTTTGACGATTGTTTCTTCATTAAGCTTGAAAGAAGCAAGGGATTGAAAGTTCCAATCTCAAAACCTCGCGATTGGCGATATTCATCACCTATCCACGAGGCAAGATCATGACTCAGAGGAGGAGACAGATTTGATGGCTCTGGCAGTACATCCAGGATTTCAGGAATGTCCTTCCGTTTTCTTGAGCATAGGAGCCGTTTCCCTGGTTTTTGGCGCCCAGCATCAAAGTCGCTTGCGTCGAATTGCGATGACGGCTCATTATTAAAGTCAAATAAGTGACCCCATCGGGCGAGGTCCTCGGAGAATTTCTCATTTCTCGTAACCACCCCGGTGGCTAATTTCAAGGCCTCAAGATCCTCAAAAGCATCATTAAGGCTGTAATTTCCACCAATGGCTTGTGTTGTCAGACTCTGGAATGAGGAAAGAATATCAACCAAGAACTGTGCTTGTTGCTCCATTGTCTTCCGCTGGGGTCCAAGGGACCTAAGGCTAACTTGTCGGGCCTTGAGACTATTACTGATTTCAAATTTGACCTGTATATCGCATAATTAGCTCCACAAAATCTATCACCTGAAAGTCTTATGGCAAGTTACCGATGAGAAGGCCTGGCGCGCATTTGCGGTCACGATCACCCGTATACGAATTCTTAGCGAATCAATTCCAAAATCATCGCAATCAACGGCATTCCAAGGATATTTCGTCCGAAGCTCCCCTTCGACCGCATCGCGTCGTGTGGTACCTCCCTGCAATTCACTTTGCCCAAGATTTCGTACAATCACCCATCCAAGCTTGACTTGCATTCTTTTGCCTTTGACTATGTCAATGACATTTATCTCTGCACCTTTATCCACCAAATCGGGCTTGGTCAAGACTCCCAGTGTTCTCTCGCCGGTGGGGTCAACTTTGTGGGCCATCTCAACAATCTCTTGAGTGGCTATATCGACATTTGCCGGCACCACCGTCAAGATTATAGAGCGGGGATTTTTCATGTATGCTTGCACCATGTCGCGCACTAGGGCTTTGTCGTCCTTTGTGGTTTTTCCGGGTATTGCGTTGCTGAATATCCCAGGTACATCAATCACACTGAGATGATCTTCTTGCGGGCCACAGATCTCCACTTGTAGTATATGTTTGGAGAAAGTAGGCAACCCGTCGTTTTCTGACTGGGAAACTCCCATCAATACATGTACCTGAAACCACATATTAGATTGGCCTCTCTCGTAAGTCCCCCAAAGTACGTACCTCGGCCATCATGGCAGAAAAAGATTCGATATTCAGAGACTGTAAGTCTTTTCCTTTCCAACCCTGCAATTTTCCTACATGTGCCTCTTCGGTACTATGGTCCGCAATTATTGAAGCCATGATTCTCCTCTCGCCAATACTTCTTCGGCGAAATATAATCTGCGTTGCGAACCTTGTACACAGGCCGCTATCTCGAGGGAACGCTAATCGAGTAAGTCCCTCAAGAACAGAACTTTTACCACTTGACTGGTCTCCCACAACAACCAGTTGGGGGAGATCGACATAATTTCCTACATTGCAAGCAAAGAGTCTGTCGATCTTTTCAAGTAAGACTGGGTCGGACAGGCTTTGGTCGTCGCCGGAAGAATGAAGCACCATGTTGTGTGTTTTCCACCGTATTTGCCACTGGCTATCGAAGTGCTCTAGAGAGCTTTCAGATGAATATTTAACAAGCCATTCTTGTGAATTGAAATCTAATCTATTCCTTTGTCATGACCACTTTAGCACGTCATGACGCAGTGAAACACGATGAATGACGAAAACATTGTTATACTAGATCATACGTTGCGTACCCGGTTATATCCAGCAAAGGAAGTAGATTGAAGAAGATAATTATGTCGTAATCAAGCATACAATAGCCAATCCTCATTTCGTCGCTAAACAATGGGTATCTGTAGCTTCCCGGCTCGGTGGTCATTGACATCATTAGGTTAATCATTACGTTGTACTGACAAATGTATTGGAAATTTGTATACTGAAGCCAATAAGTGGTGGCAACCTTTACTGACGGATGAGTGGGTGATTCCAAATCCATGGTTTTCTTAGCAATTTGCCGTCCTTCGCTGCATTTATTAAGTTATATCAGTTCCTTGATTCAACCTCAATCCGTCATAGACTATGTCATAATAAGTTACATGAGGGGATTCGATATACCATTTCGAATTAACTTGGTCAATTACTACTCCTTTCGCATTCTTTTAAAAAACAATCTAGGGCTACGTTAATCAATATTATATATTGGAGTCAGAGACTATCAATTTCGATTCTAGCTTGAATCATCATTTGAACCCTTTATCGCCCAGTCCAGCTGTGTATTATCGAAAAGCTTCCGTTGTTGGTTGTTCATGTTCTAAAGTCCTTAAATGTCGAAAGACTTCATTTTTTCATATTATTCTTGCAATTGAACTTATAGAGCCACAATTATAGCCTTGGGTTACGGGCTAGGCCATATATTTAGGGAAGAGTAATCCATATCAGCTCCGGCTCAAGACAATAAAGCTCTCCAGATTGTCTTTCGTTCCATAGAGACTGCCATAAAGAGACAGCAACTCTATTGTCGGAACAAGAATCGATCATTCCAGCTGCAGTCATACAGGTCGTGTCAACGGCATGTCCAGATGGTGAAGACACAAAATGATAGGTCTGTGGTTGCTGGCTGCATTTACTTTTAAAGTCAGCACATTGCCCGAAGATAGCTTGCAATTGTTGCTGCCAAACTTCGGGCACTGTTGATGCATATGCTCCGAAACTGTGGTCAACCTGGTTCACAAGTTTTCTAAACAGCGTCGATTCTTCCGGTTCCATGATATGGGCGAGAGCTGAATTTATTCCAAACTTGCAGTGTCTCCAAGTGTTGACGTTGCCTAAACAAAACAATTAGTTGAACTCTTTCCAAAAGTTTTGTACGTACATTGTTCAGTTATCACTCGATCCATTTTGAAAAAAAAGTTGCTTTCACCTTCCCCGAAGCCGGGATGATATCTGAAAAAGATGTTGTCGTTTAGTATTTTGACTAACCAGGCCTGAATAATCGCCCAGGTTTGATGCATGCTACCTCCGAGAAGAGCTTTTGCATTGGTTTCAGGAACCCCAATATATTCAAGGATGGCACTGTGATCTAATTGACCCAGTTTAGATTTTTCCTTGAAATTCTTTTTCACCCATTGATCAACATTCAGTCGAAGTCGTCGCCATTTGCGAATGATTTCCTCTTCATCAACTGCCTCTATATCATTTTCAAGCGTATTGATCTTATTGCACAGAGTAGCTGTTTGTTGGTGATGTCTCTTCTCTGACACTGTCGCTTTTGCTTCTAGCTGAGCATAAAGCTCGTTCTTTCGACGTAGTTGTTCTTGGACACAAATGAGGTCGTGCTTGCAATATTCAAGACGGGACTCTAATTCCTGATTGATCTGTCTGCCCCGTAAGTATTTCCACTAAATGTGAGTGTTGAAAAATACCTTGCGCTGCCTCTCCACTTCTTGGTTATAACTGCGGTAGACTTCTTCCCTGGTCCTAGAATACGTAGCTGGCGTGCTATTAACGGCTTAAATGGTGCCCAATTTCCGTAGGTTAGCAGAAATACACTTTTCCTTCACGTCGAAGAACGTACCACGCGATGATATATAGCCTTGGCCTGGCCGAGGCGAAAAAAATGAAGTCCACAAAGGCATTGAGCAACTATTAGTGGGATGTCACAGTTGGGTAGCCTAATTTCTTCACAAGACTTTCAATATCGTCATTAAATATGTGGTCTTGTGGCATACAGGATGAAGCCGTTTGCAGCAATCAATGAATCATAGATCAGGGTGGCGAGGGTTTCCTGTGGTTGCCAAAAGCCCATAAACCATAAATGGTTGAGAACTAAATGGGTCTCCTTTCCCTCGCAAGCTTCTACTACCCCTTACTTACTGCAAGAGACCAACATTCAAAATGGGCAAAGAAATTGATGTTGTTGTCGGGATTGATTTTGGAACGACATATAGTGGGTAGGTGTGACTTAAGAATCCTTGGTGTCCAGACCTTGGTGATATTTACACGAATGGCACCTCGTTCAGGATTGCTTGGGCCCTTACAGGTGGCTCTGAGGATATTGAAATTCTGTCAAGTTGGCCTGGAAGGGGAAATCGCAAGTGACACTTTGAGTGCTTTCCAAGGAAACTCGTTAATTCGACATTAGGTATGACATTAAAAGTCCCAAGTGTTATTTCGTATGAGAAAGGGATTTCAAAGTGGGGTTATCAAGTTGGACCCTTCAGTGAAGTCATTCGCGGCTCCAAACTTTTGCTAGACGAAAGCCAAGCCCCGGAATATGCACCCTCTCTAGCATCAAAGTTCCTACTTGGGAAATACGGCAAAACTGCTGTTCATGCCTCGGGAGAATTTATAGGACACCTTGTTCTACATGTGAAGGACACTCTTCAGCGCCGGTTCGGTGATGTAGCAAAGTCAATGAGGCTGAAGTACGTGGTCACTGTTCCTGCTGTTTGGTCCGACAAGGCAAAAGACGCAACTCTTCAAGCAGCTATAATAGCTGGTATTGAAACGAAGCAAATTTTTCTTGTGTCGGAGCCTGAAGCTGCCGCTCTACATTCACTGCAAACGATCCAACCAAACTCGGTAGCAGTAAGGAGCTCCTTAATTAAACAAAATGTTGCGATATCATTCTGACATGCCAAAAGAAAAACGACGTCCTTGTGGTGTGTGATGCAGGTGGTGGGACCGTCGTAAGCACTACAACTAGGGAGTGGTGGAACTTCGATTAACGTCCAACCCAGGATTTAATCTCCTATAAAGTTCGAGATATCGACCCATTGAGCTTGGAGGAGGTCACAGAAGGCACAGGTAGGTACGATACGGCTGAATATCGTATTGAAAGTACTCATTTGTTCCTGGACAGGAGCCGTTTGTGGATCACTTTTACTTGACGAGAGATACGAACGCCATTTAATGAAGAAGATAGGCCAGAGTGAATATCAGGGTCTTCCAGCAAAATCCAAAGAGGCTGCTCTTTCCTTTTGGAGAGATATGGTCAAGCCTAACTTCGGTGAGGAATCAGACTGTGACTATCTAGATGTGGATCATTTCATACCTCTCCCGGGAGTGGCAGATCAACCTGATAAGAATATAGAAGGTGGATTTGTTCAACTTGAAGGGTTAGCTCATCACAATATATGCATGGTACTAATTGTCTCACAGAAACTCCGTTAACTTCTATCTAGCGTGGAGATCAAAGAGATATTTGAGCCAATAGTATCAAGAGTTGGAGAATTGGTTCGGACGCAGATTGAGAGTATTGCACATCTAGGACTGAATTCGAAGGTAGGACCCTGTCATGTCATACAAGCCCCTTCTGACATTAACAGGCTATCGTCCTCGTAGGGGGATTTGGGTCCTCAGGCTATCTCTTCCAGTGTCTAAAGGACAGCAACCCCTCTATTTCAATATTGCAGCCACCAAATGCGTAAGTTTTTGCAACCTGAAGCAGCCTATACTAGAATCTGAAGCACATTATCTCTTTAACATCAACAGCTGGGCAGCAGTCGTCAGGTGAGTGGAATATCACGAATTTTTCCACTTCTCTCAAATCTGTTACTAATATCATGTAGCGGTGCTGTTTTCCGTGGTCTGGAAGGAAATCGCGTAGAAGCAAGATTTTCCCGCTCCTGGTATGGTGTTACCTCGGATACCACCTTTGAGAAGCATCGCCATGCGCGACATTCTAAGCATTGGTGCCAACTGAAAGAGAAATGGCTCGTTCATGATTATATGACTTGGTACATTAAGAAGGTAGGTAAGATTGGAATTATTTATTTTTTGGAAGACTGACAGAAAAAGTCTGCCAAGATATCTGAACGAGAGCCGATCAAATTCAATTTTTTTCGAGCGGTCCGGGTGGACAGTGCCAGCCAATTACGCTTTACGGACGAGCTGTTTTTCTGCAACGACAAGACAGCACCAGAATTTCGTTCTGATAGTAAGTACTTCGAGACTTAATCATTGACACTTGTAAGAAAGCTGACCAATCAGGGGTTCTTCGACTTTGCACATTGGAATCTGATCTCAGCAAAGTCCCGAGGCAGCTCTTCCAGAAGAAGCGAAATTCCACGGGGATTGAATATTTCGAAATATCTTACAATTTGACACTGACACCAACCTCGGCTTTATTGCTTTTCGACTTGGAATTCAACGGAGTATCATATGGAAGTGTATCTTGTCGTTTCTGAATTGATAATTTTGCCACTGATTTGATATGTCGCTATCTTTATTTGCGGTTCAACGTTGTTGCAGGCCTCGATTTCATCTTTCGTTCCTAACAAAGTTTTTTCGCTGGTTCTTACAAGATGAAGATGAAAGTAGAGATCCTATGTATTATGTATTAGGTGCACGTACACACACACACACACACACACACAATTCATTAACGCCCGGCGGCGAAGCCGAAAGGGCAACTATCACTAATCTACTAATACATTTCCTTAAATATGCCTTGTCTCCTTAGAGCCTATACATGATTCCTTCCAGTATATGTCATCTCGGGTGTCAATATCGATCGAAGTGGGGTCTCGTGGGTAAGTATTTTGTTAGTAAACTGGCTTGAAGGCGATTCTCCAAGTGTTCAACATCCTATTCTCGGCAGTTGAAGCGTGTTTACCGTCTCTGGCACGAGGTGGTTGATGTGGGTTAATTTGGGGAGGGGTTCGTTTGTGTTGGTCGACATGGTCAGGTGGCGTCCAGTCGGCCGGTGGCTATTGCAAACCGTATTGAGGCTCGCACTGCTTCCAAGTTCGGTTTCCAGTTCTCGCCATCCAAAGGCGACTTTCCACCCAGGAAAAAAGATATGTTGCCTCGATGAGTATGGGTACATTGCAGCATTTCCATCCTGTGCGTGGTCCACTTCTGACATCGAAAGAGGAAGTGCTCCACGGTCTCTCTTGCTTGTCCGCATGCACATTGATCTGTCTCTGCGACGTTGATTCGAAAGAGATATCCATTGAGTCTTGCCATGCCCGTGCGGAGCTGGGCCAGCACGCTCGCTTCTTTCCACGATAATCGGTCATACAGCTGTCGCGTGTGTTTGCCTGGAAGTGCTGTATCCACTCGCCAGGAGTGTCTGCCTACGTTGTCGGGCAGCTCACTGCTGGGGGGGAGCTTGAGACCGCGCAAGATTCAGAGTTGTCGACTTCATCCTAGGGACCTGTTTCTGCGTAACGGCGTCTTCTTGTGTTGCGGCTCGGGCCTGTTCTTGCGCCAGACCTAGCAGATTGTTGTCTTCCTTTCTGGGAATCCACAGGACGCTGATCCGATTTCCATTCTTCTGCAGTCTTCTCAATAGCTTGTAGATTTGGCAGACAAATTCTTGACCCGACTGTTGTCGAGGGCTCTTCAGCGTGAGAGCCACTGCTTTGTTACTTGTGGTCAGTGTGATCCTAAAATCTTTCAGTCCCACGAGTGTCTTCAATGTGTGCACCATAGCCGCTAGCTCTGCGGAAAATAGATTTTGTTCTGTTCTCGCACCCAACGTGACGGAAAAGACCTTCAGTCTCACTTTCCGATAGCGAGGTGGTTGTTTCTCGATCGCGACCCCGAATCCCACCAGCTCATTCCGTGACGAGCTGCTGAAAGCGATTTGCATCGATCCGCCTGGTGCAGTCGATGTCTGGGGAATAGGCTCATTCTCAGTTTGCACGCGTGCTTCCCATGGTGCCAGTGCAAACGGATTGATGGTTTCCAGCGATTCCATCTCAATGTTTCTCAGCGCGTCCGCTACCTGATATAATGGTGAGCGGTGGTACCTCCTGAATTTCCTGATCCGATCTGTGTTTCTGCGAAGAGGATTGGTTTCTGGTAGTGTGTGGATGTCTGTCCACATCTTCACGGCTCGTCTCCAGAGACGGTGTTGTGCCGTGGCAATGTGGGCCTCGGCCTCCGCTACGCTGGTCGCAACTGTGAGGAATGTTCCCACAATTGCTTGTGCTCCTACCCTTTGCACTCGATTGATCGGTCCGATGTTCTTATTCTTGAATGCGTGCATCCAGACATTGGAGGCGTAGTCAACCACCGGGGCCACCGTCGATGTAAATAGCTGCCGCGCTGTCGCTGGGGCTAGACCTCGAAGTCGTCGAAGCTCTATCGCTGCCTCCAGGCCTTTGGATGCTGCTCTCGCGATGTGTTCCTTGTATTTGAGTCTCGTATCCATTATGACGCCAAGAATCTTGACATGATCACTGGGTTCAACGGTCTCTCCCTTAATGGTGAATGGCCCCGAGTCCGATTTGTGGGCCTTGGGGGTGAAGTGTATAATCGCGGTTTTCTCTGCTTCAAAAGTCGCTCCACTTCTTCTTTCCCAGTCAAGTGCTTCATTAATGATTGCTTCGATACCTTGCCGGTTGCTCTGCGCAGTCGGTCCGGTCACCCACGCGGTAAAGTCATCCACAAACGCGATTGCTCCACCCTTGCCATCGATCTGTCGCTGTACGAGGTCTGCGTTAAAGAAGAGGAAGAGGATTGGGGACAGGGGTGATCCCTGAGGTAGTCCCGCCTGTGGGAGGCTTCGGGCCTCAGATGCTTGCCCGTTGACTTGAATAGTCGCTGTCCGTTCCGAGCAGAATGCCTCGACCCAGCGGAGAAGACCCTCCGGTATGCCTCGTGCCTTCATTCTCTGGAGCAGTCGCTCTTTGCAAACCCCATTGTAGGCTCCCTTAACATCGAAACTGACCAAGCTCAAGACCCGTCGGCCACGCCATGCCGCATAGATTTGCTCTTGTAAAAGTAAGAGTGCTTGCTCCGCTGATCGTTGCTTACGGGCCCCGAAGTGGCTGGTCGGGAGCAGACCGTAGGTCTCCACCTCGTGAGAGATTCTTTCTGCGATAACTGATTCCAGCACCTTGCCCAGTGTCGCAAGGAGTGAAATCGGCCTCCAGGCCTTCGCAATTGTATAGTTCTCTTTGTTCGGTTTTTTGAGCGGTATGATCTTCGCATGTCTCCACTGCTTGGGCAATGTGCCTTCTTCTAGCAACGCTTGGAATAGCTCCAGGACCCCGTGCTTGACCACGGGCCATATCATCTTCCACACTACCGCCGGTAGGCCATCTTCACCGGGTGCTTTCCAAGACTTTGTCGCCAACAGCTGCCGTTCGACCTCTTCCATGGTGATAGCAGACATCTCCACGGGCGCTCTCTGCGGCCTCGTCCCTTCATCGTCAATTCTGTCCGGCAGTGGCGGGAAAAATTTGGTCAGTAGTTCGTCCGCTTGCTCTTTATGATCGGCGGTCATAGTTCCATCCGCCCTGAGGAGCTGTGGGACCTTCCCGAATGCTGCATCATCTCCCGACTTCAGGTATTTTACGGCTTTCCATATATTATTATTATCGGCCAGGAACTCATTCCAGTGCTTTTTCTTCTGTTTCCGTATTGCATCGTGGTATTGTTTCGCTGCACTCGCGGCCATGTTCTCCAGGTGCGGCACTTTTCGCCCTGCTCGTCGCTCCGAGCGGGCATGGTTTCTCCAATATGTGTATATTTGACGGAGTTGTGTCAGGTCTGCCGTCCACCATCGCTTTGCGTGCGGTGACGGTTTGGCCCTTGGCGTCAAAGCTCCCACTGCTTCCGACACCGCGGACATGAGCCGATCGGCTTTTTGCTGTACCAAGCCTTCCGACGGAGTGGTGGCTAGATTTCTCGTAATTCTGGCATTTATCTCTTTCCATGGTGCATTCTTCAGCAGCAGTCGCTCTGGCTGCTTAGAAGCCGACCAAGGAGCATCGAAAACGGTCTCAATGGTGCGGTGGTCCGAGCCGTGCTCCGTTCCATGTACTGCACACTTGACCATCGAGTCTGTCAAGCTTTCCGAGGCCAGGACGAGGTCGATCGTGGACTCACAGTCCCCAGTCTGTCCTCCGCCGTGCCATGTCTTAGTGCCTCGTTTGAGCAGGCTACTGAGACCAAATTCATTCATGAGGTCGATGATGGGATCCGCCTCGCCTTGCCTGCCCAAGGACACATCGTCTCCTCCCCAGAGTTGGTCATGGCGGTTGAAGTCCCCTACAATCATGACCTCCACCACAGTCCCCGAATCTCGCCGTGCCTTTGTGATTGCTTTTCTTAGGTGCTCGCATGCGTCGTCCAACGCCGAAGTATCCCCTCCCTCTACGTAAACTGATGCCATAAAAATCAGTCGCTCGGGGAGGCGGATGACCGCCGCCGTCAGATCCGGCGACTCGATCGGCACTTGCTCCGCTTCCACTTCCTTATTGATCCAAAGCATGCTTCGGATCGCCCATCGGCCCTCCCTCCAGGTGGAGGGAACCATCTTGGTCCATTTGTGATGTCCCATCGGGGTTGTCAACAGCCGGCCTTGAATTCTTCTCGCTTGGGGTTCCTGAATCGCCAGTGCCACTGCCCCCTGAGTTTCTTCGTCGTTCATTAAACTGTCATGCACTGCTCCCTGTTTCCTCACATTCAGTTGGATTATTCGGAGTGTTTTATTCATGACGTGACGGATAGAGCTTCTGGCAATTTTTGCTGTATGATTCATGTGGGCCTCCGCATGGAACGCACTTTGGAACCGTTTGGGCGCAGTTACTGTGGCGGTGGCCCTCCATAGCGCACTTTGCACACCTCTGGACGTTCCTGCACTGGAAGGCCTTGTGGCCAATCTCCTGGCAGTTGTAGCATTGCATCGGACGTGGTCGATATTCAAAAGCGCTGGTCACGCCAGATTCTCCCCCAGCGTGAAAGAACCCTTCGGCCAAGATCCTCCGTACGTCAGAGCCTTTGGTTAGGTACACAACCATTGACCCATACGCCTTTGCACTTTCTTTCCTGCTGAGCCATGCGATCTTGGCCACGGTAGCTTCGTTCTCCTCGCTAAAGGCTGCCGCGACACCGGCTCGGATCTCATCTTTATCATCTAGGACTGCGGCCTTGTTGACACTGTCAACTTTGATCGGGTACAGTTCGTCACGAAGCACCCGGGCTCCTGTGCCGATCTTTGC